CTTCCTCCCTTTCCAGAAAGGCCAGCGAGAGGTGGGTGTGGTGCTGCAGCCTTGAATCCGGCACTGAAGGCAGAAACAGGCGGAGCACTCGAGTGGGAGGCCGGCCAGGGCTACAAAGAACTTCAGAAAGCAACCAAACAACAGAAACCCAAGATGGACGTGACTCACGTCATTTAACTCAGACTTCACGATGAGAGACTAAGCCCTTTCCTCTATTACGGGCTGGGCACTTGATGGTGGACCTAAGGACAAGCCCCTTCATGCCCTGATGCAGCTGACACAGACGCCACAGTCTATGCTGGGCTAGAACTGCCACTTACACCCTGCGTGTCACTCACTGAGGACGTGCACACAACAAAAAAGTTGATTTATTTGTTGATATATGGTCTCACCGTGTAGCCTTCGCTGGCCTGGAACTCACTGTGTAGACCAGGCTGGCTTCAAACTCAGAGATCCGCCTGCTGTTGCTTCCCAAATGGTGGGATTACAGGTGTGCGCCACGGATGTGGCACCTGGCTCACAATGACATCAGTGTGTACTGTCGTGTAAACAGGAAGCACAGGCTGTACCTTCAGATACTCGCTGTACTCGTCCTCGAACTTCCTGCCCCAGATACTGCTGCCTCCCCGTCCGGTGCCTGGATAACAAGACAAGCCAGTCAGAAGGAGCGTCTCACTAGACTTCAGCGGGCTCCATTTCCGAGCATGCTTGTTTGTTTATATGGTGTAGGGGGGTCCAACCCAGGGTAATGCACAAGCTGGGCAAGTGCAAACCACAAAGTCACATCTCCAGCCCTAGCAGAACTCTGCATGCATGTGTGCGTGCATGCGTGTGTGCACACACACGTGAAGAAGAGAGAGCTGTTAAAGTCTGCACTCAGGACTCCATGCATGCTACACAAGTATTCGACCCTACCGCTGAGTTACGTATCTCCAGCATTCCCATCTTTTTTCCTTTTAGTTGTTATTTTTAGGTAGGGTTTCCTTAGTTAACCTGTTGACCCTGAATTTACCACCCTCCTGTCTCAGCCTTCCAGGTACCTGAGGTCATAGACCTGTATGCCATCTGGCCTCTAGCACTTACCCCAAATTAACAGTACAGACGAGAAAAGTAAAATCCTCCCAACAAGGAGAAAATCCCCTCATTAATAACTGGTCATATTTTATAGTTGCAGGCTAGTACCTCCTTCTAGAAATATCTTGCTGTTAGGTGGACCTGGTCTATAGAATGAGTTCCAGGACATGTCCCAAGATCTACACAGAGAAAACCTCTCTCAAATAACTAACGAAAGAAAGAAAGAAAGAAAGAAAGAAAGAAAGAAAGAAAGAGAAAAACAAAAAACACTTAGTGTTTTACAGAGGACTCGGGTTCAGTTCCCAGCATCCACATGGTTGGCTCAAAACCATCTAAGATTCCGGTTTCAGGAGAGCTGATACCTACCTTCCTGCTGACCTAAGCAGTCACCAGATACACATGCAGTGACTTACATACATCTAGGCAAAATACTTAGAAATAAATACACATTTTTTTTTTTTCGAGACAGGGTTTCTCTGAGTAGCCCTGGCTGTCTGGGAACTTCCTATGTAGACCAGGCTGGCCTCAAACTCACAGAAATCTGCCTGCCTCTGCCTCCTGAGTGCTGGGATTAAAGCCGTGTACCACCACAGCCCGGCCTAAGAATAAATTCATCTTTAAAGAAACAAAGCCTTAAACTTTACGACTGTCAAAGTAGCCTTGTTACAGTCTCCCTGTTTTATTTTTCAGTTATTGTAGATACTTTTTTTTCATATGACTAAGTTCAGCTAGAGGAAAAACTCACCTGTTGGGTCTCCTGTCTGAACCATGAAACCCTTGATGTTCCTATGAAACACACAGCCGTTGTAGTAATTACTGGCACAAAGAGCCAAGAAATTCTGAAGAGAGAAAAAGAATGACTGAGAAATAGATTTGGCAGAAACATACTTCAGATAAACGTGCAATCCTAGCCCCTGAAGATGCTATCGTGGCACATATAACTATGACTTCTAGGCGTTGGCCACTCCGTCTTCAGCAGGTCCTGGGAAGGCCTACATACTCCATATCTTAAGGAATGGACTCTTTTGCAGGTACTTGATTCCCTACTCTTGCCTTTCCCAGCTGGAGTTCCAGTACCTGAGGGCAGGCAATGTCTCTTGCTCATCATGTACCCTAGACATGGCTGGAAAGTCTTCTGACAAATAGCTGCAGTAGTGAACACTAGCTGACTCCTCTCCCTTTTACCCTTGCCATCTCAACAGGCTGAGTGTTTACAGAACAATTCTCTTACAACTTAATTACAGTTCCTGAAAAAATGAGGCGAAAGAAAAAAGATACTGGACACTTTATGGTTACAGGAAAAGTACCTACCAATTTATATATTTATTTAGTGTGGTATGCATGTAGTATGTGCATTCGTGTGTGTGTGTGTGTGTGTGTGTGTGTGTGTGTGTGTGTGTGTAGGTAGGTAAGCAAGTCCCTGTGCATATGCAGAAGCAAGAGAAGGAAGAGTATCCTAACCCATCACCCTCAAGCTTCTCCCTATGAGACAGGGTCTCCCACCAAACCTGGAGCTGGCTGGTGTATCAGACCCTGTAATCCTCTTCCCGCCAGCACTGGGTTACAGGTGAGCGTGACCACCCAGCATTTTCTGAGTCCTGGGAATCTGAACTCTGCCCCTCATGTTTATATAGCAAGCTCTCTTCCCTGCGGAGCCGACCCCCAACCCATCCTTCGTTCTCTTGATTTAACTCTGACATCACAAGTGGAGACTACACCTGCAACCACGGCACCCCCTCCTGATAGCGGCACCCCCTCCTGATAGCGGCACCCCCTCCTGATAGTGGGCCCACAGAGAGCTTTCTAACTTTCCAGGCTGAATAAACCAACTTCAAAGTGGCTGTCCTGTTATATCAGAGTGTTTCTGTTTAAGTACAGGTTCCACTCTATAGCTCGGCCTGGCCTGGAACTCACGACACAGACCAGGCTGGCCTCTGCGTCCTGAGTGCTGGCCTTAAAGGTGCGCGTCACCACATTACGACACTCACCTCACACGTCTTGGGTGTCCTCTCACAGAAGACTTCTATTTTGATATCTCCCACGTCTGTGTGCAACGTCACAGACTGAAAAAAAGGAGACTGTGAGAACAGGTGATATTTCTTCCAGTAACTACAGGTTCTGTCTTATTTCTGACTGGATATTTAAGAAGGCAATCTGGTTAAAGACATTAAAGACGGCTTGTTCGCATGAAGTGGCTCCAAGAGAAGTCATACTTATTTCTCCAAATTTATTTTTTTTTAATTAATTAATTTTTTTTTTTTTAATTTTCAAGACAGGGTTTCTCTGTAGCTTTGATGCCTGTCCTGGAACTAACTCTCGTAGACCAGGCTGGCCTTGAACTCACAGAGATCCACCTGCCTCTGCCTCCCAAGTGCTGGGATTAAAGGCGTGCGCCACTACCGTCGGCCCAAATTTATTTCAAAAGGACAAAAACTCTAAAAGATTCATACAGATGAAAAACTGGCATCTCTGCTAAATTTTGGATACAACCATTGTAAATGAAATAACTATTCCTACTTTGAATTTTTATGATTTATTAAAAACAATGGCTTTTTTGTTTGTTTGTTTTTGCATTTGGAGACTTGGTTTCCTGGTGTAGCCCTGGCTGTCCTGGAACTTGACAGGTAGGCGAGGCTGGCCTCAACCTCACGGAAAGCCACTGCGATTAAAGGCATACACCACCACTGCACGGCTTTTATTACTGATCTTTACGTCTCAACAGCTCTAATTTAACTGGGAAAATGTTAACAAACTGATTTTTCAAAAATTGTTCCCACCAAGTCCTTTGGGTAGTTTATTTTGAAAAACAGAGTTAAGAAGCAATTCCGTAATTTACTAAAGACGACAACCCAAAATCGTCGGCATTTCCAAGTCTGCGTGCGTACCGCTGGCCAGTGCTTTCTCCTCTGTTCTTTTCTTGTGTCGATAACTTTACATTTTTCACATCTTATTTCAGAGACAAACAAGAAACTATTTGGAGGTTTCCTTTTTTGGCTATTTGCGTCAGGTCTTGCCATGAAGCCTGGGTTGAACCCACAGTAGCAGCAATCCTCCTGCACCAGCCTCCTGCCTATCCTACTTTGTCCTGTCCAGCCTAGTACACACATCTCTCCTCTCATCCAGGTAAGCACTCCGCCACGGAGCTACACACTCAGTACCTCATTCGACTTCTTAAAAAAAATCATAATTAAAAGACATGTAATGGGCTGCGGAGATGGCCTGGCAATTAAGAGCCCAGCACTCCCACCAGCTCCAGCTCCAGGGAATCCGACGGGGATAAAAGCAAGCAAACAATCACCCAGCTAGACGAATTCTGAAATACTTACCATCCTCTCTCTCTCGATAGTTCCAGGACGACTTGCAGAGAAAACCTGAAGGTGAGTTCCTAATCCTAAAATAAGGAGGAATTCGTTCATTTCAGCCCTATCTTTCCCGCTATGCTTGTTCATCATGACGGTAGATTTACAAGCTCAGGATAGCATCCTTTGAATAAAACTCCAAACACAGAAGTGTTGAGATCCTACCCAACGCAACAAACTTTCTTTGCTCATTTGCCTCCAAGGTTCTTTCTGCAGGCTAGGCTTATCCCCCACACCCCCACCCCCAACCCCCGTCCGGATTGTGGTCTAGCTGGGCATCGGCGCTCCCTCTACCCAGGACGCCGACTTTACCTAAGACGTGCGTGCAACAAACTTCAACTTCGCAGGTTTTTTTCCCCAAACCCAGGTCTTACTAACCTGACGATCGTATTTAAAAGCGTCTTCCCGTACGCCCTCCCTATTTGCTTTTCCCGTAGTAGCGGGCACTAGTACTAGTTTACAACTCCGATCAAGTCCCAGGAAATAAAACGTAGGCGCAGCGGGATCCAGTGCACGAATCAAAGGAGAATGGGAAGCCAGAAACACGGGACCACTTCCGCCCACCGTACTTCCGGGCGGAGCGGAAGTGACGCACCAGAAGAGGCTCTGGGGCTGGTGAGTAGTGGGCGCGTGAAAGGGTCCCCTCGCTGCAAGGATTCTAGGGTGCCCGCGAGGAGGAGGCCAGGAGCGACCTGGGCGGACACCCCCTTGGCTGCAGGAGGGGGCGACGGCCCTGATGCTAATGTCCTGGAAAAAGCCTTGAACCATGCGTGCGTCAGAGCCAGACGCGAGTACAAAGAGAGCGCTCGTGCAGCTTGAAATTAGCAAATGGCTCTTCAGAGGGCTAAAGAGAGCCCAAGATTTCGACTCTGGGCTTGAAACAGCTCAGTCTCTCCATTGTCTCAGAAGACAGCTTTCCAGTTCTCATTCACACTAGCGCGGCTTCACTTCAAGTTCCTGGGAGTGGACGGGTGTAGGATTGGCGACGGAGTCCTCTCAGGGTCTCAGGAGAGACCCATTTTATTTCAGATAATATTTTGAATGTATCCGTATTGTGTCAGAAACACAGACGGACACATTCATGCCCTCTCACAATAGAGGTTGATTGAGTAACAATAAAATCAATCACAAGGTTCCTCAGCACTGTTGGTAGCAGCTTGATAGCTGGATGAGGCCAACACATTTCCTTTCTTCAAAGCTACTATTAACTCTCAGATTACACATCACACAGTAACTATATCTGTCTATTTTGAATTGTTTGGTTGTTTTGAGTCTCTGCCCTCCCGCTATCCAGACACAGAATATGTAGGTGAATGCCCTACATACAGCAGTTAGTGCTTGTTCGGGGGCAGCTCTGGCCTTTTCTTGTCTTGACGCTGCTCATTTGTGAAGTGACCGGTTTGCCTCCATTTCTTGCTCATGCACTCAGTATTTTAAGTTTTAAATAATGTCTGTGACAGGGTCTTATGTAACCCAGGCTGGCCCTGAACTGCCTGGATAGCTGAGGGTGACTTTGAATCTCAGATCTTGCTGTTCCTACTTCCCCAGTGTGACCACACCCAAGGGCCACCACACCCAGACATGTACCACCATAACCAGTTTACATGGTGCCGGGGGGCTGAACTCTTATGCATGCTAGGCGAGCATTCTATCAGCTGAGCCACACCTCCAGCTCCTTAAACATGTTCGTCTTAAGTATACGTGTATATATTCGTGTGTGTTTGTGAGTGTGGCGTAGAGATACAGGCTATTCGTGTGACGCAATGATGGGGAGGGCAACAAGGATGTAAGAGGTGATGAGCGATTGTATTTTATCAGGCTTTTCCAGGGGACATACTAATGCCATTGTTTCTCTAGAAGGCTGTGAGGTAGGTGATGTGGGATGTCCTTCTGTCTGTGTGTGGCTTTTATTGGTTGATGAGTCGAGTTGTTTCGGCCAGTGGCTTAGCAGGGTAAAGCCAGACAGTGAGCACCAATTTGTAAACAGAGACTGCTCATTCGTTCTCAGGCTACCCAGACCCGAATAATCACACATAAACTATATTAGTTACAACACTGTTCAGCCTACTAGCTCAGGATTCTTATTAACTAACTCTTACATCTTAAATTAATCCAGTTCTATTAATCTACGTGTCATGTCTCCATTTTGTATATGAGAAAATAAGTTAAGCCGGGTGGTGTTGCTGCACGCCTTTAATCCCAGCACTCAGGAGGCAGAGGCTGGTGGATCTCTGTGAGTTTGAGGCCAGCCTGGTCTACAGATCAAGTCCCAGGACAGCCAGGGCTACATGGAGAAATCCTGTCTCAAAGTCAACCCCGAAGTTAAGAGGTCAAATGAGTTAGCTGAGCCCAACCTGCTGTGGATGGGCAGAGCCACCATTTGAATCTGGGTCTTGGTGACAGCTCTTACTCCAGCTTTAGCCTCATGGGGCAGAACGGAACTGTACGGAAAGACCACTTCCTGTGTTTTGACTCCAGGCACCGTTTCACCTGGTTTCTGTATGCTGCTGTCTGCACTCCGGCTCCCTACCAGCATCAGGCTCACCCCGTCCTGGGTCTGCGGTTCTTCTCGTTCCTTCATGGATCTGAAGTCCCTCCTTTCCTCCCTAAATGACTTTGCGTCCCTCTCCTTTGCCGAGAGTTGGGACAACGTGGGGTTGCTGGTGGAGCCGAGCCCGCCCCACACCGTCCGTACACTCTTCCTGACCAATGACTTGACCGAGGCGGTCATGGACGAGGCTCTCCAAAAGAAGGCAGATCTCATTCTCTCCTACCACCCGCCGATCTTCCGCGCCATGAAGTGCGTAACTTGGAAAACCTGGAAGGAGCGCCTGGTTATCCGGGCCCTGGAGAACAGGGTCGCCATCTACTCTCCCCACACGGCCTATGATGCTGCACCCCAGGGAGTCAACGCCTGGCTGGCCAAAGGGCTCGGTGAGAAAACTTATGTCCTTCCCTATTAATGATTTCCCTACAAATACTCTGAAATTTTAAACTGTCTTCCTAGTAAAGTTTTAAATTGTTTTTAGGGGAAACGGGGTTTTCTCTTTTATAGAGTACTAAAAAGTAATGTGTTGCTTAAATTTGGTAGTTAAATTTCATTTGAAAGTGTACTTATTATTTTTATATCTGTTGAGTGTTTTGTCTGCTTGTATGTAAGCGCACTACATGTGTGCAGTGCCCATGAAGGCCAGAAGAGGGTGCAAGATTCTCCAGGGTTGGAGTTACAGTCATTTGATATAGGGCTCTAGCAGGCTCGAGCCTGGCAAACATGGGGTCAGTAGGTTTTGCCTTTTACCCCCTCCCCCTTGCTGTTTGTTAAATGACATCTCTAAAGCTAGCCCCTGAAATCCAGTCCCTTATTTGGCCACTGACTTTACTCCGAAGACAAAACACCAGGGTCCAGCAATCAGAATTCATTATTTGGCTAACACGGCCAATCACGATTTACTAACTCACCCTAGCACAGACTCCCCCCTTTTCTCCCGAAAACCTACTCCTGTGCTGGGTGGTGGTGGCCCACGCTTTTAATCCCAGTACTCAGGAGGCAGAGGCAGGAGGATCTCTGAGTTTGAGGCCAGCCTGGTTTACAGAGTGAGTTCCAAGACAGCCAGGACTGTTACACAGAGAAACCGTGTCTCGAAAAACCAAAAACCAACCAAACAAACAAAAACAACAACAACAAAAAATCCATTCCTGCAAAGAACCACCTACTTTCTTGCTTGTACTGGCTGCTGCTCTTGCTGCTTTGGGGGCAACCCCGCCCAACCCCTCCAGAGTAATAAATCTCCTCTGTGCGGAGAATTTGGTGTAGGTATGTCCTGTACCGACTTCGAGAGGGCCAACCTTCCTTACAGCTGTGAGCTGCTATGTGGGTGCTGGGAATTGAACCCAGGTCCTCTGCAAAAGCAAGAAGTGCTCTCCACCACCGAACTAGCTCTCTGGTCTGAGTTTCATTTGAAAAATGAACTATTGGGGATGAAGAATTGGCTCAGCAAGTAAGAACACTGTTCGTTGCTCTTAACAGAGGACCTGGGTTCCCAGCACCCACATGGAGGCTCACAGCCATCAGTAACTCGGTCCCAGGGGAAACAACGCTCTCTTCTGAGCTCTATGGGCACACACGATATATACACATAATGCAGGTAAAACACTCATACACATAAAATGATGAAACAAATAAATCTAAACAAAATCTTTTTAAGAAAAAGGAAAATAAACATTGTAAACTAGCCTTGGTGTGGCATAAGCCTAGACTCCAAAACCTTATACTTTAAACATTCAGGAAGCTGAATCAGGAGAGTTGATTTAAGGCCGGTCCGAGCTATTTAGCCAGACGCTGGCTGTTCATATCATCCCACCAAAACCAAAACAGAAGCAAAATGAACCGAGGAACATTTTTGTTGTTTGTACTGGGTCTCAGTAGCTCAGGCTGGCCTTGAACTCTAGGTAGAGGATTGTCCTGATTGGCTTTTATAAAAGGCACCTTGAGAAGGAAAGGGTTTGTTTCCTCTTCAGTGTAACAGCCTGTCATAAAGGGAAGTCAGGTCAGGAACCTGGAGGCAGGAGCTCAAGTCGAGGCCAAAGAGGAACACTGCTGACTGGCTTGCCCCTCACGGCTTGCTTAGCCTGCTTCCTTATGGAACCCAGGACCACCTACCTACTCAGGGTCCTGGGTCTTCCTACATCAACACTTAATCAAGAAGATGCCCCTCAGACTTACCTATAGGCAATATGATGGAGGTATTTTTTTTTTCAGCTGAGGTTTCTATTTCCCAGATGACCTTGGCTTGTGTCAAGATGACAAAACCCAGCCAACACAAGGAGACTAAGGCATCACTTGGTATGAGCAAGCGGAGCATGGGTCTTCGCTGCTAAATGTCTTCATGATTGTTCAGTCAGACGGCACAGAGTCCACACCCCAGCACGCGCAGGAGATGCTGGGCAAAGTCGTGTTACATGGGTTCGCTACATAGACACCCAGGCTTTGCTCTGGTTTGTTGTTGTTTTTATTTATTTATCTTTGTTATTGTGTGACTATGGGCGCACACAGTTGTGGAGGTCAGGACAACTCTCAGGAGTGGATTCTCCCCCCTCCCACCGTGGGTTTCTGGAAGTGAACTCAGGTCCTTAGACTCACGTGACAGTTACCTTTACCCAGTGAGTCTTCTGCCCTCCCCGACCTTACCTGGAGAAGGGCCTTACTTTGTCCATCACTCTGGCCTCAAACTGGAGATCCTCCTGCTTCAGTTTCCCAGTGCTAAGGAGAAGCATGCCGACCACACCCTGCACAGCGTCAGGATCTCCCCGGATGCTTGCATCCAGCACAGTCAGGATTCTGGTATTTATTTTGGGCTAAAGCAATTGTGTTGTTGTTTTGTTTTGTTTGTTGGATGTTTTTTGTTTTGTTTTTGAGACAAAACACAGTCTCCCGGGGTAGTCTTGGCTGACCAGGAACTTACTCTGTAGACCAGGCTGGCCTCCAGCTCCTGGAGATCCACCTGCCTGTGCCTCTGCCTCCCCAGTTCTGGGACTAAATGTGTGTGCACCACACCTGGCCTTGGACTGAAGCCTTGACAACACAATGGTCTTTATAAAGTGTTCAACACATAAGGACTTGTGATCTATACTTTGGTTTGAATGACCAAACAGTGGCTAATTAAAAAAAAAAAATCAGTGTTTCTGTCCTTTTTGTATGGAATTTCCTGAAATATGAATCTTTTTAGCAAATAATTGTGAAAATAGATTTTATTTTATATGTCCAGACCAAATCTTTAGATTATTGTGACTGGTAATGAGATCTAATGGTTATATATGTATGTTCACATATATACAGGAAAATGAATTCTGATACATTTCATACAGATTTTACATAGAGTAGTTTATCTCTTTAGTTCCAAAGCGCTGCGAAAGCCTTGACTTCCCCATAACTTCTTCTTCAGGAGCTTGCAGCACAAAGCCCATCCACCCTTCCAAAGCTCTCACCTGCCCCACAGAGGGAGCTCACCGACTAGAATTCACTGTGAACCACACCCAAGATCTGGACAAAGTCATGTCTGCGGTGAAAGGAATTGGAGACGTCTCTGTCACTTCTTTTCCTGCTAGGTACATTGTATATGCCTCCGTTTAAAATTGTTTTAAATTATTTATTTAGCGCGTGTGTGTTTGTATGTACATGTGCATACCGTGGCAGATGTGTGGTGGTCGGAAGATGTCTTAGGGGAAGGACATCCCCTGCATGGGCTCCTTCCCCTGCATGGGCTCCAGAGGACAAAGCCATGCTGACTTGGCAGTAAGCGTCTTTACCCACTGAACCATCTCTATCCCCATTCTCTGCTTTGTTTGCTTTAGTTTCCCTTTGAGACAAGGTCTCAGGATGTATGCGGGCTGGCCGCAAACTCCTGCCCTGGCCTCCAAGTGTTGGGTGAAAGAGAAAACCTGCTCCTGCAAAATGTCCTCTGATCGCCACACGTCCAAATGATGTCAGGGGTCCTGACACAGCTGTGGTGTGAAAACACCATTCCGTGTGATGTCAGGGAGTCCTGAGACAGCTGTGGTGTGAGAACACTGTTCCCTGTGATGTCGGGGTCCTGAGGCAGCTGTGGTTTGAGAACACCGTTCCTTCCGTGTGATGTCAGGGTCCTGAGGCAGCTGTGCTTTGATTGGCTGGGATTAAACAAGTTCTGCTGATCACATCTTGGTTTCATATAAATCTTTACAGCAGGTATAGACTGTCGGGTATTTAAAATACAGCTGGTTTTCCTCTAGGCGAGATGGTGAGGAAGAGACACGGATCAGCCTAAACTGTACTCAGAAAGCCCTGATGCAGGTGCTCACCTTTCTCTCCCAGAACCAACAACTTTATCAGAAAACGGAAATTCTGTCCTTGGAGAAGGTAAGATTTCTTTTTGTCCTCTTATCACTCTGCATTTTTAAAATTGTTTTTGTTGAGCTATACTCGTTTTCCCATTCCCTCCCTCCCGCCCCTCTCCGCTTCCATCCTCCCTCCTGCCCCCTACGCTCCCAATTTACTCAGGCAATCTTGTCTTTTTCTCCTTCCTAAGTGGATTCATGTGTGTCTTTCTTAGGTTCTCTAGGTTCCCTGGCATTGTGATTTGTGAGCTGGTTTTCTTTGCTTTATGTCTAAAAACCACTTATGAGTGAGTGCATGTGATAATTGTCTTTCTGTGTCTGGGTTACCTCACTAAGTATGGTTTTTTTCCTAGTTCCATCCATTTGCCTGCAAATTTCAAGATGTCATTTTTTTTACCACTGAGTAGTATTGTGTAAATGTATCACATTTTTCTTATCCGTTCTTTGGTCGAGGGGCATTTAGGTTGTTTCCAGGTTCTGGCTATCACAAACAATGCTACTATGAACATAGTTGAGCACATGTCCTTGTGGTATGATTGAGCATCCTTTGGGTGTATACCCAAAAGTGGTATTGTTGTGTCTTGAGGAAGGTTGTTTCCTAATTTTCTGAGAAATCGCCACACTGACATCCAAAGGGGCTGTACCTGCTTGCATTCCCACCAGCAATGCAGGAGTGTTCCCTTTACCCCACAACCTCTCCAGCATGAGTTGTCATCAGTGTCTTTGATGTTTGCCATTCTGACAGGTGTAAGATGGAATCTCAGAGTTGTTTTGATTTGCATTTCTCTGATGACTAAGGATATTGAGCATTTCCTTAAGTGTATTTCAGCCATTTTAGATTCTTCTGTTGAGAATTCTCTGCCTAGGTCTGTGCCCCATTTTTTTAAATTGGATTATTTGGTATTTTAATGTTTAGTTTCTTGAGTTCTTTATGTATTTTGGAGATCAACCCTCTGTCAGATATGAGGTTGGTGAAGATCTTTTCCCATTCTGTAAGCTTTCATTTTGTCGTCTTGACCGTATCCTTTGCCTTACAGAAGCTTCTCATTCAGGAGGTCCCATTTAATACTTGTTTCTCTCAGAGCCTGTGCTACTGCTGTTACGTTTAGGAAGTGGTCCCTGTGCCAATGTGTTCAAGTGTACTTCCCACTTTCTCTTCAATCAGGTTCAGTGTAACTGGATTTATGTTGAGGTCTTTGATCCAGTTGGACTTGAGTTCTGTGCATGGTGATAGATATGGATCTATTTTCATTCTTCTACATGTCGACATCCAGTCATGCCAGCACCATTTGTTGAAGATGCTTTCTTTTTTCCATTGTACAATTTTGGCTTCTTTGTCAAAAATAAGGTGTTTGTATTATGGCAGAAGATATAAAATAATCCCACACTAGTTCAGTGGACAGCCTTGTCTTGTTCCTGATTTTAGTATAATCGCTTTGAGTTTCTTTGTATTGTTTTCTTTGTACCTATTTTATTGATTTCAGCTCTCAATTTGATTATTTCCTGCTGTGTACTCCTCCTGGGTGAGTTAGCTTCTTTTTGTTCTAGAGCTTTCAGGTGTGCTGTTAATTCGCTACTGTGCTATGAACTTTCCTCTTAGCACTGCTTTCATTGTGTCCCCTAAGTTTGGGATGTTGTATGGTCATTTTCATTGAATTTTAGGAAGTCTTTAATTTAAGTTCAGTTTCATGGAAACTAAACAATGCTCAACTGAATCACCACTGGGTCAGGGAAGAAATAAGAAAGAAATTAGATTTCCTATGATTCAATGAAAATGAAAACACAAAATATCTAAACTCATGGGACACTATGAAAGCAGTGCTAAGAGAAAAGTTCATAGCACTAAATGCCTATGTAAAGAATTTGAGGAACTCTTACACTGGTGACTTAATAGCACACTTGAAAGCTCTAGATCAAAAAAAGCTAACCCACCCAGGAGGAGTAGACAACAGAAAATAATCAAACTGAGGGCTGAAATCAATAAAATAGAAAAAGAGAACAATACAAAGAATCAATGAGACAAAGAGTTGGTTCGAGAAAAATAAGTAAGATAGGCAGACAGACAAAAAAATAAATCCTGTAGCTCCACGTCTGGTCTCAAAAGCCTTAAATGACTCCTCCCTATGGCTTTCCCGATTGCAACACACTTCTCTTGATTCCACCAGATGAAAATAAGACCACTACCACATATTTTTAAAAAGATTTTATTTTTTTATTCTGTATAGTGTTCTGCCTGCATATATGCCTTTATGCCAGAAGAGGGCGCCCGCTATCACTATAAATCGCCGTGAGTTACCAAGGAGGAAGATTCCTTGCCATCTTTATTAGGATACCTTTCATGATGCTAAAGCTAGAACACGTGGACAACACTGCCAAGTTCAGCGGCCCACGTGAGGTGGAGCATCCGCAGAAGCTTGGATGGTTGTTGCTTTTCAGGAAAAGAAAATGCCTTGGGAGTTTTCACAAGTTGGAAGCTTAGCCTGGTGGGGGCCTCTAACAGTAGCACCTACTTCGAATTTAAAAACTTAGTTTTGATTATGTGTTAAATACCAAGCAGGGTGTGAGCTCCCAAAAGTTAGCGTTTTTGTAGGTTTGCACCCAGGCTTCAGCTTAAGCTACCACGAGCTTCTGTACACAGACCTTACCGATTCCCGTTGTTCTATGCATCCCTTAGGACTGGGCATAGATAAAGCTTCTGACTTGTGTTTCTCTCCAGCCTCTGCTTCTGGATACTGGAATGGGACGGCTGTGCACACTGGATGAAGCCGTCTCCCTGGCAACAATGATAGAGCGGATCAAAGAACACCTAAAGTTATCTCATGTTCGCTTAGCTCTCGGAGTAGGGAAGACCTTAGGTAAACGTCTTTCATAGCTAGCAGATCCACAGTGACTTGGACAAATTTTGGTTTTGGTTATTTTTGACACCTGATCTCAGAGCATAGGATGGCTTCAGACTCCGTTGGCCTCTGTCTCCCAGAGGCTGGGGTTGCAGGTGTACTGCTTTTATTCATGTAAGTGGTAGAGAACACGTCACTCAGGGAGACAGTGGGTCTACCTTGTCAGCCAGGGTAGGCTGGGCTATAATGTGGGATACATCTCCCTAGCCTAAATGATAAAGTGTATTTCTTAGTTTTCTGTGTTCATCTCCAGTCAGCACTGGACGTCTGTGAATTATAAACGGGTCATTGTTGCAAAGGGAACAGAGGGTTTTAAATCATCAGGTAAAAGTTCTAGACCTGCTGGGCGTGACAGTCCACGCCTTTACTTCTAGCACCTGGCAGAAGCAGGCAGAGCTCTGAACTGTGTCTGTGTGAGTTCAGCTCAGGCTACTCCCAGAGAGCCTGTCTTTAAGAAAGAGGAGAGGAAGAGGTGCCTAATACATTTCTAACACCCTGGGTTTTTTTGTTGTTGTTGTTTGTTTGTTTTGTTGTTGTTTTTTGGTTTTTCAAGACAGGGTCTCTCTGTGGCTTTGGAGCCTCTCTAGGACCTAGCTCTTGTAGACCAGGCTGGCCTCGAACTCATCCCCCTGCCTTTGCCTCCTGAGTGCTGGGATTAAAGGTTTGCACCACCACCGCCCGGCTGTTGTTTTATTTTTTAAGACAGGGTCTCACAGTGTAGCCCCTGGCTGTCCTGAAACTGTAGACCAGGCTGGCCCTGAACTCATGGAGATCCACCTGCCTCTGCCTCCTGAGCTTAAAGGGCTTAAAGGTGTGCCCCATTATACCCATCTTTAAAATCAACACAGCGTGATTCGTACCCTGGTGAAGAGACTGGTCAGTCTGCTTTAGGGTTAGGATTCAGCACAGATGGTAGCGCTGAGCTGAAAGTGAATGTCTCTCTGTAACAACGCCTCTTGTTTTGTCTTGAAGAGTCTCCAGTCAAAGTTGTGGCCCTGTGCGCTGGTTCTGGGGGCAGCGTTCTACAAGGAGTGAAGGCTGACCTTTACCTCACAGGTATGACAACTTCTGGATCTCTTCCTCAACCTGGCTTGGTTCCTTTGTTTTGTTTTGTTTTTTGTCTTTCGAGACAGGGTTTCTCTGTAGCTTTGGAGTCTGCCCTAGAACTACCTCTTATAGACCAGGCTGGTCTTGAACTCACAGAGATCCGCCTGCCTCTGCCTCCTGAGAGCTGGGATTAGAGGCGTGCACCACCACTGCCCGGCCACAATAACCAACAAGGCATTTTATTTGTTGACAGGGTTTCCTATAACCCAGGATTAGCCTCCAGCTATTAGCTGAGGCTGGCGTGGACTCTTGATCCTTCTGCCTCAGCCTCCACGTTCTAGGATTACAAGTACACTGCCATCCCTGGCAGCATTTTGCATCAATCAAAAAAATATATATATGTGTGTGTGTGTGTGTGTGTGTGTGTGTGTGTGAGTAACACAAGCGTAAGAGGGAAATTCCACACCTGGACTTATGTGACACGTTACAATAAAAATGCTGGCACATTCAGAATACCGTATGATACAACCTTCAGGCCGAGAGGATGAAGTACAGTGGAATTTCATGTTTGGGCTACACGCTTGCTTTGCAAACCTGGATGATTGGCCTTCAATCCCGGATGCCACAAGGGGAGGAGAGGAGAGAACCGACTTCTGAAAGCTGGTTTCTGACCTCCATGTGCGCACGCACGCACGCACGCACGCTCACACACCCTGTGCCATCTCTCTCCTGTCCTAGTCCTGCATACTTTCCCCTGAACATAGACTCAGTACCATAAAGTGATAAGTAGTTTGGACTTTTTCTTTATCTGTTCTGGGCAGCGCTCAAGAGGCAAGCATTCTACATCTGACTGCATCATGAGCCTGCGGTTTCTGTGCTCAGGAGCAGTGGGGCATTGCGTTCATTCATTCAGAATACAGACACAGGCTTTTCTGCTGCGGTGGTACAGGGTGCACAGATCCCATGTCTGATAGTTAAGAAGTTGCTCGTTCCTCTTTCGCCAGGTGAAATGTCCCACCATGATGTCCTGGATGCGGCTTCCAAAGGAATAAATGTCATTCTCTGTGAACACAGCAACACTGAACGAGGCTTCCTTTCCGATTTGCAGGAAATGCTGGGTGCTCATTTGGAGAATAAGATTAATATCATCCTGTCTGAGACAGACAGGGACCCTCTTTGTGTGGTTTAGAGAGCAGAGGGAGTCAGAGTCAAGCTGTGCACCATTTGGGTGGAAACAGGGATGTCCAGGGAGAGTTACGGTGCTGTCGTCCTCCTACAGAAGCGGGCTCCAAAGACGTCGTCCAAGTTCATCAGTAAGGTTCCAGATGGTATAGCTCACAAGGTAAAGAGTGCAATAAAGACACATGCTCACTATAAACTCTTGGAAAAGGCAACTAAAGCCTGGATATCACTAGGCGCTTTTGTTTGATTGTTTAATGTGACAGAATCTATAACCCAGGATAGCCTCCAATGCACTACTTAGCTGAGGCTGGCCTTGGACTTTGGATGCTCATGTATGCACTCAACACCTCTGAAGTAGCTCTGTATACACGGGATGTCCATCTCAGTAATCTCTGCCCTCTGATTAATCTTAAACACCATTTAAAAACAGATGTGGAGGGGCTGGAGAGATGGCACAGAGGTTAAGAGCACTGACTGCTCTTCCAGAGGTTCTGAGTTCAATTCCCAGCAACCACATGGTGGCTCACAAGCATCTGTAATGAGATCTGGCGCCCTCTTCTGGCCTGTAGGTGTACATGCAGGCAGAGCACTCTATATATAAAAAAATCTTTTTTAAAAACTGGATTTGATTTTTTTTTCCTAAGTGGCATTTTTGGGTGATGAAGTAAATCTGTGTGCTAAGTTAGGCATCAGAAATTTTTTTTTTTTTTTCGAGACAGGGTTTCTCTGTGGCTTTGGAGCCTCTCCTGGAACTAGCTCTGTAGACCAGGCTGGTCTCGAACTCACAGAGATCCGCCTACCTCTGCCTCCCGAGTGCTGGGATTAAAGGCGTGCGCCACCACCGCCCGGCATCAGAAATCTTTTTAAAAAATATTTAAAAACCCACTGGTGATCACTATCTATATTCGTACTTACTCCTATAATTTTGGGGTTTTTGGTGGTGAAGGGATCAAACTAAGCACCTTGTACAATTACTGCTCAAGCTGGCAGCATGAACCTGGAAGACCGGGGCCTAAAAAATGAGGCGGAATAAAGTCTCATGCAATAGGCAACTTTATTTAGAGACTCAGACAATTTAGACTTTGAAAGTTAAGCAGAGTCACCTGAGTAAAGTGTACAATCACATGGAGAAATGGCACATGGCAAAAACATTTTTTCATAGAGGCATATGAACAATAACAATAGCCAGCTGCAATAGTTTTGTGTTTTTGCAAAAAAGAAAAGAAAAAAAAAACAAGCAAAAGAAACCCGATTCTTGTTTTATTGAAGTATTCTCACAAGCACTCAGAATTCCCCTTGTACAACTCTATTCTTATATTCTCTCTCTCTCTCTCTCTCTCTCTCTCTCTCTCTCTCTCTCTCTCTCTGTATAAACAATCCTAGCTGTCCTGGAACTAGCTCTTGTAGACCAGGCTGGCCTGGAACTCACAGAGATCCGCCTGCCTCTGCCTCCCGAGTGCTGGGATTAAAGGCGTGCGCCACCACCGCCTGGCTGTACAGCTGTATTCTTGAACTGTGTTCCACATTATGAATGGAAGGTCACGTGTTCTAACTGATCTCCAAAGTGACTTGTAGTTTTGTTGCTGATTAATGGTGTTCAACACTCAGAATAGAAGTAGTGATTGTCACACAGCTTCCTGCAGGTGTTCTACAAGCCAGATGCAGAAAGACACATTCTGCATGCCCTCTCTTAGAAGAACCTAGAGTGTGTGTGTGTGTGAGTGTGTGTGAGTGTATGTGTGTGCACGTGCTTGTGCACATGCAGGTCATAAAACCAGAAGGGGAAGAGACAAGATGAAGAGATTTTTAAGGACAAGGAGGGTAATGGGATGCATGAGATAATAAAGCAGAAGAGGGAGAGAGGGGGGATGGCTATTGGGGATCAAGGAGGACCAAGTACAATGATTTATACATATATGGAAATGTGTGTGTATACACACATACATACATACACACGTACATACACACACGCATATACATACATACATACACGCATACACATACATATGGAAATGCCATAAGGAATCCAACACCTCTGCATGCTAGCCTAAAAATTAAAACAAAAACAAGAAAAGAGTTCGCCTGGTGAATTACACCTCCAGCCCAGAAGCAAATCAGGCAGGAATTACAACTTCAAGTTCCTACACCTCCTAGACAGGAAGGAACAGAGCTGCTCAGGGAAATGAGTAGAGCCCACGAGAGCTGTAAGATGCACTCAGAATCCCTTTTCAAACTCTTCAAAACAACTAGCATTATAAAAGGACTATACATTCTGGTCTTTTATTTATTATTAGTAACATCTAGTAAAAAAAAGAACATGAGGACCTGAATTTGAACCCCAGCTCTGACGCAGAACTCTGGGCATGTCTACGGTGCCCTAGCTACACTGGCAGGCAGAGACAGCTGACTCATGGCAGCCCATCTAGCCTAAAAGGAGCCTCTGGTTCACTGAGACCTTGTCTCAAGGTAATAAGGCAGAAAGCAAAAGACACTTAGCATCTTACTCTGGCCTCTGCACAGAAGCACACGCACGCATGCATGCATGCACACACACACACCACAGAAAGCAAAGTGCAAACCAGCAAGTCTCATGTGATCACTGTGCATTTATTTAGCGGCTGCTGTTTTCTGAAGCAGGCATCGCTGTGGCTCAGACTGACCTAGAACTCGTGCTTCCTCCCTCCCCTTCTAGTGTTGGGATCACAAATGTGAGCTCATGTCTTGCTACTGTTGTGTGGGAAGGAAAGAAGCAGTCTGCCTGCCTCTGAGTCCTGACAGTGGGATTACAGGCGTGTGCCAGCTATGCCTGCGTGCTGTTTAAGAAAATAAAAACTGTCAATGTACAAGAATAGTGAAATGTTTTTATCTTCTGCTGTCCTGAGAACAATTATTAACGTGTAAATTGGGATTTTATTTTTAAGCCTGGCTTCCCGTTTGTATCATAAAATCAAGGTGATGGTAGATACTAACTGAACTAAATATGCTGTGTTGGTTGGCACACGCCCTATCGGTTCCTTACACTTCTCCCTCCACCTCAGTTTAACAGCCCCACCTGTCCTGGGCATGTGTAGCGGGCCATCTCAGCCCACTGGATACCTTTATCACTTCAGAGAAAGCAGGTGAAGCCCGCCCTCCTGACGAGCTCTGTGACCCCATCTTTATCACTTCAGAGAAAGCAGGTGAAGCCCGCCCTCCTGACGAGCTCTGTGTGACCCCATCTTTATCACTTCAGAGAAAGCAGGTGAAGCCCGCCCTCCTGACGAGCTCTGTCACCCCATCTTTGTGCTTCCACATCTGAAACAAGTGCACTTGTAGGAATTCAGCTCAGGGAGCGTTAAACGGCCCTCAAAAATTAGGGATAGCATTCAGTATAAAATAATCCAAAACATCCAGTTCCAAATAATCCCTGAGCACACTGTTCATCCAGCAACAAGTCTCCAGAGAGGTAATAAATTAAAGGCACATTTCCCCCCAACTCGATGACACCGCACAGTATTAGAGACAGTAATCCAGCCAGCCTAATCAAAGTTCAAAGTTGATGATCTGCCCCTTCAATAGCCTTCAATAGTCAATCTTGTGTGTTGGACAGAATGATCTAGTGCTAGACGTAAACCAGCATTCTTACTAAGAGCGGCAGCTGGGGTACAAGACTCTTCCACCTAAAGGAGGCAGTCTAAGCCTCCTCCTCTTCCTTCTCCAGGAAATCAGCCAATGTTCCGCTGTCAACAGGAATTAATAAATATTCTACACCATCAGTTCCCTACAAGATAAAAGAATACTCCATTTGTTAATCCTTGGCAAGGGAGCTATCTGGACCTTTCTATTACACATTAAACAAACCAACAAATAACAAAACCCTGGACTTGTAAATTATTAATATTTGGTTTTTCAAGACAGGGTTTCTCTGTGCAATCCTGGAAGCCCAGAAAGACACTGCGTAGGCCAGTCTGGCCCGGAACACAGAGATTCACCTGCCTCTGCCTCCTGAGTGCCGGGATTAAAGGTGTGCGCCACCACCGCCTGGTTTGAGTTTATGTTTTATGCAGTATTCTAATATCTGAATAAGTATTTAAATACCTAAGCAGAAAAATCAAGGCAGGCAAAGGGAACGTGACTGTGTCTAAACCCTGAGGTACAGTCAAGCACTCTAACTGAAGTCTGGAGGGTGGAGGGGTCACTGTTTTCTTCACTGTGCTTTCGGGCATGTCTGACCCTGCGACCCTGTCATGTGTGAAGTTCATCCGTGAACCACGCAGCACATTTACAGCTAGACCATGTTCACTGTCAGCCACAGCTGGACACACCGTGCCCTTTCCAAACCGGTCAGTACTGACTATGTTCTACCTGCCCCATTTCAACACGGTTCGTCTTACCGACCTTTGTTGTGTTTTTGAGACAGGGCTTCACTGTAGCCGTGGCTAGCCTGGAACTCACTCTGTAGACCAGGCTGGCCCCAGCTCACAGAGATCCGCCTGCCTCTCCTCTCTAGGGCTGGGATCAGCGAGTGCTCCACCACCCCCACCGTTCACTTGATTTGAATACATTCAAGGAGCTCTCACCCAAGACTATCTTTTGGGGTTGGGAAGAAGGCCCAGCAGTAAAAGCACCAACTGCTCTCCCCGAGGACTTGGTTGGATTCCCAGCACCTATATGGCAGTTCACAGTCACCTGTAACTCTGGTTCCAGGGGACCCAATGCCTGCTTCTAGTTTCTACAGACACCAGGCTTGCACACATGGTGCAGATTCGTACAGAACATACATACACATAACAAAGTCATCAGAAATAATTTATTGACTCTTTAGCACTGCCCTGCATTTCACACTTCCTCTTTTCTCACAGCAATCCGTCCACGGCACCGCAGAGCAAGTTATCTGCTTTTCCTTCCTGCCTGGTCTTCAGTCAACACCGCGCCCCACCCCTCATGGCCGAGGCTGTCAGAGCTGTCTCCTGCCTGGTCCTCAGTGAACACCGCGCCCCACCCCTCATGGCCGAGGCTGTCTCCTGCCTGGTCCTCAGTGAACACCACGCCCCACCCCTCATGGCCGAGGCTGTCTCCTGCCTGGTCCTCAGTGAACACCGCGCCCCACCCCTCATGGCAGCCGTCTTACCTTCTTAGTTCTTATAAGCTTGTGATCCCTGAACTCAGTCAGCTGGGCCCGGAGAGTGAGATCACTGTTAACAAGGAAGGCCTCGCGACACTGCTGGTAAAAGTCCTGAAAAGAAAGTCCTGGGGAGACGGAAAGATTAAGTTAATCAATGCTTTGTTTGCTTTATTTACATTTTTAAGACAGGGTCTTATGCAGCTCTGGCCAGCCTGGAACTCAGCACATACATCAGGCTGGTATATCAGCTTTGAACTCATGGAGACCCTCCTGCCTCTGTTTCCTGAGGGCTGAGATGAAAAGTAAGGCCCACCGTGACAGCATAATCAGTATTTTTAAGAAAAGATGTACTTTATCTTTTAAGTTAGTGTGTGTAAGTGGGCCTGTCTTCCAATTCCCACCAGCAATCTTCTGAGCAGTGCATCTGGCACGACGTGAAGTTGGCTGCAAGCCTGGACAGACACAGCCACCACAGAGCAGCCACTGCTCTGCTGGGAGAGACACAGGGACAGAAAGTCACATTCAATATCACCAATATCAGATACCTGTGTAGGAGGGGCTGTCCTGGTTATCCAGCTGGAACTTTATAAGTAGCCTGAAAATTCCCCTACAAAAACAAAGACAAAAATCTGTATTAGTCAATGTGAGTAAGAATGTCAAATATGCCTTTTGTTCCTTTCTCCAGGAAATCATATCCTCACAGGAAAAAGAGCTTTTCTTACCTAGGAAAATGTGCTTGGGAATACATGCATGTGCACATGAGTGTGTGTGCGTGTGCGTGCACACACACACACACACACACACACACACACTCTATAGTAAAACCTGAGAGGGTTGGCTGATACTTCAGAAGACGGAACGGGGTGGCTCGGGCAGTGCCAGCCTCTATCCTACACTGGGTAAGGTAGCAGAGGCCCTTACTCCCAGAACTCAGCAGCATAAATAAGCAATTAAATCACTGTTTTTTTCCAGGAAAACTGGACCCTATAAGAGGGTCCAGGGCGGCAGAGACTACACAGGGAGACACAGACTAAGAACCAAACGGAGAGCCTCTGGCGGGGCAACAGCAAGCTCGCACCTCACACACAAGAAAACAAGCACTCCGAGTGTCTCTGTGTTCACAACTCAGACATTTCTCTTCAGAAACAAAACAGCTGCCTGCACGTATGTGCATCATGTACACGCTTCCCCTGGGGCTGAGTCACCATAAGAACCCGAGGAGCTGAAGTCCAAGCATGCCTGCCCTAAACTCCAAGCAAGTCATCTCCCCAGCCACTAACAATTTGTTGAGGAAAAACTATTTTAACTTTATTGGTCAATTTCATGGGCTAATACTGAATACTTCACCTATTGTGCAAACCATTCCTGGTCACTATTTTTATTATCCTTCTTAATCCTTTATAGCAAGCAGGTAGATTTGTTTCTGCCCACTGTTAAATATCAACGTGACACAGCCGAGAGCCACCTGACAAGGGACTCCTAACTGAGGAAATCATTAGCTCACGCTGGCACAGCAATGTCTGTGGGGCAACTGCCTCTACTGCTAAGTCATGTAGGGGCCGGGACTACCGTGGGTGGCACCAGCTCAGGCAGGTGGTAGTGGTTACAACAAACCTAAGCGTGAGCCTGTGAGTGAGTCTCTGCCTGGAGCTCCTGCTTGAATTCTTTCCCTGACTTCCTTCAAAGGTGAACTGTAAGTCAAATAAACCCTGTCTCCCCGAAGCTGTTTTGAGGGTTATGTTGTTTACCACAGCCGCAGGATAAACTAAAGCAGAATCATGATAGACTTGGTAGTCCAGCCTCAGCTGAAGGTATGGACTGGACTGAGGGCTTTGTATGTGTGCGACAAGTCTGTACCACCGATCGTCACTGCCGGTCCTCAAATGGACAGGTTATTTGTTTTTGAAGTGGAGCTGGAAGCTGAATTCAGGAGATTTAGCACACTAAGCAAGTGCTTACCAGGGAGCTGCACTTCTAGCCCTAACTATGTATAGAAGGGTGTGTATCTTTATATATAACTATGTATAAATGGGTGTGTATCTGTATATATAACTATGTATAGATGAGTATGTATCTCTATATATAACTATGTATAGATGGGTGTGTATCTTTATATATAACTATGTATAGATGAGTATGTATCTTTATATATAACTATGTATAGATGGGTGTATATCTTTATATATAATTATATTCGTAGCTTTCATTCTTACCGTGCATTGGGGGTGAGGCTTCTTAAGACATGAATCAGAGAACTCAGGGGTAGAGATCCGGACTGTTTCACCAGAAGGGAATTCTCATAGGATGTTTCTTCAGTATAAGGGTGGTATGTAGTGGTTTCATACCAAAGCCAATTATAAAGACTCTGCTTTGCATGATCCCACACTACGGAAGATGACCAAAGCAAAGAGTTACAAATTACGGTCGCGCCATCAGGCTCCGTGAGATCTCACTGCAGCAAAGAGGGAAGAAGCACTTAAAGGAAAAGCACCCAGGCCGGGGATGCAGCCAGGGGGTAGAGCGCTTGGCATAAGTGTACAAGGCTCTGTCTGGTCACACCTCAGTACTGTATTAAATAAAAGTCATGGAATATTTCATTTCTGTCCATTTTTATATGACTCTGTAACTCAAAATCTGCTTCTACTGTCAATCAATATCTTTATCTTTTTGTTTGTTTATTTGTTTTTTGAGATAAGGTCTCATTATGTAGTCCAGGCTAATATCAAATTCACAATCCTTCTGCCTCAGCCTCCCAAGTGCTAAGGTGTTAAGTACGAGGTACCTTACTTGGCTAACACCTGAATCTTTATTTGCACATTAAATACAAATGAAAATATCTCAGCATCATCAATAGTTCTTTTAAAACCTTCATAAGGCAGGCGGATGCCATGGCGCACGGCTTTTAGCCCAGCACCGGGGAAGCAGAGGCAGGTGGACCTTGATTTTGAGACAGAAGTGATTTTGAGGCCATCCATGTCTACAAAGTGAGAAAACCTGTCTCGAAAAACAAAAACAAACCAACAAAAACCCCAAACAAACAAAAAAAAAAAGCCAAACCGAACTGACAACATTGTAATACCACAAAGAGTGTGGGTCTGCCCTTCCTTATGGAATTTCAGGTGCAAACACACTTCTTTAGTTCTAATTACTCGGGACCACCTTTCGACAAGCTGAAAATTAACTAAAAAACAGTGAGAAAATTTTATAAGCCTAATCTCTCGAGGAAGAAAGAGAGTTACCCGTAACTTACTGAGAGGAGCATGGAGGTGGTCGATGGATGCTATAAGGTACATGTTATGCAAAGATGACAGCTGGCCCAGAATTTGCTGGCTATTGTCTCCTCTCAACATCTGGCTATCCAAATTGTGGATAAGAAGAAAGAGTTCTAGAGAAGAATCTAAAAGGAAAGGGAACTCAGTTATTTCCAGTGAGGGTTATCACGTCCTCAGCACACACACTGCCTAGGGATCAAAGGCTGTTCTATACGTGAGCAGCAAAACTTAGCACAGTCACAGACGTGTGATAAAATAACCGAACAATATCTGGAGCTGGGAAGGTGGCTCAGTTGGTAAACTGCTTATGAGGACCTGAGTCCAACCCTCAGCACCCATTCAAAGAAAGGAGGTACAAACACAGAAACCTGGGGGTAGCAACTTGCACTCGTCCCCTCAGGGGCTGAGAAGCGGAGGCTGAGAGGCGGGTCCTTCGGGGTCGCTGGTCAGCCAGATGGGGCAAATCCTTAGCCTGTTATAGTGAGACCACCGCCCCACACACGCCAAGACAGACTAAGAAAGAACTGCATGCCAGCCCCTGTCTCCATATGCACAAGTACAGCCATGCATGCTCATTTCTGCCCCCACGAATGATGTGGGAGTGATTTCTTATTAATAAAGAAACTGCCTAGACCCATTTGATAGGCCAACCCTTAGGTAGGCGGAGTAAACAGAACAGAATGTTGGGAGAAAGAAGCTGAGTCAAGGAGTCGCCATGATTTTCCCACTCCATGCAGACTCAGGTTAAGATCATTCCTGGTAAGCCAGCTCGTGGGCTACACAGATAATTAGAAATGGGCTAGTCCAGGTGCGAGAGTTAGCCTAGAAGAGGCTAGATAGAAATGGGCCAAGCAGTGTTTAAAAGAATACAGTTTCCATGTAATTATTTCGGGTAAAGCTAGCTGTGTGGACTGCCGGATGCCGGGGACGCAGCCCGCCGCTCCTATTGCAACACACGAACATACATATGCACACAATACTGAACAACATAAAACTGTCAGACAAAGACGTACAAAGCTGCTACAGGCACATCACACTGACAGTTAATTCATAGAACAAATCACTACAACAGGAAAGATAAATTATTTTAAAGAAATCTAAATTGACATTGACTAGAGCATCCATACTAAAATAATATTCATCTTTCTGTTCAGAATTCCACAAATACAGAAATGCAATGTAACTTCACCCTAAGTCCTACAGATGATTACTTCAGGTTACCTTCTTTAAACTTGTTTATTATCCAGTCTCGCTGATCTGGAACACTCTGGAAAGTACCCATATGACCGAGAACATCTTCAGTTATAGAATTCAGGATCTACATCACAGAAGTGCAAGAGGGACCATATCAACTGCAGTTTATTCTGTCACATATGATAAATACAATTAGCAAATTAATTTTTCACAAGTTAAAAATGATTTTGAGTTTCTCATAAAGTTTAAAAAGTACTGAAAATTCCATTGGGCATTTAAGTATATCTATTTTATTTTCTTCTCCTTTGTTTTCTTTAAATACACTAATGCTAACAGGAAAAGGAAAGAATAATAATGTGAAAAAATGATGTAAGAGGGCAGGAAAAAATAACCAGTAAAAAAGCCTGGTGGAAGTGTGAACGTGAGCCAGGGACGGTGGCGCACACCTGCCGTCCAGCACTGACACACAGGCAGCGCTCGGTAAACTCAAAGCTAGCCTGGTCTACACAGGGAGTTCCAGGACAGCCTGCTGTACAGAGAGACCCTGTTTTGAAATAACCAAAGGACAGGGAGGGGGGCAACTATCAACGTCAAAAGAAATGATACCCACACAAGGATGCTAAAAACAGGACACTATGTTGGCTAATACCCAATATCCAAAACCTTGCTATGATTCTCCTCTGACGTAAAAACGGTCCATAATAAATGTACTGTAAAACTATCTGCTGCCATCTATACTTCACATTTCTGTACCACAATGACACAAAACTACAATAAACTACAGATTCTGACTCTCAGCTGCTCCACTAGTAACCTGGTGCAGTAAACGAAGGCAACATTTCCTTGAGGCTCCAGAAAGTCAGCTTCTCTGCGAGTGTGCCAACCCGACACCTGCTAAAAGTCAGCTGAGAGGGGTGAGCCTCAAGAGAACACCTCCTTAAGATCCCTCTGGATGGAAGCCTGGAGGGCATGTTGTTAATTAGTGATTAGTGATTAGTAATTAGTCCATTGTGGATGGAGCCATCCCTAGGCTACTGGTCCTGGTTTCTATAAGAAAGCAGGCTGAGCAAGCCACGAGGAGCAGGCCAGTTAGCAGCTCCCTCCATGGCCTCTGCATCAGCTCCTGTTTGAGTTCCTGCCCTGACTTCCTTCAATGATAGACTACGACACATAAATAAGACAAATAAACCCTTTCCTCCACAATTTGCTTTTGGTCAGGTGTTTCGTTACAGCAATAGCAACCTTACCTAGGGCAGTGATTATGTATCTATGTGCTTGTATGGGTAAACATTTCTGTGTGGATACAGGGGAAGGCCATGGGAAAACGTGGGTGCTGTTCTTCAGGTGCTGTCTGCACTTATTTTTATTTATTAATTATCCTTAAAAGGATTTTCCCATTATTTTAAGTCCTAACACATGCTTTGCCCACATGAATGTAAGTGCACCATGTGCATGCAGTGCCCTAAGAGGCCAGAGCGGGTGCTAGACATTATACAGACTAACTGCTATGAAGCCCCACACAAAATCCTTTATATCCAGCGTCCAGAAACAGAAACTGCATCCTTACCACTATAGGGCCATGACTTGGCACAGGACACAATGTCATTCCATGGAAAGTCTGAAACTTACTGATTTCACACTGATCCCAGGAAAGAAGCCGTTGATGACAAGGTGAACAGAATCCTGAAGCATGGTGGTTCGAAACTTTTCTAGTAAGTCTCTCTTGGACCCCAAGCCATAAAGCACAATGTTGAACCCGAGGCTGTGAGGAAAGGGAACATCCATAAAGTTAAAGTTTAAGACTTCGGACTGCTAGCTTCGTCATCAATCAGCTCAAGGTGATTGCAGGAAGAAAAGCATAAGAGAATGAATAATGAAAGTAAAAGCCAGATATGTGGTGTCACCTATAGTCCCAGCACTTGGGAGACAGAGGCAGGAGAATTGCTGTTCTCTTGGAGTCAGCCTGGTTTACAAAACAAGTTCAGGCTAGCCAGGGCTACACATGAGACTCTGCCTCATGAAGATGAAGATAAATGGATAAAGTATAAGTACAGAAAGTACAGGAAGAACTAGGACATCCACACGGTAAAATTGTGGGTTCCCAAGAACACAGCAAAGACACCACTCACTATCTATATGAGGGCTCACAGTTCCAGCTTGTTTGGCAGCTTTCTCTGCAGGTGGAGGTAAGAGTGACTATTGCCAATACTATAACATGGCTCAGCCTTTAATCCCAGCACTCGGGAAGCAGAGGCAGGTGGAGCTCTGTGAGTTCGAGGCCAGCCTGGTCTACAGAGCTAGTCCCAGGCTCCAAAGCTACAGAAAAACACTGTCTCAAAATCAAAACAACAAGAAGAAACAAACAGGTAAATGGTCACAAACCACTACCACACCTGTTGCAAATGATGTTTCAGCACAGACACATCCATACTATTCCTCACTGTGCAGGTGTGCAGGGATAACACTGTAGCATCCATTTATATACACACTATTCCTCACTGTGCAGGGTGTGTAGTAATAATACTCACTGTAGCTGGAGCATCCATTTGTGAAACAACTTCTCATGCTGTTGGTTTAACTGTTCAATTTCAGCAGAAAAGGAAGGTGAAAATTTGCTCAATAAATTACGCAGAGTTTTCTTTAAAAAAAAGAGAGAGGAAGTTATTAATGAGGATACTGACTTAAATCAGGTATAGGAATTAGTAAACCAACAATATAAAAAAATTCTTTAGTGGGGCGGTGGTGATGCACAGCTTTAATCCCAGCACTCAGGAGGCAGAGGTAGGTGAATCTCTGTGAGTTCAAGGTGAGCCTGGTCTACAGAGTGAGTTCTAGGACAGTGTGGGCTGTTACACAGAGAAACCGTCTCAAAAAACCAAAGAAAAAAGAAAAAAAAAATCTTCAAACATAAATTCTTGTTTAATTAAAAGCTGCTTTGAAGATTTGATCACTGTTATGTGTATAACTGTCCTGCAGAGGTCAGAAGAGGGCATCTGGTATCTAGAGTTCTAAGTGTTCCTGAGCTACCAAGTGGGTGCTGGGAGCAATTTGGGTCTGTCAAAGAGGAAGTGCTCTCAATGACTGAATCATGTCTCCAAGCCCTCTTAAAGTTCTTTATTTCAAGTATATAGTAACAATAAAAAATTTTGCTAAGTTTGCCTAGAACCATTTAAATGATTATAACAAACTCCAAATATAAAGCTTTAATTTCTAAAAATATAGTTACTGCAAGATGATCAAACCTGCTTCAAATTCAGACACAAAAACCAACAGTGGCCCCTCCAAGCTGCTCTCAGTGCAGAGCGCTGGTCTGTCAAGTGTGAGGCCCTGAGCGGACCATCAGCACAGTAACTAAAACATAAAACACTGCAAACCTGTAGAGCTGAAAAACTGTAAAAAGGTTTTTGGAAAATATTCAAGTTTCTTTACCACTAGAATGAGGCACAAGTAAAACTATCAGCTTTTAGGTTTTTTTGCTTTCTTTTTTGAGACAGGGTTTCTCTGTGTTAGCCCTAACTGTCCTGGAACTCACTCTGTAGATCAGGCTGGCCTGGAACTCTGTCTCATGAGTGCTGGAATTAAAGGCACGAGCTATTTCTGCCTGCCTGACAAGTGTGCCAGTTTTAACCCTAGGCTCGAAGAGGTCATCGGCTTTCCCACTTCTTAGTCCTTCTCATCATGAGAACAGGCCAGAGAGACCTGGCTGATATTTCCTCGCTGACCCACAGCCATGGAGACAAATGCCTGTGTTCTGCCTGTAATGCTCTTCTCCACCGCCATTAACAAGGCTTCTTACGTTCTCGTAGCAATGATGCACTCAGAGTCTGCCTTTGACCTTACAGCCTCTTATGCTTTTCTCGTGTTGCTTATATAAAACAGACGGCAAATGCTAGTGTCATTTCTTTCCTGGAAAAGGTCTTTTTACTTATTTATTGCACGTGTGTGTTCATGCGTGTATATGAATGGAGGTACATTTCCATAAGCATGTGGAATCCGAACAGTGGCACCTTCCTCAAACACTCTCCACCTTTGAATGTTTATGCACCACATGTGCTCATGGTGCCCGAAGATGCCAGAATAAAACTTCAGATCCTTTGACCTAAAATACAGGTAGTTGCTAGGCAGATAATATGGGTGCTGGAAACTGACCCGGGGTCCTCTGTAACAGCAGTGCTCCAAACTGTTAGGCCATCTCTCCAGTCCCTTGTCCTTATTTTTTGATAGGAATTCTTTCATTTTCTTTTTAAAATTTCTACTTTATTATTTTAATGTGTATGTGATGTGTACGTAAGAACTGAGATACAGGGCCATCATGGCACACCTGTAAACCAGGAACATTTTCTTCTTGGCTTCAAATTATTAACCCTACTGTGCCGTTTAGATTTTTGTTGTTTCTTTATTGGGGGAGATATATCCAGGTAAGATGTACATGGGGGCTAAAAGAGGGTATTGGGTCTCCTGGAGCTAGAGTTACAGGGGGTTGTGAATCCCGTGGGTGCTGGGAACTGAACTTTGGTCCTCTATAAGAATGGTACATATGCTGGGTGGTGGTGGTGCCACCTTTAATCCCAGCATTTGGGAGGCAAAGGCAGGTGGATCTCTGTGAGTTCGAGGCCAGCCTGGTCTACAAGAGCTAGTTCCTGGACAGGCTCCAAAGCTACAGAGAAACCCTGTCTCAAAAAAAAAAAACCACCCATACTTTGAAGTCCAGAGCCATGTTTCCAGCCCTTAAGCGCTAGTGAAAGTCTGTGGCTCAATGGTTATGTCCTATGTTAAGGGAGGCTATTGGTCCAAATGCCAACAAGGACAGACACACTGGATTTTTGTAGCATGAGCTAGTGGGAAAACAGTGCAAGGCTGCCCTGCTACCTTACTGCGCTCTGCAACTTTTTCAAAGCAGCAAGGAAGACAAGCTCCATACTTGTCAAATAGAATTCTAGTTGGATTATTTACAATTTATGCAATAAATATTTAATGACCTCAACACATTAATTTGTGCTTTATTTCACCAGAGAACTAATTCTCCTGCTCGCTTCTTCTCCAAGTGTACTGCTAATGTATGTCAGGTCACAGTAAACGAATGTCGGTGATAGCTTACCTGATCCACTTTTGCTCTCCTCAGCTTCTGCAGGGTTCTGTCGGACGTTAAAACTTTTGAACTGCTGTGGGCTTCAAAATATTCTTCTACCAAGTCACTCTGAAATAGACAAAGTAATGGCAGGTCTAAGTAATTTCACGTATGTATACTGCATAAAATTTAGATGGCAATATAGTTAAAATTGGGCTCAGGAAATCCTCCTGCCTCAGCTTCCCAAACAGCTGGGAAAGAGAGGTGTATGTTAACATGCCTAACTAAAATACCTTATCTGACAGTATTTTTTTAAAAACCAGGTCAAGAATCAAAGATATTTAATCCCAACAATAAGTTCAAGTAACTGATGAAAATATAACTTGAAAGATAGATTGATTGGAAAGGCTGTGGTGGTGGCATATGCCTTTAATCCCAGTACTTGGGAGCAGAGGTAGGCGGATATCTGAGTTCAAAGTCAGTCCAATCTCCATACAGGACAGGCAGAGATATGTAGTAGAGAGACTATGTATGTTATGGTACTAATCAAGAATAAGCACCCAGAACTGAAAAGAAAGCCCAAAGACAGAAACGAGTATGTGTGGAAATTCATGTGTAAAGCTAAGAAAATAAGGAAGGTGAGGGCTGATCTCTGCTGTAGACCTGCCCGTTTCAGGCACACAGTTCCCCTGGAGGCCCCAGGCTCCGTCTTCACTCACGGCTTTGTCTCTTTTCATCTTCTTAGGCGGCGTCCCCTTGGGAGCAAGAGCTGGGGGTCCTCTGCTCTGAGCTGGGCCCTTTTGGGACAGCCCAACGGCAGTGGTGTCCTCTTCTCCATCATCCTCCGAGCTGGAGGCGGAGTATTCACTCTCGGTGTCACAGTGAGACGCGGGCACTGCAGAAGAAGCGGAGGAATCGGGGAGACTCAGCGGTTTGAAAGGAGAGCTATTTGAGGAAAATCAAACATGTGGGCTTTCAAGTAAGGGACTATTTATTTATTTATTTTATTATGTGTGCATTGGTGATTTCCCATGGGTGCCTGGCCCTTGGAATTAGTTACAGAATTGTGAGCTGCCATGTGGGTACAGAGAATTGAACCCAGGTTCTCTGCAAGAGCAATCAGTGTTCTTAACCCCTCAGCCATCTCTCCAGGCCCCAAAGTAAGAGACTTTTAATTACAATTTTGTCATTGCTTGTTCATTTTTTCACAGCTAATTATACATATTTTCTAAGCACTAGCTTCTTCAATTATCACATGAGGGTAAGCATAGCTAAATAATCTACTGGAAAATTATATATTTATACGAATCATTTGTGTGTGTGTAATGAATACTCCTGTGTGAACGTGTGGGGTTGGCATGTATTTGTGTGTGTGTGTAATGAATACTCCTGTGTGAACGTGTGGGGTTGGCATGTATTTGTGTGTGTGTGTAATGAATACTCCTGTGTGAACGTGTGGGGTTGGCATGTATTTGTGTAGTGCCCATCTATGCACGTACACACAGAGGCCTGACGTTGATTTAAGTGTCTTGATCCCTCACAATACAGGCAGGTTCTCCTGCTGACCCCGGAGCTTGCCAGCTTGCTCAGGGGATACTGCCTTAGCTACCGTGCATGCTGGAGTCACAGACGGGCTCTATGCCTACCTGTTTCTCTATGGGTCCTGTTATTAGAACTCTTATTCTCATGTGAGATACTTTCCCTAAATTATTCGTGTAGAAACGTTTCTAACACACCCTGCTCGACCCCACAGCTGATTCACAAGCCACTGTCACTCCCACCAGCCTCCCAGAAACAAGAGCTCATCTTTTACTGCCAAATAAAGGTATCGCCAGCTTTATACCCAACAATCAGCACAGAATTACGTCTGGGGGCTGAGAGATGGCTCGGTGGAGAAGAGCACAGCCTGCTGTCCAGGAGGATCTGAGCCGGAGCACCAGCACCGCGTCAGGAGGCTGACAGCTGCCTATTGTCATAACTCCTGACCTCTCTCACATCTCTGACCTCTGTGGGACTCGCATTCATGTGCACACATAATTAAAATAATAAAAATAAATCTTTAAAAAACTGTTTGACTCCCAAAATACTGGTAACTTTAACCAGGTCAGTTGTTGACTGTGAATGACAAAAGGTTTCCTAGGATTGTGCAGAGTTGGTATATAACACAAAGGCATATTAACTCTGTGGGTGTAGACACGGCCTACAGTCTAGAAAACGGGTCACTCTGTGGGTGTAGACACGGTCTACAGTCTAGAAAACAGGTCACTCTGTGGGTGTAGACACGGCCTACAGTCTAGAAAACGGGTCACTCTGTGGGTGTAGACACGGCCTACAGTCTAGAAAACGGGTCACTCTGTGGGTGTAGACACGGCCTACAGTCTAGAAAACGGGTCACTCTGTGGGTGTAGACACGGCCTACAGTCTAGAAAACGGGTCACTCTGTGGGTGTAGACACGGCCTACAGTCTAGAAAACGGGTCACTCTGTGGGTGTAGACACGGCCTACAGTCTAGAAAACAGGTCACTCTGTGGGTGTAGACACGGCCTACAGTCTAGAAAACGGGTCACTCTGTGGGTGTAGACACGGTCTACAGTCTAGAAAACGGGTCACTCTGTGGGTGTAGACACGGTCTACAGTCTAGAAAACGGGTCACTCTGTGGGTGTAGACACGGTCTACAGTCTAGAAAACGGGTCACTCTGTGGGTGTAGACACGGTCTACAGTCTAGAAAACGGGTCACTCTGTGGGTGTAGACACGGTCTACAGTCTAGAAAACGGGTCACTCTGTGGGTGTAGACACGGTCTACAGTCTAGAAAACGGGTCACTCTGTGGGTGTAGACACGGTCTACAGTCTAGAAAACAGGTCACTCTGTGGGTGTAGACACGGCCTACAGTCTCGAAAACAGGTCACTCTGTGGGTGTAGACACGGTCTACAGTCTAGAAAACGGGTCACTCTGTGGGTGTAGACACGGTCTACAGTCTAGAAAACAGGTCACTCTGTGGGTGTAGACACGGTCTACAGTCTAGAAAACAGGTCACTCTGTGGGTGTAGACACGGCCTACAGTCTAGAAAACGGGTCACTCTGTGGGTGTAGACACGGCCTACAGTCTAGAAAACGGGTCACTCTGTGGGTGTAGACACGGCCTACAGTCTAGAAAACAGGTCACTCTGTGGGTGTAGACACGGCCTACAGTCTAGAAAACAGGTCACTCTGTGGGTGTAGACACGGCCTACAGTCTAGAAAACGGGTCACTCTGTGGGTGTAGACACGGCCTACAGTGTAGAAAACGGGTCACTCTGTGGGTGTAGACACGGCCTACAGTCTAGAAAACGGGTCACTCTGTGGGTGTAGACACGGCCTACAGTCTAGAAAACAGGTCACTCTGTGGGTGTAGACACGGCCTACAGTCTAGAAAACGGGTCACTCTGTGGGTGTAGACACGGCCAAAGAGTCTGGAAGCATCAGTTTCCTTTCTCATATGAAAAGTGGTAGAAATGAGAGCAGGAACTGCTACCCTGATTACACTGGGACCAAAGGCTTAAAACACAAGCCAGAACTTGTACACCCGGAACTTGTATACTTTACCACTATTGATCCTGATTTATTTCTTTAAAGATTTATATATTTATTATGTAGAAAGTGTTCTGCCTGCATACCAGAAGAGGGCACCAGATTTCATTACAGATGGTTATGAGCCACCATGTGGCTGCTGGGAATTGAACTCAGGACCTTTGGAAGAGCAGCCAGTGCTCTTAACCTCTGAGCCATCTCTCCAGCCCCTGATTTAGTTGTTAATTTTTATATACATAAATTTTTTAAAAAAAAACCCTCATATTGTTAGTTATGCCTGTAATCTTAACATTTGGATGACTAGGAGTTCAAGGCCAGTCAGATCTACAAAGTGAATATGAAGCTAGCCTGGGCTATATAGATCTTGTCTCAAAAAAACAAAGCAAGCAAAACTTCACATAAAAAGAAATACATACCTATTATTCTTTTTCTTAGACTACGAGGTGGTGTTGACAGGAATTCAGTTTTGCTATTGTTCTGTTTAAAATGTAAACAGCACAGTAAGTAATATGAATAATAATATTTTAATGAATAATCAATCATAGAAGTAAAAAGAAATTCTAAGAAAGAAAACTATGCTGAGCTAGCTGAGTCTGTAGTTCCTAACACTGGACCACAATAACAAATGAATTTGCTGAAATATAAAGAGAAATATACAAGTTCTAGGGCTGGACAAGCCACCGCTGGCAGGAGACACAGAGCCTGCGTCTCTGTCTAAAACATCCTCCCCAGCCCCTTCAGCCTCCCTTGTTCTACTCTTTCTGTCTGCTCTTGCTTCCGCCCCATCATGCCACGGGAACCCTTGTTTCTGCGTCTACTTCTCAGCTGCTGTGACACAAACAGGAGAGATGATGGCTCAGTGGTTAAGAGCCCCGGCTAAGAGGTTCCAAGTTCCAGTAACCATCTAAAATGATCCAGTGCCCTCTTCTGGCACCAGAACACTGCACACATAATACATAAATAAAACTTTAGAAAGCCCCCATGTGCTCACACATTGGAACACTTGGTCACCAGGGAGTAGGGGCTCACGTGGCCTTCAAAAGGCCTCCTCTCCCACCATGTCAGTGTCTGAGGATCTCATGATCCCTATTACCCTCACAGTCACTTAGACGGAGAGGTAGAGGAGGGGATGATCAAGAGATGTCCTAATGTAAAAGAGAAGGGAAAAACCAAGAGTTTTAACAATTCCTTCTGTTTTTCTAACATCTCCCTTTGGTCTTATACCCAGACAACTATTTATCATTGATTCAACCCACAGACATTGAAAAGAAAAGTCTGATACTTTCCTACACTTGAGCCTGGCCTAAGTTTAAACTAAAAGATAAAAAGTGACCTCACCTCCTTACCTAAATCAAAGAACAAGGCTCTTCCTCTTTGACTCTTCCTGAGAGCTGCCAAGATTTTCAACTTGCCTGTCTTTTCCTTCCTTTAAATATTACTTATTTATTTAATATGCATGTGTTTAAACATACTTGTACATGTGGAGATCAGAGAGCACCTTGCAGGGTCAACTCTCCTCTACCATGTGAGTTCCAGGGACTGAATGGACTCAGATCATCAGGTCTAGTTTGTATTTTGTGTATGGATGTTTGTCCGCATGTCTGTCTGTGCACCACATGTGTGCCAAGAGCACTCGGAAGCCAGCAGAGGGCACCAGAAATCCTCTTAATGGAGTTACAGATGGTTGCACTGCCATGGGGGTTCTGGGAACTGAACCCAGATCCTCTCTGGAAAAGCAGCCAGGCCTCTTGAATGCTGATCCATCTTCAACCCTCATGATGTTTTTCTTATAAATTCTAATAAAACAATCCTTGAGCTTCCCTCTGATTTCATTCACAAATTCTTTATTTATTTAAATTTTGTTTAGATTTATTTTATGTGCATTGGGCTTACATGTATGTATATGCACTACGTATGTGCCTGGTGACCATGGAGGTTAGAAAGAGTGTCAGATCCCCTGGGTGGTAAGCTGTCACACGGGTACTGGAACTCAAACCTGGGTATTCTACAAAAGCAACAGATGCTCTTAATTGCTAAGCCAAACTCCCAGCCCCTTAAATTCTTTTATTAACAAGGCCAAGAACCAAAAAAAAGAGTCTCAGTTCCCTAGTAACAGCACCTAACGCAGGGCACTCCGAAGTTCCTGGTATTATCAGGTGCTCCTTCCCATCTACTTACTTATAACATATATTACATATAATAAGTATTATTTATGTGTGTGTGCACCACACGGGTGCAGGAGACTGAAGAGGTCAGAAGAGGTCATCAGACAGATACCCAGGAATTGAAGCTGTGAGCAACATTATCCACGTTGTGGGCGCTGGGAACTGAACGTGGGTCTTTAGTAAGAGCAGTTGAGGGGGCTGGAGAGATGGCTCAGCAGTTAAGAGCACTGGCTGGTCTTCCAGAAGACCCAGGTTCAAATCCCAGCACCTACATGGCAGCTCACAGCTGTCTGTAACTCCAGTTCCAGGGAATCTGATACCTTCACACCAATGTACATAAAAAAATAAAGTTAAATAAATTATATATAAAAAAAAAAGAGCAGTTGAGTGCTTTTACCCCCATTTCATTTTATTAAAGCACGGGTACATCTTACTACAGTTATTCTAAGGTTAAGAATTGGAATAATTGATATCTATATAGCTAACTTATCAAGTCTGAGAATTTGTAATATCCTTATCAAAATAACTTTTGAAAAATCCCAATCAAACTCACAAAATTCCTAGGCCAGTTCTACTAGTGAAAAACACCCAGGACAGCTGTGACACAGCAGAACCCACGACAGCTACGTGCAGGACACCTGGGCTGATTTTCCAGCTTTATTCCAAGTGAGATGAACTGAGTAAGTCATTTCATCTTTCTGAAACTCAAAGCCTTTATAAGTCAGGTCTACAGCTGATAAACGCCCACAACTATAACATTCAATTTATACTAAGAGAGGAAAAACTACTGCCGGTCGAGTCTCGTTTGGGCTGATCTGTCAGTGCTTACCTCCTGCTGAACTTTCTCTGAAGTAGAATGCCCTAAATGAAAGAAAAACCACATTCACTACAAACATTCCATTTTGGGTCGTGCCTCGTTCTGTCGAAAGCAAAGCAGTACTTATCACACACAGGCCACCGTACTTTACCGGTCCCACCTAACTACAGGCTGATGGTCACTAAGGATCTCGTGCCTGCCCTCCCCCGGACAGCGGTTTGTGGCATTCTTGCACGGTACCATTCTGGCAAGGAAACAAATTCCTCGTTTTTATTAAAAAGTAGACTGTCTATCTTGGTTGGAACAGGTCATTCAAAAATAGATGTTCCGTGATTTACAACAAGCTGTTCAACTAGAAACTCCCAAAGTCTCATTTCACAGTATGTGCCCAAGCCACCTGTTCCACGAGAAACTGGCTGACTCAGATAAACAAGTATAGAACTTCAGGGTGGTTTTCAGTGTCCCGGTCAATTCTCACGTCAGGTGCACAGGCGACTTTGTGCATCTGATACTGATGCTTTGTTGTTGATAAATATAGACACATTAAAATTGGTGGGATTTTAAAAATTACAATCTGTTGAATGAATGTTCAGAGAAAAGAATTTGTGAAAATTCACTAAGATTTAAGAAGAGGAGACGCAAAGATCACGCTAATGCAACTGTGAAAGCTCTTCAAAGAAACGTGACAGCGTACTACCCTTGCTCTGCCGAGGGACGTTCTTCTTAACGTCAGGATCATTCTTTGAGTCAACCGCAACAACTTTTCTTGGCGTTTTTGCTAGTTCTAAAGCTGTAATCAGAGAGGAAAATACCTTTGTTGAATAGCACATAAAGAGGGAAGGAGCTTTTACTCACAGGGGCTCTTTAAACAAAACCTGCATGTTACTTTATCATAAAGAGAAGTAAATCTTCTTCTTAAGTATTAAGTATTAAGAGTACAGATAGCTGGGAGATGGTGGCGCACACCTTTAATCCCAGCACTCGGGAGACAGAGGCAGGCAGATCTCTGTGAGTTTGAGGTCAGCCTGGTCTACAGAGTGAGTTCCAGGACAGCAAGGGCTACATAGGGAAACCCTATCTCAAAGAACAAAAAAACAAAAAACAAACAAAAACAAAAAAGAGTACTGCTTCTTAAAAAAGCTTTAAGCTGTCTTTTTTATCTTTAAAACAATTACACTTACTCATCTGTGTGTGTGTGTGGATATATGCACCCAGTATGCACATGCACAAGTCAGAGAAGGCAGTATTCTCTTCACAAACATGGGTCCTGGAGATCAAACTCAGCCTGACACGTTTCATGACAAGTGCTTTTACCTGATGAGCCGTCTAACACTTCCTAGCATCTAAATCTCCCAATCATGCAGAAATTTCTCATAGCATAACAGAAACGACTGCTCTATTCAGTACCAGCTGATGATATTCATCCTCCTCCTTCCTTGACGTGTTCGTTGTGTTCTCCTCCCTTTTTTTTGAGACAGGGCCTCATTTTGCAGCCTCAAACTCACAGAGATCCGCCTGCCTCTGCCTCCTGAGTACTGGGATTAATGGTGTGCACTATGTCTGGCTTTCCTTCCTTTTCTTATATAAAGTGTAGCCATGACCTCCTAAGGTGATGCATGGGAAGGAGCTGGATCAAAAAACCAAGTAAAAACTATATACAAGTTAAAATTCTGAAATATTCTAAGAGTGGTGCTCTTGTATTTAAAGCTATACATACGGACGATTCATAAACTATAATACGATCTTGAGCAGAGTGGTGCTCTTGTATGTAAAGCTATACATGTGGAAGATTCATAAACTATAATATGGTCTTGAGCAGAGTGGTGCTCTTGTATGTAAAGCTATACATGTGGAAGATTCATAAACTATAATATGGTCTTGAGCAGAGTGGTGCTCTTGTATGTAAAGCTATACATGTGGAAGATTCATAAACTATAATATGGTCTTGAGCAGAGTGGTGCTCTTGTATGTAAAGCTATACATGTGGAAGATTCATAAACTATAATATGGTCTTGAGCAGAGTGGTGCTCTTGTATGTAAAGCTATACATGTGGAAGATTCATAAACTATAATATGGTCTTGAGCAGAGTGGTGCTCTTGTATGTAAAGCTATACATGTGGAAGATTCATAAACTATAATATGGTCTTGAGCAGATGGCTGCTTCTTTGCTGCAGCACCAAATGAAACAGTTGATTTTAGGTGGCATTTTAAATAAAACATCTGTCCAATCTTTATCTCTCACCGGGACAAGCACGCGGAAAACGAGCCTACCTGAGGGAATGAATTTATCGTACTTCCTTTTCAGATGTACCATCATCACCCTTAGGTAAGCATGTGCACATGTATGTGAGTGCACATTTATCTTACTTCCTTTTCAGATGTACCATCATCACCCTTAGGTAAGCATGTGCACATGTATGTGAGTGCACATTTATCTTACTTCCTTTTCAGATGTACCATCATCACCCTTAGGTAAGCAAGTGCACATGTATGTGAGTGCACATTTATCGTACTTCCTTTTCAGATGTACCGTCATCACCCTTAAGGTAAGCATGTGCACATGTATGTGAGTGCACATTTATCTTACTTCCTTTTCAGATGTACCATCATCACCCTTAGGTAAGCATGTGCACATGTATGTGAGTGCACATTTATCGTATTTCCTTTTCAGATGTACCATCATCACCCTTAGGTAAGCATGTGCACATGTATGTGAGTGCACATTTATCGTATTTCCTTTTCAGATGTACCATCATCACCCTTAGGTAAGCATGTGCACATGTATGTGAGTGCAGACGCCCACAGCAGAGCTACAGGTAGTGTGAGTCACCTGACGGGCGTACGGAAACAACCTGGGACCTCCGCAAAGGTCGTACACACTTGTAACTCCTGAGCCACTTCTCCAACCTATTTCTTTTATTCTTTAAATGGAGAACGTGTATCTGTATTTATTTTAGGCCATCTTACTGGCCCATATGCCCTTCCTAGCTGTTAGAATTTTCAAGATCTTCTGATCTTAAAATTCAGCTGAGATATTCCACAAGCACTTCTTTTTTAAATTTCCTGACCTTAATTTCCCATGACTTTTCAACTTATCCAAATATAAAATATAAAACATATACACCCTTGCTTAATATTCAGGCCCTCCCTTATCTCTCCCCTAAAATGTCTCCGTAGATTCGATTCTCCAATCCATGCTCATCCATTCCCGGACTGCAGAAATGTGAATGGATGTTTTTAATTCAGTACCCTTCCTCCTGTAATTTTAACAAATTTCTATCAATTCTTCAAAACTGGCATTGCCCCCTTTCATGACTCAACCCCAAAGAATACCTTTCTACTTTGAGCAACCGTAGCTTATACACAACTCTACGGAGACTGGGTAGGAATAGAACAGTCCAGGCTTTGAAATCTAAACTGGCTCTGCCATGTATCTGTGGGTTTAATATACATCATAGGCTCCCGTAAACAGATAGATAGATAGATAGATAGATAGATAGATAGATAGATAGATGTATATACGGAACACGGCTCGGACCCTGGCATACAGTACTTGGTCAACAATAACTTCTACTGTTATTATGGAAATGACTTTCTTTTTAAGTAAGAGCAGCTCAGGAAGTCTTTGAACTCTCTGCCCTCTAAGGACCACTTATCCCAGCATTCTTCCAGGGAATACAGCAGAAGGTAATCACAGGAACGTGGTGCTGGCCTACCTTGACCGCAGGAAACACCAGAGTGACATACCTAATTTGGTCATTTCTTCAGAATGTTTTCTGGATTGAAAAGAATAAACTTTATTCCCATCTACAGCAGAGCCATTTTTCAAGGATTCTGTAAAAGAAAATGCAGGATGCAATGAGGAAAAAGGAAGATTGAGAAAAAAGATAAAACTTTAAATAGCTAAAAATCTAAAAGTTATACCCCCTCACTTCCTTTCATACAAGTTTACCAGCAGAAGCCAAACAGTGGTGGCGCACGCCTTCAATCCCAGCACTCGGGAGGCAGAGGCAGGCGGATCTGTGAGTTCCAGGACAGGCTCCAAAGCTACACAAAGAAACCCTGTCTTAAAAAACAAAAACAAGTTCACCAATAGATATTTACGTACAAAATACTTCTATATACACGACAAGGAAAACCGGCTAATCTTGTTTATTTAATCATTAACACAAGAAACATGCTATTTATAGATACAATGATTTTTTTCCAGACTGGAGAGCTTAAAACAAGAGGGTAAAACTGTGAGTTGAAAAGGGCTGATAATGTATGTAAGGCTATCTTCACTAGTTTTCTGTTACCCTAGTAAACAAAACCCCTGGGCTGGAGAGATGAGCTTCTTCTTCTTCTTCTAGAGGAGCCGAGTTCCCAGCACCTGCATCAGGATCCAAAGCCCTCTGCAGGCTCAAGGACACACACACATACACATAAAGTAAATCTTCAAAAAGAAAATAAAATCTCTAAAGCAAGAAACTTTATAAATACAAGGTGTTCATTTTCCTGGAGAAGGAACTAGCATGTCACACACACAGAAAGTCAGGAAGCTTGTGAGCGATCCAGGAGGCGTGCTCATGTTTTTATAACCAGCTCTTTCAGAAACTGTCTTAATTCATTCTAAAGATAAGTATAGCACTGTTCAGTCTAATGCTGTGTCTCCCGAGGCAGCACACATCGGGTGACTTAACTCCTAGTAGACCTTAGCAGAGCTCAACATCACCACCTTGGATACCACACTTCCAATGCATAAACCCCTGGGGACAAACCACAGCAAGTGTTCTTATAGAACAGACTTTTTTCTTTCCTCTTCCTAAAGATTCTGTGTTAGAGCTGGATGTGGGGGCATGGACCGACAATTCTAGCCCCTGGGAGGAGACAGGGTGGTCAGTAGTTTAAAACCAGCCTATGCCACATAATATCAAGTGTCGAAATGCCCATGGAGGAAATGAAAGATCCTTGGTTAGATGCCCTGTGTTCTAAAACTCAGGCCAGTGAGATGGTTCAGTGGGCCAAGAACCTGACTGATCACTGGGACCCACATGTGGGAGGGAATCGACTCCCCAAAGTTGCTGTCTGTGGTGAGCTCAAAGCCAGCGTGGGCCATGAGATACTCTGGCTCAGAAATGAATGGATAAATACATAAGGTGGGCGGGAGTTGTGGAAGATGCCCAACACTGTCCTCTGACCTTCCGACACACACATATAAATAAATATAACTAAAAAGCTGGGAGGCTGGAGAGGTGGCTCAAGGGTTGAGAGGAGAGTGTGTGCTGCATTGCACAGGACCGCACGTGGGGCTGCTCACATCATCCTGTAAGCCTAGCTTCCCGAGGGATCCAATGGTGCTGGCTTTAGGGACACCTACACTACAGAGGTGCATGCACACATACAAACACTCAATTAAAAAATAATAAATCTTTGAAAATATCGACATACAAAATAATGCAAATTTATATGTGCAAATGGCAAATAGAAAGCACACACTGCAATAATTCCATCTTCTCTGAAGTGAAGTGAGCATTTATTTATTTACTTACTTTTGTGCTAGCGATTAAACCTAGAGCCTCAAGCATGGTGTTCAGTGCTCTATTACTGAACTGTACTCTCAAATCTTTCTTATTTTTTGAGACACGTCTTACCACCCCGGCTAGGTTGGCCCTGAACTCATTAGGCAGTGCAACCAGGCCGCGTGGTCCTCCCGGCTCAGGCTCCTCAGTGGCTGGGATTAAAACTCTGTGCCACCAGTCTAAGCTAAGGAAATGTGAAAAAAATCCTTGGTATTACAAAATCTATGGCCTTGAAATAATCACATTACAAAAGCAGATATACAGCAACAAGGAATGCAACATTGTCACGGATGGGAACAATTGTCAGGAAACAGGGAAAGGGGAAGTAGCAGATGAGAGAAACAAAACATAAAAAATACAGGAGATAATGAACAAAGAACGAGGACATCTTCCCAAAATACAGAGAAATTAAAGACAAGGTCACATGTATTAGGCACTGATCCTCCAATCTAATCAGGACCTGTGCAGGGCAGGGGAAATTGGTTAGAGTCCTGCAGTTAAGCCTTGCCCTTAGTCTGAAACATCATCAGGACATATACCAATATTATGATCTGCAGGAAGTACTCTTACATGGAAAAAAATATATAAAATAATGATCTCATTATGATATCTGTAGATCTCATTATGCCTTGCTCTTGTTCTCCATCCCTGAGTATCGTTTTCAGTCTCTGAGGCTAACACAAGCAGTCATAAATTCGACCAAGAATGCACCCCGGAAGTGTCAGCTGCTTAGTCAGGAATACTCACTAAACCTTCTGAGGGACAGAGGCTCACTGAGCTCAACTAAATTTGGGCTCCTTGAAAATCCAGAATAGAGTTGGTATTCCAGGCCTGTTTTTCCAGCTACTCAGAAGACCAAGTTGCTTTTGTACATCCTGAAAAGCAGTTCCCCGCTGAATACCTTGAATATTTCTTCCCAAAACTTCCACGTAGTTCTGATCCTTTAGGACTTCCTGGTCACTCTTCTCCAGTTCACATTCTGGCTTCTTTATTATTTTCTGAGGATTGACCAAAAGCTGAGCTTTCTCCTTTTTTATTTTAGTTCCTATAAAAATATATATAAGAGTTACGAATTTTCTTTTTTTCTTATTTTGTTTTGTTTGTTTTTTGAGACAGGGTTTCTCTGTAGACCAGACTGGCCTTGAACTCAGAGAGCTCTGCACACCTCCGCCTCCTGCAGAGTGCTTGTTTTTACGTCATGCGCCACCACCGCCTGGCGTGAATTACACTACAGTCACCCAGACGGCTCCGCAGATAAAATGTGCGCCATGCCTGATGGAATGCACAGGGGCAAAGAGATCCATGTCCAGAGCGCTGTCCTCTGACCACCATGTGTATGCTGCACGTCACCACGCGTGTGCTGCACGTCACCACGCGTGTGCTACATGTCACCACGTGCATGCTGCATGTCGCCACATGTATGCTACACATCATCACGTGCATGCTACATGTGCCACCACGTGCATGCTGCATGTCACCACGTGCATGCTGCATGCCACCACATGTATACTACATGTCATCACGTGTATGCTACATGTCATCACGCGTATGCTACATGTCACCATGCGTGTGCTACATGTCACCACGTGCATGCTGCATGTCACCAAGTGTATGCTACATGTCACCACATGTATGCTACATGTCACCACGTGCATGCTGCATGTCACCACGTGTATACTACATGTCATCATGTGTATGCTACACACGTCAGCAGACAAACTATACCAAATGCACGATTAGTAGTATATAAGGCCTCTGGGGAAGTTACTGTTTTATCTTCCCTTAAACGTGCGAAGTCAGCTGGGCAGTGGTGGCGCACGCCTTTAATCCCAGCACTCGGGAGGCAGAGGCAGGCGGGTCTCTGTGAGTTCGAGGCCAGTCTGGTCTACAAAGTGAGTTCCAGGACAGACAGAGAGACCATCTCAAAAAACCAAAACCAAAAAAAAAAAACCCAAACAACAAAGATGTGATCCATGAGCATCTCTTCAAGTGTGCAAACACACATACCTCCTTCTCTATCGAAAATGTGATTGAGGACATCATCATCGCCCACAAATTGAACAACCAGCACCTTAGCTTCTTCCTTCATCTGTGGGGAGCTCATCATGGCCAACCTAAACAAAGTATAAGTCAGTGTGATGAACAATTCATACCAAATAAACATCGTGGAATGAACACACAGAATTACCTAGTATTTTTAAAGGGGGGCACGTACCACGCACTCTTCCGTGAGTATGTCCTGCGGTAGAATAATTCTCTTGCACACAGTGAAGACTTGTCACTGTGAGCATTTAATAAACAAACTGGCTGGCCCAGGGCTCAACAGGACCGAGGTAGGCGGGAAAGCCAAACTGAAAATTATGGGCTAAGAAAGGGCAGAGTCGGGGAGATGCCAGCCAGCCACACTAGAAAATGAGGTAACGAGCCATGGACCATGTGGCAAAGCATAGATAAAAATACAATTGACGTAAATGTAAGAGTTAGGTAGTAACAAGTCTGAGCTATCTGCCGATCGTGTATAAGTAGTATTAAGCCTCTGCGTTGGTTATTTGGGACTGGCGACCGGTGGGGAATGGGTAAAAAACATTGCCTACAACATCCCGTCCCTCAGTGGTGGCTTGTGACTGGGACACGGAGGCCAAGCCCCTTCTCTCCCAGCAGCAGAGGGGCACACTAGGGCACGGCAGCAGAAACCCCATTTCTGCTTTTTCTTCTGACAAAAAAAAAAAAAAAAACAACCCAAACCAACAAACAGCAAAACACTAAGGACTATTTCTCTCACGCAACTTACTTATTACACAGATAGCTAAATGTTGCAAAATTTTGCTTAATAACAAGCATAATTAAGTCGCTTTTTCATTTACCTTGTAAGGTGCTATGCATTCTGCAGCTTGAAAATTCAGTCACCTGTAACTAGAAGTCAGTCAAGATCAGCTAGCAGGTAAAGGAAAGCAACCCGGGTAGCCACACCCCCAGAGTCAGGCCTTAAACAACAGGAGGTATAGATAACTGTCCCCAGAAGCTAAAGCTGCTACAGTGGAACAAAGAGGACAAAACAGTAACTGGCTGAAGAAACCGAGACTGAGAAGAGAAAAGCATTAGACTGGCAAGAGGGGAGTCAGAGGAGGAAGGAGAGCACTTTCTGAGTTACACAGACTTTCCACCACTTTTTCTCTTGTAGTGAGACAAGGGCTTCTTACGTAGCCAAGGCTAGCCTTGAACTCAGAATTCTCCGCTCTACCTCTCAAGTGCTGGAATCATAAACAAATGCCACCAAGCCCAGCTCTTTACAATTATTCTAATGTAACCCTCAGAGCTCCAAGACGTTACGCTTTGTGGAGAAAAATAACAGACATTCCACCCATAGAGTCAGAGCCACATCTAGGAAAGTCCGTCCTTCTTGGGTCATTTTAAAGTCATGCTGCTTTCTAGTCTAGACTTCAAATATAGTAAACAAAATGTGTAATGCATCTATACAGTATCTGTATGAAGAAACTAATAATTTATACTTGAATGAAAAGACTTCTTTTTTTTGCAGGGACTAAGTTTGAGATACTGTATCAGGTACTTTCAGATACAGCAGAAACAGAGTCAAGTACATATCTGTGTATGTGTGCAATTACTCTACTTTATAAATAAGCTGTCAGCTAAGCAGTACATTTTTTTATAATTCACAATTAGAAATCAATTTTGACTGATTCCTAAATTCCTGATCACCTAATTAGATAGCTTGTTCCTTTCTCATTTACCTTGCAAAGCATTTCCTGTCACTGAATAAAAATTTTACTCTAAGTCAGGTAGCAATGGCTCACACCTTTAATCCCAGCACTCGGGAGACAGAGGCAAGTAGATTTCTGTGAGTTCGTGGCCAGCCTGGTCTACAAGAGCTTGTTCCAGGACAGGCTCCAAAGCTACACAGAAAACCGTGTCTCAAAAAAAAAAAAAAAACAACAATAAATAAATGAATATTTTAAAAATCTTACTCTAACTTGCTTGTTATGCTCTCTGAAAACTTTCCATAGATGTCATCATAAAACAAAACATGTGGTTCTGGACTTCAGGGCAATGAGCGGAGAGAAAGGGAGCAGAGAGGGGAAGACTGAGACACAATTTTCATTAGCAAAGCTAAATAATTCCTGTCAGTGAATCTTCAAGGACTTTTACAAAAATAGTCTAGGTAACTAAATATTATGACAGGCGATTTCCCCGTGGTAGTTCACTGTGTATGTGTGTGGGGGGGGGGGGGGGGGTCAGAAGACCACTTCTGACGTCATATTCCCTGAGCTATTCCTTTGAGAGCAGAAGCTGGTAGAGCATGCTGGTTGACCAGCAACTCCGGGAACCCACCTGGCTCTGCCGCCCCAACTGTAGGACTGCAAGCTCCCAGGCCACCAAATCTTTGGGTTTGTTGTTGCTGCTGGTGCTGTTAAATAACATGGGTTTTAGGGACTGAACTCAGGTCCTTGTGCTTCCAAGACAAGCACTTTACCAACTGAGCAGTCTCTCTAATACCTATTGCATCTTATTTTTACTGTGCGCGCGCGTGTGTGTGCGCGTGCATGTGTGTGTGTGCGTGCATGTGTGTGTGTGCGTGTGTAAGAAACAATGATCTCATGAATTCTAGACTGGCCTCCAACCAAAGATAACCTTGAACTTCTGACACAGCTTCTACCTCCCAAACGCAAGTGTTACCACGCCTGGCTTATACTATGCTATGGACGGAGACCAGGACTTTCAGCAGGCTAAGCCAAGAGCTCCAATCGTACGACATCCTTAGTCCCTTAATCTACTTCCTGTGATGTCTCACAATTTATAATACAAGCTGGCTTTGAACTTGCGATTCCGTTACCTCAGCTTCAACAGCAGTGGGATGGCAGCCACCATACCCAGATCTAGTATTTTAATCATCTCCTAGGTGAGAGGGCCCATGTGGTCAAGGATGGCCATGAATGAGGCCCAACACAAAACTGTGAAAATAAACACTGAGTTCTTTTTGCAAGTTTTCTTTTCTTTCTTTCTTTTTTTTTTTTTTTTGGTAACTGGATTATGATGTTCTCAGCCATGAACTATGTGGATGACAGCAACATTGTATCCAAATGTCAAAAAAGGTCGGAAGTACCTGCCTTTGGCAACTGTTGTATCTAAATGTCAGAAGGGCTGGATATACCTGCAATCTCGTTTGTATCAAAATGCATTTATTTATACAATATATTCTGTTGGGACCAATTGAGTCCGGGCCTTCGGCTGCTCTTCCCTGTCTAGAGCCTTCTAATTGAAGTGACTAAAAGCTGTGTTTTGCCTAGAGGATCAGAGGATGGGATTTTCACCTGGTGGCCATTGACTGCAAGGTATTTAAGCCTCCAAGGTGCTACTAAAGAAGGGCTTTTTGGTACCAGTGTTGGAAGGTCTGTGTCGGTCTGTCTCTGCGTGTGTATTCTCAACCTCCAGTCCCTTGCCCAAAGCTCGTGAACTGGGTTCCAGCGCATAGAGCGCAGACGGGGGCCGCAGTGCATGACAATATCCGTTTTTGAGTTTTGAGTTTAAAATATTTTCTGTACACAGAGAAACCCTGTCTCAAAAAACCAAAAAAAAAAAAAAATATTTTCTGTAGCACCCCGTTGAAATTTCTACCAAGACCTCATGAGAGAAGTTTCCAACAATGTCCGACAAAACACTATCTAACAAATCCACAAAATACGAATGGGGGAGGCTGAGAAGATAAAGCATTTGTCCCACGAGTGTCAGAATGGGAGCTGAGGTCCTTGCAGCCATTTAAAAGTTGAGCCAGTGCTCAGAACTGGGGAGGGCGGAGAAATGGGATCCCTGAGGCAAGCTGGCTAACCAAACCAGCAAAGCCCGGGTTTCAGTGAGAGCCCCAGCTTCAGTAAACATCATGAAGAGCAATCGGGAGAGACACCTAAAATTAACGTTAACCTCTGCCCTCCACATACACACTCGTGGACACACCACACCCCCACAACCAACCAATGAAATACAGATATCCACAGCGAGCGTCTAGGTGTTAAAGGGTCAGTTCTCCACGGTCAACAGGCAACCCAGCAACACCAAGCATAGGTAGCAATGCGCTTCTCTCTGGGAGTAAACACATTTACAACCAGGCACTGTCCCGAGGCAACCGCAGCTTTAGGGCACCCGGCAGGGATGACAGCACAGCCTTCAGCAGCCTTCCCGACCCGCGACCTCTCGGACCACATCCCTCGCAGTTCCCTCTCCTACTTGCGTTCTGGCTCCTGATCATTCTCTACCGGGAAGCCGGCAGGCTGCGTGCAGACCTCTCGCCACGGAACAGACAGACGCGTGGCTTCCGCAGACGGCGCCTCTCACGGGGGAGGCACCGGAGAGGCTGCGCCCCCGGATTCGCCCAGCATCACCCAGCGTCGCCCACGGGGGAGGCATCGGAGAGGCTGCGTCCCCAGCATCGCCCAGCATCACTCAGAATCGCCCAGCATCACCCAGAATCGCCCAGCATCACCCAGCATCCCCCAGAATCGCCCAGCATCACCCAGAATCGCCCAGCATCACCCAGAGTCACCCAGCATCGCCCAGCATCACCCAGAGTCAACCAGTATCGCCCAGCATCACCCAGAATCGTCCAGCATCACCCAGAATCGCCCAGCATCACCCAGAGTCACCCAGCATCGCCCAGCATCACCCAGAGTCAACCAGTATCGCCCAGCATCACCCAGAATCGCCCAGCATCGCCGAGCATCACCCAGCGTCGCCCAGGACCTCCCAGCATCGCCCTCCGCGGCGAGCGAGCACCGAGGCCGGCGGCCCTGCCTGCCGGGTGCCCTGAGGGAGCGCGCAGCGAACCGCGGCTGCAGCGGGGCCGCACCGGGACTCACCTCAGGCATCCGGAGCCGGCGGGAAGGAGGACGGGAAGGACGACGGCCGTGAAGCCTCCACGCCCCTCCAGGCAGGACTCCCGCCGCCCCGAGGACCGCCGGGACCGACTTCTCCGAGGAGCTCCGAGCGGCGCGAGCCGGACACGGGAGCCGGCAGGGCGCGAGCAGCGCGCCGCACGCCGAGTCTCCGGCCCCGCCCCCTGGCGGCGCCCTCGGCGACCAATCAGGAGCCGAAGTGGCAAGAGCGACGGCCCCGCGGGCCCGTTGACGCGAGCCAGGGGGTCCTCACTCCGCCGGAAAGGAGATCCCCCAAAAACTGGGTTCCGGGATTTCCTCGTCTCTTCCGTTTCCGTTTCCGGGGGCGGGACTGGAGCGTGGGGTCGTTGTCTGGAAGCTTTGGGTCACGGTCGCGATGGCGTGGTTATTTTCGGGCAATCTTCATGTTGTTAGCCCAGCCACCGTGGGGGAAAAGATAATGAAAACGGATTTGCATAAAGAACAACATGCTTTTTATTTAATTTTATTTTATGTGCATTGGTGTGAGGGTGTCAGATCCCCTGGAACTAGAGTTACAGACAGTTGTGAGTATCCCTGTGGGAGCTGGGAACTGGAACAACCGTTGCTCTTAACCGCTGAGCCGTCTTTCCAGCCCCGAAGCAAAGGGATCTCAAGGGTTGCGGGATGGAGGAGCCAGAGCCTGAATATGAAGATAGGATCCTACAATGAGTGAAACGAAGAGACGAAGCGGGACGGTGGTGGCGCACTCCTTTAATCCCATCACTCGGGAGGCAGAGGCAGGAGGATCTCCGTGAGTTCGAGGCCAGCCTGCTCTACAGAGCTAGTTCCAGGACAACCAGGACTGTTACACAGAGAAACCCTGTCTCCCAAAACAAAAACAAACAAAGCAAGAAAGAAAAAGAAATGAAGAGACAAGGTGGAAAGGGGGGCTTATACAGAGAAAAGGGAAAGAAAAACCTGGCTGGGATGCATAACAGTATTTGTTCACTAACAGGATTATGTCATTTCAAACAAAGCACACTTAGTACCCAGCAGTAAGGATACAATACTCGGGTAGATAAAAGATCCCTCTGTCCTCGGAATGGGAAGATACTGGCAGCGGGAGTGCTTACTAACTATGGAGAGCATGGGCCTATGAGCTGTAAGGTGCTGAAATTAAGATTGTTGCAACTAAATTAGGATCGTAGCTACGGAAGTAACTCCATTTTGTACAAAGTTACCATGGCTGTCACCAGCTTGAGTTTGTTAAGTCAGTCCCAGGTTAAGCCTTTTAAAGTCGTCTAGGAGAGCTGGAGAGATGGCTCTGTGGTTAAGAGCACCACCTGCCCTTCTTAAAGGTCCTGAGTTCAATTCGCAACCACGTGGTGGCTCACAACCATCTGTAATGAAGTTTGATGCCCTCTTCTGGCCTGCAGCAGACATGCAGACAGAACACTCTACACAATAAATAAATAAACCATACAAAAAAATAATAAATAAATAAAAACATTAGAGGAAGTATACATAATAAAAAAAAAGAAAAAAAATAAGCTGGTCCAGGAAATGCTGACCACTAAAAAACCCTTTGCCTTTGCCCAGAAATGTGTAACTTTTGGGAGATCATTAACTGTTTATTTTGGCTTCTGTGAACATAATGTCTGCACAAGATTTCTCTTTCAGATTCGTTTGGTTTATTCACCCAAACTTTATATATTTATTTTTGTTTGTTTTTTTCCAAGACAGTGTTTCACAGTGTAGCCCTGGCTGTCCCAGAACTCTCTCCATGGACCAGGCTGGCACTGAACTCAAAGATCCACCTACCTTTGCTTGCTGGAGTTAAAGGAAAGCATCACCACCACCCATCCACACAGACATTTCTTATGACGTCATGTTACTATAAAAGTTAAACGGACATCTCTCCAAGCTGGGAACAGTTTGGACAGAGATGCTGACGCTGGTTCCACTGGGAAATGTTCTCCAGTAAGGAGGCCCTGGAGGCTTGCAGGCTAGGAAGCTGACACTGGACACGGGTGATGATTCGGGAAGCCATTGAGAGCAGAGGCCAAGGGCTGGCAATGACAGGCAGGACTGTAGGGCCCAGAGACAGTGTCGTAAGTCCAACCATCTCTGAGGCCAGGGCAATGCAGTCTCAAGTCCTTTTGGTGATGGGGGTATCAACACCCAGGCTAGAAATGAGACGAGGTGTCTAGGGAACGGGAACATGGCAGTGTGGTCCTTAAGAATGCTCACAAAGTTTCAATCTTTGTATCATTTCACGGGGCTTGGGCTTTGGGGCACCAGGGCTCACAACTTGTGGCTGGTTGCTATCACGTCAAAGCACCTTAGGGTTAGTTGGGTTTTTATTATTTTTTAATCATATCAAGGCCGATCCTTGGCTAGGTTAGTAGCTGGGCTGCTAAGTGGCCTGATTCTCGCTCTTATCAGAGCTCTCAGGTGGCAAACGTCTGTCTCACAGGCGTTACGTTCTTCCAAGTCACACCAAAGGGTTTCTCAGTTACAAGTTATGTCCTTAACACTGGACCACAGGAGTATCTAATTAAAAGGCCCAAAGGAATCAGGAACACTTTCCTTAAAGGAAAGTTTAAAGTTCCCTTTAAACTGAAACCTACATCCTGAATAAGTCGAAAGAGCGAGCAGAAGTTTTCCAGGAATAGTGAAAACGGGTGGGCAAACCGTTGAGCCTCAAACCCTGGAAGAGAAGGCTGCAGCACCTTTTTAATATAGCAAAGTGGAGGCTGGTAGGGGTGGGGTGGTGCTCACCTTTGATCCCCACACTCAGGAGGCAGAGGCAGATGGATCTCAGTGTGTCTGACTGAGGCCAGCCTGGTCTTCAGAGTGAATTCCGGGACAGCTAGGACAGTTATACAGAGAAACCCTGTAGGGGAGGGCACCAAAACAAACAAAACCAAAAGGAACTTGAGAGATGGCTAAGAAATTAACACCACTGGCAGCTATTCCAAAGGTTCCGAGTTCAATTTCCAGCAACTACATCCTAGTGGCTCACAACCATCTGTAGTGAGATGGGATGCCCTCTTCAGGGCAGACAGAGCACTTGTAATCATAAAATAAATAAATCTTGTGGGAGTCCACGTGTGGACTCAGTTTCCATCTGGAGTCCATTCTGACTTCAAGAAGTCACTTGAGTTCAAGTTTGCCTGCTCTGCTTTTTCCAGTAACTTTGAGGGCTGTGAGGAATGTCTGTGTCAGTCCAGAAAATGAACATTTTTGTCCAGATGAAAGAGCACATGTTTCTATTAAGATTTGGGCTGGCATACACCATGAGGCACTCCTCACTAGAGATGAGAAGCTGCTTAGCTGGATGAGATGAGGCACCCGCTTGAGCTTCCTCCCTAGGACAGTGCAGGGAAGGGGTTAGCTGACTCCAAGTCGCTTTGTTCTGCCTTTTGCCTGCAATTAGTATATATGATGGCTGAGAAATAAACTCGGGGCTGTTTGGTATTCTCTTCAGTCCTCTAGGTTTGTCCTATGTTTCTGTCTTCATTTCTCTTAATCTGCTATTCCTATCATCTCACACCCCCTCCCAGGTACCCCTTGCTGATTTCTGTCAGAGTGGGCTCCAACAAAATCTTAAACAACATCATCATCAACAACAACAACAAAAAAAAAATGGAGGCTGGCCGCCAAACTCTCCCAGTATCTCTCAGTCTCTATTGATTACAGGGAAGGCACCATCTTGGCTAAGGGTAGGGCAGATAGCCTAAACATCTTTGCTATAAGAGTGACCATGCAAATCCTGCCATCTTGACTAAGGGCGAATAGGACAGGTCCAGTGACCTATTTGGCATCTTTACTACGAGTGTTCACATAAGAAGCCACCCTTGGGCCACTCAGCCCTTGGTGGCAACCGGGACAGGGAGGTGCTGCAGACTGTGCAACTCTGCCCCTAAGCAAGCAGCACCTGCAACAGCTGCCCCCTCCCCCACTGCCAGGGCAGTAATGTCACTACCTGTCACCAGCCGCCTTTATGCCATTAGCTATGTTTTTAAAAATGCCCACTAGGCAGAGCCAGTTCACGGTCTTTCCTTGGTCTCTAACCTTTTACACTGACTCTGTTGCATCTGACGTTGTTTGCGTGACAGTCTGCCTTGAAAGAGCCCACTGAGGCATTCATTTCACGCAGGGACTCCACCCACCCACCCGCCTGCCTGCCATCTGCTGCCTGTTGGCTCTCTCGTCTGCCCTTCTGGCTTGCAGGAACCCCACCCATCTGCCCGCTCCGCCTGCAGCTGATCTGTTCCCTTATTCCTGCAAGGGCTCTGCTTTCTCATTCAGTGGCGTCTTTGATTCTCCTCTCTCTCCCCCTCTCTCTCTGCTACCATGTGTGAGTCAGAGATAGAAAAGTCAGCTTCCTCTCTGTCAACACACACGGGTTTTCCTTTTATTTATATTTTGCTCAGCTCCTGTTTAATGTGTGTATGTGTGTGTGTGTGTGTGTGTGTGTGTGTGTGTGTGCATGTGACTTTGGATTTAACCCTAACTGTGTGAATATAAGCTAGCTTTAGCTCTGTATGTGTGTAAGTGTGTGTGTAACTTAAATCCAACTGTGTGTTTGTGTCCATGCCCTTACTCTAAAGAAAAATGTTTTAAGCAGTCCTATTGAGCTCTGTTCATTGTACCTTCTTCCAGACTAAGAAAACAAGTCTCAGATACTTTAAATTTGTATATACCTGGGTTTTTTTTGGGGGGGTGGGGGGTTCAAGACAGGGTTTCTCTGTAGCTTTGGTGCCTGTCCTGGAACTAGCTCTTGTAGACCAGGCTGGCCTCAAACTCACAGAGATCCGCCTGCCTCTGCCTCCCATGCTGGGACTAAAGACTGAGCCACCACCGCCCGGCTTTGTTTGTTTTTTGAGACAGGGTTTCTCTGTGTAACTGCCCAGGCTGTCCTGGAACTTTCTCTGTAGACCAGGTGGCCTCAAACTCAATCTGCCTGTCTCTGCTGGCATTAAAGGTGTGTGCCACCACTGCCTGGATAATCTGTTTAATCTTAAAGCTTTGATCTCCTTACATTTGGTTATTTTAGTGTTAAATTTGTGTCCTTACAATTAGCATAAAGAAATGTATCATTATCCTATATATTTAATGAACCAATTTCACTTCTGCTTTTACAATTGAAAAACTATTCATCGTGTCTGTGGGTGTGGAGGCCACAGTAAAACTTCCAGCATGTGAGTCCAGTGGTTAGACTCAGGCCATCAGGTCTGGGGGCTTCTTTGTTGGCTCTCACCTGGTTTTGAAAGAAGCTTTCTCATTCTATAGCCCAGGCTGACCTGACAGCAATCCTCCTGCCTTAGCCTCCCAGTTTATCTGGTTATAGATGCGTGCCACCACACCACAGTTTATCTCTGGTTATAGATGCGTGCCACCACACCACAGTTTATCTCTGGTTATAGATGCGTGCCACCACACCACAGTTTATCTCTGGTTATAGATGTGTGCACCACACCACAGTTTATCTCTGGTTATAGATGCGTGCCACCACACCACAGTTTATCTCTGGTTATAGATGTGTGCACCACACCACAGTTTATCTCTGGTTATAGATGTGTGCACCACACCACAGTTTATCTCTGGTTATAGACGTGTGCCACCACACCACAGTTTATCTCTGGTTATAGACGTGTGCACCACACCACAGTTTATCTCTGGTTATAGACGTGTGCACCACACCACAGTTTATCTCTGGTTATAGACGTGTGCACCACACCACAGTTTATCTCTGGTTATAGATGTGTGCCAACACACCACAGTTTATCTCTGGTTATAGATATGTGCACCACCAGTTTTTTGTCTGTGTCCATTTCCTGGTGTCATATAACTTTAATGTATTGCCTTACTCTAATAAGATATATATTAAAAATTCAGATATACCTAGCAGGTGTGATGGTGTATGGTTTTAATGCCAGCACATGGGAGGCAGAGGTAGGTAGGTCTCCGAGTTACATGTCAGCCTGGTCTACACATAAAACAAATTCACACACACGTGAGTAAAATGGCATTTAAAATACAGCGAGAAGGACTGTGGTGAACTATAAAACTACAGTAAGATAAAATCAACTCAAGGAAATCCACTTAAAAGCCAAATAGAGCTGTATTTTTACAGCTGTACAAAAGAAAATTTACATTCTCAATGTAGCTAGATACATCAAGGGAGACATGACACATCCCTCAAGAGACACAATATTTAACATCTGAGATGTTACATTTCTGCACCGCAGATTGATACTGAATTTTTTACATCTTTATTTACAATAACTTAAAATATTCTTTCATCTCTGGCCGATATTTACAAGTTCAACAGTGACCACATTTCACAGTTCAACAACCAACAGCATGAATCCATCCGGTCAGACAGGCTAATGGCTCACATGCACCAATACATATGATTTTAGATGTGCGTTTATTTTTTTTCTTCAGCTCTGGGGGAAAAAAAAGATTTTTTTTGTCCTAGGTTGAAAGGACACTCGTCAGGAACGATCATACTTTTTATATGTCTGTCCAGTAGTTTCAGCAGCAGAATCCCACCAATGTTGGGGAAGTTTACACAAAGCTACAGATTGACGTTAGTTAAAAACAACAACAAGAAGTTGATCTAAATATCCTCTTATGAAACAAATAATAAAAGCAGGGTATTTTGTTTGCCTGTTACAGAAGTCACATTACATACAGCCAAGGCAATAAAACCCTTGCACTGCTAAGATGGTTTCTTTTAGCCAATTTTAAACAGAATTTAATAAAGCCTGCCTAATTTTAGAAGAACCTAAAGATACAATGTAAACACAGACTTCAAACATTGCTACAATGTAAACACACTGACTTCAAACATTGCTAACATCACATGGAGCATCTTTCATATCTTTGCTTCTATTTAGAAAGGATAATTAAAAACCCAAACCATTATCAGTCTGTCGTTATCTGAAAGCCAATCTTCTCGTCTGAGAAGCGACACATTCTTGTTTGTTTTTATTCAGATAGGATTTCATTAGCCCTGGCTACTCTGGAATTCACCACCAGTACCAGGCTGGCCTTGAACTCACGGACAACTGTCTGCCTCTGCCTCTGGCCTGTGCCACCATGCCCCATCCAATATTTATTAACTATAATAAAAGGACTTGTTTGGAATAGCAGTTTCAAAAAAAACTGTGTTTCATGATTTAATAAATCATTACACAGATTAAACCCTTTAGATCTTTTTGGCCTACGTCTTTTACAGATGTTTTAGCTTCCTTTAAGCCAATTATGTTTTCAAGAGTGGACATGTACAAAAATCAATGTGAATCAATCATTAGTTCAGCTAATAATAACACCAGAAACAAACGCCTCTGCCCACTCAGGAGCACCCTTCAGTAAGTTTCCCTATAATTCACCTAAACAACCCATAATAAAACTGACAAGCCAAATCCTTAATTTTAATATGTCATAAGGAATACAAGTTATTCTCTAATTGGTACTGTTATTGGAGCACTGACATCTTACTGATGTAAAGATAAACACAATCCTGTACGTCTGTTACTGTATTTGTGTCTCCCAGTTCAAATCATGTATACTTGTTCCCTTTGGTGTGAGAAAGCAATTGCATTAAAGGAGCTAAGTTACTTAATAGACATTCTGAAAATAATTTTGGTAGCATTTTCTTTGGTAAATTTTGTAACTGATGAAGACATAAAAACATCTCCTGATAAGACCAACACTGAACTGTTACACTCGAATACAGCAAGCCACATAGCAACTCTGTGGATGGGGACAGATCATCCAATTAGGTGCAGTTCTCTCTGTACATACAAAGATCTATTAGCCTACCTTCAGGTACACAACTTTAAAAAAATATTTATTTATTTATTTATTTATTATGTATACATTATTCTGTCTGTGTGTATGCCTGCAGGCCAGAAGAGGGCACCAGACCTCATTGCAGATGGTTGTGAGCCACCATGTGGATGCTGGGAATTGAACTCAGGATCTTTGGAAGAGCAGGCAATGCTTTTACCCTCTGAGCCATCTCTCCAGCCCCCCAGGTACACAGTTTTTAAAACAGACTCATTTATACCTTACGATACACTTGAGTCTACTCTTTTGGTAAACCCTATTAAATGTAGTAATATGATATCAGACATATGAGTATGTCTCAGTCTGTAAACATCACAAACCCATCTTCTTCACGTTCAGAAGCAAAACCCACATAGGAACTCTCGTCTCTGAACTGTTACTCTCGTTTCTGTTTTTATTTTTTTATTTTTCGAGACAAGGTTTCTATGTGGTTTTGGAGCCTGTCCTGGAACTAGCTCTTTACTCTCGTTTCTGAACTGTTACTCTCGTCTCTGAACTGTTACTCTCGTCTCTGAACTGTTACTCTCGTCTCTGAACTGTTACTCTCGTCTCTGAACTGTTACTCTCGTCTCTGAACTGTTACTCTCGTTTCTGAACTGTTACTCTCGTTTCTGAATTGTTACTCTCGTTTCTGAATTGTTACTCTCATTTCTGCCCGTTACTTCATGTCCTCCTACATTTCTGCAAAACTGTATCCTGAATTTGGTCTTGTATATACTTCTCATAGGACAAATGTCTAATGTTACAAAAATACTGCCAGGAGAGGGGGCGGGGAAGAAGCAAGACTTTGTGGTGTGTGGTCAGGGTTAGACAAGGAGGCGGGGCTGTTCCTCCTCCATGACCAGTAGGTTCTCTGCAGTACAGTACCAGGGTGATGCTACCTGTTAGATTCACACAGCACAAACGATACTAAAGGTTGTCTCAACACATTAGCATGGGAAATTGTACCAGTCTGATGACTCAGGATTTTATTAATATTATTTTACACTGTATTTCATGTTTATTCAATCTGGCAAATACTCTATTTTTAAGAGGTTAAGCTGTCAATTGCTGGTTTTCAAATCACTTATTCTTGCAAACCACTTTAAGAAAATTAAAATATTTCAATAAGTGTCTCACCCAACTTGGTGATGGAACAACAGTGGGCATTCAGCTCAAAAGAGAAGAGCCTCTTGCTCCAACGGCATCGTATAACCCCAGTGCAGAAAAGCCGCTCAGAGAGTCCTGTGCAGTTTCTAATCACCAGTATGACATTCTATTCTTTTTAAATGGAAAAACAATATATAATTGAAATACTAAGCTTTTTGGTTAAGAAACCCCTTTATAATATAATCCAAGTTCAGAAATGGAGTGATCCTCCTTCTCAGTGTTTTACAGTGTGCTATCCTACCCATAAAGACAAAAACTAGTATTTTTATTTATAAACATGCGGTGAATTAGATGAGACTGTCGGTTATCGACAACTGAAGTCCTCAAAAATGGACCAAAGGAACCGCATGAAACAAGGTGGGGAAGACACACCACTGCATCAGGGTGCTCACGGAAACAGTGCAAACAAAAGCAACCTGGAGAAGTTCTCCTCAGTATCCTGGTATCTGATAAATCCAGGAAGCTTAAAGTTACTGAACGGAATTTAGACTTCAGGTTGCAGACACTGAGGTTACACAGGGCTGCTTTCATACAGTTTATGTTATTAGTGGCAGAGGCCACTGCTCATGGAATCATAAGCACAGTAAGGAACAGCGTCTCTCCGGCTTAGGACTGAATGGGATCGAGTTTCTCTTTACTTTGCTTCCCTCCAGAGTGTGTGTCCTTGGTGACTGAAAACGGGCTGATTCAAACTCACTTTCAAACTGTTACAACACTGATCAATGTCATTCCGTTGGGTTTATTTTATAACAAACAAATCCCCACAAATACAAATAACATGGCAGTATGTCACTGCTGTGTGGCAGAGAACTCATAAGGCATAAATCAGAAGAGAATAACGTGCTGCACAGGTGTCTACGTTTGAGCACTACATCCCCATCTATGTTATTTTACATTTTTTTCCCTGGAATTAATACTTTCCTTAATGTGTTCACCAACTGCTAGACCAGAAACTGAGGAATCGCAGAAACGGAAAAGTATCCGCATATACATTTACCAAGTATGGGTAACAAGAGGCATCGGGGTGTGGCTATGCTGTTGACCAGGGCCAAGGTTTGAGAATGGCTGGACCTTACTTCACAGCCTCTGACGGTGAAGGTGTGTGTATGGCAGAGAGAGCAGCTAGGTCATCCCCTGGGTTTCTCCTAATGCAGCAATTCTGATCTGCACTAGAAGGCACCGAACAGCAAGCTGGAAACCGGAGGGTGTTAGTAAAGGAACAAGACTTTATTACCTCCTTGGCTTCTTAATATATTTTCATATTTTAAAGCCTTACTTCTAAGTTACCTTTCTGCTGTACATTTTAGTTTTCTTATTAGTAACATTAAAGTCACACAGAAGAACTCCCAAACCTTCAGGTGCTCAACTCTGTAATCTGACCTGGCGCAGATGGCTCCGACCGTTTTTTCTCTTAGTGGGACGAAGCTTCATGGAAGTCGGGAAGCAGCAAAGGGAGGTTGTTAAAGATAAAGAATGGGCACTTCTGGCTGACGTGTAACGGGTGCTGTATAACTGAACAAAAACCATTTAAATCAGATGCTGGAAGCACAGCAGTTAGAAAGAGTCTTAGAAAACTTATTTCATTTGAACTATTACCTAAGACCATGGCTATAAAGTGTAAATGAGGATTTCTTTACTGAGACCAAATCACAGCTCAAAGGACAGGATTCAAATGTTACAGGGTCACATATATGCATATGTAAAATATACATAGCAATAAATGAAAGTCTTGTAAGATGAACTTTTTTTTTTTCCTTTTGGTTTTGCATGACAGGGTTTTCTCTGTGTAGCCCTGGCTGTCCTGGAACTCACTCTATAGACCAGGGTGACCTTGAACTCAGAGGTCTGGGACTAAGTGCATGTGCCATCACACACTTGGAAAATATCTTAAAACCAACATTACAGTTATAATATTTCTAATTAAAAGACATTTTCTTGTATTTACTACAGTTTATGCTATGATTTCAAATTTTTTGGTATTCTTTTGTGCTTTAATTAAAATGCTTGATTTAGATGCCAACATATGTGCACTTGGGTCCACGAGCCTCTTACATAACCAAGTGCATGCTGCCGTACCGTGAGGGACACCTTCCACACGCGTGCTGCCGTACCGTGAGGGACACCTTCCACACACGTGCTGCCGTACCATGAGGGACACCTTCCACATGCGTGCTGCCGTACTGTGACCGACACCTTCCACACTCATGCTGCCGACCGTGACCGACACCTTCCACACGCGTGCTGCCGTACTGTGACCGACACCTTCCACACTCATGCTGCCGTACCGTGACCGACACCTTCCACACGCGTGCTGCCGTACCGTGAGGGACACCTTCCACACGCATGTTGCCGTACGGTGACGGACACCTTCCACACGCGTGTTGCCGTATGGTGACGGACACCTTCCACACGCGTGCTGCCGTACCGTGACGGACACCTTCCACACGCGTGCTGCCGTACCGTGACGGACACCTTCCACACGTGTGCTGCCGTACCGTGACCGACACCTTCCACACGTGTGCTGCTGACCGTGAGGGACACCTTCCACACGCGTGCTGCCAACCATGACCGACACCTTCCACACGCGTGCTGCCGATTGTGAAGGACACCTTCCACACGCGTGCTGCCGTACCGTGACCGACACCTTCGAAACCTTCCACACGCGTGTTGCCGTACGGTGACCGACACCTTCCACACGTGTGCTGCTGACCGTGACGGACACCTTCCACACGCGTGCTGCCGTACCGTGAAGGACACCTTCCACACGTGTGCTGCCGACCGTGAAGGACACCTTCCACACGCGTGCTGCCGACTGTGAAGGACACCATCCTTCATGCACTAGAAACCTTGTCTGTTTAGAATGTTAGGAAAAGTTTACTTCTCCAGTTTCCACTGCTTTATAATTTTCTAGTTTATACAACATCAGTGAAATGAGTAGAAATGGGACTGAAATGTGTCTGTGATAGCTGCATATCATATCGTAAAAACCAATAAATCATGGCAATGATGTGAATAACCGCTGAGGCTCTAGTTTTCCATTTTGTAGACCATCAGATCCAATCAGGGATAGTCTAACAGACACACAGACAGACGACTCTTCCAAAAGTCGTGGTGCGGAACAAAAGAGAGGTGTTTTCCTGGTTAATTTATCAAATTCTACCGTAAACGGAGATAAAACAATTCTGTCAATTAAGAGAACACTTGCTTTCAATAAAGGCAGTATATTTTTCTTTCACAACGACACATGAAATGTCTACACGTACAAGGGTATGTGTAACTCATGGTTTTGAGATGGACAGCAGATGAAGACACAATACTGATTTTCAAAATCCCAGTACATTCCCTTCTTTTTCAAACAAAGCCTGAGACCCAGAAGAGATTGTAAGAAAGTCTTTCCCAACCAAATCACACAAAAGAACTGAGCCAATAATGCATTCTTGTAACCTCTTAGCAGTCACCAAACGCTACTGACATACATTCAACATCGAGCTTACTGGCATGATTTCAAAGTTTTATAAAAACGAGAAACTTTGCAGATAATCAGAAGATACACAAATTGCATTAAACACAAAGGCAGTGTGGTCCTTGTGGAGAAATCAAGTCAGTACCCTCGGGTAGAAACGCTCTATAAAAATGTGTCACATTGAAGCATCAGTGTTTTCAGCCAGTTTTCTGTCCCTGATGCATGTCCTCGGAGCGTACGATCTCAGGACTTTAGGCTTCTTTATCATCCACTATCTGACTGAATTTAGGTACATCTGGGAAGCAGCTGAAAGGGATTCTCCGACAGCCTGACGTCACAGAACGTGGACCGAGAAATCCCCCTCTTTACCTGAAGACGCACGGTTCCTACTTCAGTCATCATCAGCTCACACAGGAAGAGAAGGAAACAGTTACAACCTCACCTCACTTACACTCTCACGCAAACCAAACAAAGCACCCTTCCCCCCACGAAACCCCAGCACCAAAGAAAGTGTCAATCATTCCCAGGAAATAGAGCATGCCCCTTGGAGTCTCTGATTGGCTAGTTCAAACTTTAAGGGCAGAAATGTCCCTAAGTCCTTGTGGGAAGAGGGAAGACGTGTTGTTGATGACTACAGAGCCATTGAGAAAGTGCATTAATTACACAATCAACTCGGAGCCTTCCCCTCCGGTGGAGGTGCTCACAAGCTGACTAAATGCCTCAATAACTAAATGTTTATGATCTTGGGATCGAGGAAAGGGGGCAGCTAGCCTCGTTTTAATGAAACACCGCAGTAGTCTACCACCTTCCCCATGCTTCTCAAGACTATAACATTGCACAGACTCAGAGAAGTCTGAAGTCATAGCAGAATCTCTGAGGCACTCCTGGTTAAGAGAGAGAAAAAAAATGATCCAGTTATCTTCATAGTTCCATAGATTATGTGAACAAACCCGTTTTGTTTTTAAACAAAAGCCGAAGGATCACTTCATAGGGATCATACACCATTTCCTCTACCACCTCCTCAGTCCCGATCAGCCTACGACGGATTGCACGTTACCCAAGGAGAAAGGAAGGCGTCGAAAAGGCAAACATCTTACACAGCTTCACAAACACATTTGCAAGGAATAAGTGGAGGAAATGAAAGGGGAGAGAAAACCTTATTGCTGTTTCCATACAAAATACAGTATGAAGATGCCTAGGCTAAATCACAATGTGGGATGAAGGGTCCTGCACAATGAAATGTTCAGTTTGAAAGGTAAGCGGATGGGGGACATCAGAACTACACCTGGGATATCAGCTGCATATTGAAACTCGGGGATCGAGACTGCTTTGTTAGGGGGGCTCCTGGGCTGAGGAGCTCCTTGCCTTCACCAGCATGCCCTAGCCGGTCTTCCTGGAGGCTGATGGCTGAGTATCGATTGGCATTTGTGGCTGCCAGGTTAGTCACCCCCTCAGTGCCGACCCCGATGCTGGTACCGGCTTGACTGCCGTTTACATAGTCAAACGATTTACTCGAGGAAGCGCTGGCTGTCCGAATTAGACTTAAGCTATTGGTTTTTGGCACCACCTGGCCGGCAGGCAGACTCAGGTGTTTCTTCATCGGCGTCAGCTCCACTGAATCTAAACTAAGATCTGCTGGCTGTACAAACTGCCTGCGAACTACTGAATCGCGAGGGCTCTCACTGGATTTGCCGGCAGACGCGGTTTCCTTATCTTTGGAGGATCTACCGGTGGCTACTTTCCGTAAGCTTCCTCCCCTCTGAGACGAGGACGATGCTTTGGTCCCATGTGGCTGGCTGCTGAGGGAAGCCCCAGATGAGAAGCCCTCGTCTGCATCGTTCACGTTTAAAGAGTCCTCTCCGCCATTGAGACCCTCAGCACCTACAAGAAACCAGACAGACTCAGCAACAGCTGGATGGGCACAAAGCACTGACCTGCTCTCATCGATGTTACTACGTCTGTAATGACCTTCGGGCCACAAACCTCCACACAGAATTAACACGCTGATCATCGTCTTCATCTTTATATGTCCTGATCTTGGGAAACTACCCGTAAGCGCTAACTAGTGAACTGTCAACATCTAGACACAGAAAACTAAAACACGGCACTGTAAAACCACACTGCTACCCATCTGAAGTCACTGTATCTACAGGTTTTAAAGCAAAACTCGTTCCTCCTTTGTACAACAGGAATTCTCTTCTAACTCCAGTTACCCAGAGCTGTCCCAAGTTATTCAGGCCTACAGGCCAAGCCTTTTCAGTTACAATAAAAATGCATTATTTATTTGGTAGCTAACTGCATTTATATAGCTTTTTAATGTATTTCTTTTTATTATCTACTAAATTTGCCAACTCAACTAAAACACGACGTTGCTTTGGTAACTCTACAATCCCGTCTTGTCTCATGGACACACCTGCATACTGATTTCCGTGTTTCCCAAGTCAATCAGCATAAAGGGTAATACTGACTGTGAGGTGGCAAAGGGGGCCAGCAGGGATATTTCTACTGTCTGTATTTTATATTTCCCAACAGTTTACTTTTTTCTTTTCTTTCAAGACAGGGTTTCACTGTTTAACAGTCTTAGCTGTCCTGGAACTTGCTCTGTAGACCAGGCTGGCCTCGAACTCACAGAGATCCACCTGCCTCTGCCTCCTGAGTTCTGCGAGATGCGGACCATGTGCAATATAATGAGGCTGCAGTTTCCAGACAGCCCCATTCTCTTACTGAAAGGTCTGATCAAATAGTCTCAAAATTAATGTTTTCTTCTTTCAAAAACTGAAAACATTTTCCCAGACTGAAAGAAAACTTGAATCTATAAAATAGATATTAACATGATAGTTAAGGTAAAATGTTAGGGAACAATCTAAATACTACTTTCAGATACAGGTTACCAAAGCAAAATGTATATATTCAAACATAATCTTCTACTTAACATAGTACCTGAGAAAATAAAAATATTTTTTAGCTACATTTCTTCACATGAATTCAAATTAGGCATCCTTAAAGCAAAAGACAATTTGTTCCATAAATGTATTTAAGTGTAAATACAAACATTAATATCTACAGCGATTTGATGTTAAATCACCATGCAAAGCCATGTGGAAATCCATTTACAGAAAAGAGAAAAGCAAGTGACATGAGTTCTCTCAGCCGCTGCGGGAGACCCGAGGACCGTGCACCTCGGAAATGGAAACTTTAGGTCAGATTTGCATCACTTCTTTTAATAACTGACTTCTAAGTAGTATAAATAATTCCAAATATTCAGAAGTATCAATATTAAACTGGATTGAGTTTCTCTAAGTGGTCAGGACAGGAGACTGAGAGACTCAGTGTTGGTCTGAATTTTGCTGCATGCAGATCTGGTGCCCAAGCAATCCGGCTATGTGAGAGGGAGGATAACATAAAAGCACCATGCAGGAGACTCTGCTGCTATTCATATACCAGAAATGCTATTGCAATTTAATACAACAGTGATCACACATAAATCACAGGCACTACCTTAAAGTCTTCCTTGAATTTAAACATATAGTAAACAAATGAATTTTTAAAATTTTATTGCTATTTTTATTGTATTTGTATCAGTATCTTCTGTGTCTGTGGGTGTGGAGGTCAGAGGACTCCTGTGGGGCTGGTGTTCCCTGTCTAACTGCACACGGGTTCTACAGCACACTCAGATCCTCGGGCTTGTAGGGCAAACACCTTTAACAACTCAACAATTTTGCCTACCCTAATAAACACACTTTTATTGTAAAAACATTACTATAAATATATTTTACTTTAGAGTACATTATATATGTGATCATAAAAGCTTCAGGGTTTTAGTGAATGAACAAAATTCTCATAAATATTAATCAATTTCCTTTTCTCTGTCTTAAAAACCCTCAAAGGATGCTGCGTAGTGGCACACACTTTTAATCCCAGTACTCGGGAGGTGGTGGCAAATGGATCTCTGATGAGGCCAGCCTGGTCTACAGAGAGAATTCCAGGACACCCAGGGCTACACAGAAAAACCCATTCTCGAAAAATCAAAACCAAGACCACCACCAACAGAAACCCCCAGGGAAATAAAACGCAACTGAGTCTCAGAACATGCTTCCCGTTGTAGCTTTTCTGTAGGTGAAAACACGCATGACTCCAAGACACACAGCTGGAAAGGGCTTCACTGACCCTTCTGTCCACAGCATGTTCCCTAACTTTTGCACCTACAAACACGTGTTTAAACCCACAACTACCCCAGGTTAAGAGATAAAATTATCTTGTCCTTTTGTGAGACAGGGACTCTCTGCCTCTGTCTGCACTGGTCTGGAACGCACAAGAGAGTAGGCTGGCCTGAGTCTCCTCAGTTAGGAGCAGAGGTGTGCGCCACCACACCAGCTCCAAGTGCGCTAAAGAACTGTATCCACTGTCCTTGGTCTATACACCCTGCACACTATCTCAAACATTCAAGATGAATTACTGTTTTGGTTCCTTTTCAAAGCCTATGACTGACGAATTAGAAGTAATGCTTTAGCCTAGTGTCACACCGGCAAGAATTTCAATGTCAATATGGTGTTATTTTTAGCACAAATACTCTCAACATCCTAACAATAATTATACATAAACAGAAAATGGTTTATTTAGTCATCAATAATGAAAAATAGATTGTTGTTTAGTTTGGATCCACTCTAGGTTCCAAAAATCTACTAATTTTATATATATTTTGCATTTAGACAAGAAAGATCTAATTGCTCTAGGGGTTAGATAGAGATAGGAAATAGACCAGAAGGGAAGGCACACCTCCACAGGCACGTCAGGAAGAGTCTCTACAGCAGGACCACCTGTGGGGGCAGCGGGCCATGCACATGCACAAGTGTTACATGGAGTGAGACAATCTGGGCAAACGGGTGAGGAACCAAGGGAACATTTAGATTCTTACTGAGCATGCTCAAAGTTCTAGTACACCAAAGAGAGAGATACTTCTGTAAGGTAGAAAGTAAATGTTCTGTGTTTGTTCTTTTAGTATGAAGAGCTGGTCTCTTTCAAGGGCACTCAGAGATGTATTAGTGTAGTTTTAGGGTAGTCCTCCAGGGGCTATGGGCTACAGTTCTGTCTTCCACAAAGCTAACTCCTGTGGCGTTCCATGCACAGGGCTCCTATCTGCCTACACCTACACGGGAGAGACAAAGCTCTGCTCTGCTCACGACCTGCGAACAACACACTTCATCCGTCTGGGGCTATCGTTATTCATAAACACAGGGAGGGCACAACGCTTCGGGACAGCAGTCAGAAGATGTCAGGGATTTATTAGGAACTTAGTCCAGCTGTTGAGAAGCCGGCCAGTTCCAGCGCTCTGTCAGAGAAGGGAGATACCCTAGGAACATAGCTCCACTTGGGTTTCTTAAGTGGACTTGTATTTAAAACTCTCTTCACAGACTTTTACAGAAGAAACCATCCTGTGTGCACATTAGTACGGACGATGCTGCATTAGAGTAAACATGCTCAGTAATGAAAGCCTCCAAGCGTTTGCAGACTTTTCATCCTGCCTTGTTAGTAGCCATGCCAAGCTGCCGTCTGGTGACACAGGGAAGCAGACTCCAGGCCAGCACAAATGGCAACTGAAGATCGCACCTAACCTGGTGCTAGGCACAGGGGAGGAGGGCTGCTTTGCAAAGAGGAGCTAGTACACCCAGGGCAGTGGAGACACACACTACAACGGAAAGGTCCTCCTCCAGCAACTGCCTCACTGACTCCTGCCTCCTCATCTCTGTCCTACCCTCTGTGGTGGCTGCTGCCGAGGTGGGCTCCGGCGAGCCATGCTCAGGGGTCCTGCGCACCTCCCCCTCTCGCACACGTATGATCCCTAGGTCAGTGGAGCCGTGTTGGATCGGGGAGCCGGGAATACTCGAGTCAGCCTCGTTTGAGAAGTCAAAGCCATCTGGGATTCAACATATAACATTTTAGTACTTTTGTGCTGCTCTGTCCTCTTCTGAGCATTCTGACCCAGGCATGTACATATGGATGACATCAACACAAACACTATCTCTATAGCTACATGTGTGTGCACAGCTCACACACACATAAGGCAGCAGATGAACAATGTGAGGTTCGCAAGTGAACAGGGCAGAAAAATGGGGATCGTTAAAAATGACGACGTCTCGTAAGCAAGACAGCCTGACTCTTCAGGAACATGTCCGTAAAATATTGCTGGGTTCAGTTCTTAGGGAAAAAAAGGGAAAAACAAATATAAAAATCCAAAAATAAGAACCAGTTCCTCTGTGGATAGCGTGTATCATACAGTCAGCTGGACCAGTCGTGGTTTTCCCCCACAGTGCTCATACAGGTACCTTTTCCCAGTTAACAAGCTTAAAAGCAACACTGTCCCCGATTTTCATTACTAGTTAAAAAAAAAAGACAAAATTTACCTAGGTCTTATTCTTCGTTTTAACATTAATAGAACAACCTAACATCTTTCTACTTTATAAACAGACATTTTTACATCAAAATAACTAAGCATTATCACACTGCTAGTACCATTTTTAAATGAAACTACTTTACTTTAGTCCACAGAGCATCCATTACTACCAAGCATTAGTGGGTTTTGTACAAACAGTGCTAAGTTGATTTGAATCCATGAGGAAGCCATGGATTTGCACTGACCTTCTCTTCTCCACCGATGACGCCGGATTGAAGCTGTTGTAATCGCAGTCCGAGAGATCCTCGGCACTGTCGGAGTGACTTCCACTTTGAGGACTTTCTGACCTTCTTGAGAAGAATCAGGTGCATCAAATGGTAAGGAGTTTTTCATGGCATTGGCGACCTAAAGTGATAACATCAGTCTGTACAGATTTACAACCGACATACTACTTTACCTCTTCCATAAGCATGTTCCCATTATTCTGAACATCCACAGATATACAATGTAGTATAATATAAAAGCACACGTGTCAGAAATGTTTATTTTCAATATTATATATTCTTTTTATTTTTTTGTGTGGTTTTTCGAGACAGGTGTTTCTCTGTAGCTTTGAAGCCTGTCCTGGAACTCACTCTGTACTAGGCTGGCCCCGAACTCACAGAGATCCGCCTGCCTCTGCCTCCCAATTGCTGGGATTAAAGGTGTGCACCACCACCGCCCAGCTGTTATCAATATTATATATTATTTTCAGCAGGAGTGCAGAAACGTGTTACTGTTTTATCACAGGTTAAGTTCTCTGTTATTATCACATGAAAAAGCAGGAATTCTAACTTGTTTTATATCTTAGTACAAATATTGAACATTTTTGTTTGGAATACTCTTTCCTTTTGAAACTCAGCAACTTCCAAAATCCAGTGTGTTATATGAGCCTGCTGAAAAAAATATATAATGTGGGTCTGGGTACAAGTTGAGCTGGTTGGTCCAGGCCACTGGGATGGCCCCATTCTGTCAAGGGGCAGAGCGAGCTCTCCCATGCCCATGGTGAGAGGTGAGGCCATCTCTCCCAGTGCAGAGGCGGCTCTCCTGCTACAGTGTCCAGGGACAAACAGGGCCAGGGACAGGCAGGGCCGCCCAGCATGCCTCATGGATTTCAGCAACCATTGCTCCCCTCTGTGACCCCTTGTGGCCTCTGATACAGTGTCCAGCAAGGGATGGGGCCAGGGACGGGCAGGGCCGTTCAGCATGCCACACGGATTTCAGCAACCATTGCTCCCCTCTGTGATCTCTTGTGACCTCACAGGCCATGGACATCACCACAGCTTTTTTTTTTTTTTCTAGACAGTGCTTCTCTGTGTAGCCCTGGCTGTCCTGGAACTCACTCTGTAGACCAGACTGGCCTTGAATCCAGAGATCTACCTGTCTCTGCCTCTTGGGTGTTAGGATTAAAGACAGTTACCACCACTGCCCACCTCTATAACTTTTCTATATAAAGGAAATAGTTAAGAATTTACATATTTCTGTGGAGAAAAATAATCTCCTTCAGTGACTACTTCATTTCTAAACTCTCCTAGTTTTGATAATAATAACAAAATGATTTCACACAAGATTAAACAGCCTTTCTTCTTCTCTACATCCGAGTAAAACTCAGGTGGCTGTCCCCCTTTAAGATAGCTTTACTGTCTGGAATAGCCAGTAGCTCACTGTGCAGCTGAGAACCTCCCGCACTTTGTGGCAATCTCCTGGTTCCGCTGGTATTTCCAGTGTAAACTACGACGCTCATCTTGGTCTTCTCTGTTCTTAAGGATTTCAAAATGTTTCATGTTTTCAATTTATCTCAACACCGCCCTGCCCTCTGCCCCTTGACAACACTGACCACATGCTTTAAGAAGAGTCAACACATGCCAGGCCGTGGTGGCACACACCTGTAATCCCAGCACTAGGGAGGCAGAGGCAGGTGGATCTCTGTGAGTTCCAGGCCAGCCTGGTCTACAGAGTGAGTTCCAGGACAGGTTCCAAAGCTATAGAGCAATCCTGCCTCGAAAAACAGAAACAGAAGAATCAACACAACTCCAGAACTAGGACCTAAACAAACCTCTACTCATCATGGAAAACAAATATAAAAAATGACTTACCAAGAGTGGCTGAGAAAAGAGCTCTAGCTGGGCTCTATAAATGATGTCATCAAGTACTTCCTGGCCAAGGTCCCACTGTCCATTATACCTGTGGGAGGCATTATTTAGTTCTTTCTTTCTTTCTGTTTTCAAGACAGGGTTTCTCTGCATAGCCCTGGTTGGCCTGGAGCTCACTCTGTAGACCAGGCTGGCCTGGAACTCACAGAGATCCACCTGCCTCTGCCTCTCGAGTGCTGGGATTACAGGTGTGCTCCAGCATTGCTCTGCTATTTTGTACTTTTAATAGATATCTCTGACCTTCAGCACTTTAAAAGAAAATGGTTCCAAGTTCTACTTCTTTAGTTATAAAACAAAACTTACACTTTACATTTCATTGCTGAATGTATCCTATAGTTACTTATAACAAAATGAAGATTTCAGCTCTATGTTTCAAGTAGTTTAAGTTTCTTTAAACAAACTGGATTTTATCATGTGATGATATTCAGAGTAATCTCTTTAAAGTATTCATGATAAGAATAATGAACTATATGGAAATAATACAGATTGCATATAGGAAATTAAGTAGCTATGTTAAAAGTACTAGACAGACACTGTATTAGAAAAACAAGGTGGCAGACATATCGCGGAACTAAAGTCTCTGATAAAGAAGGAAAATCCCACGTGCAGAATTTATCTTCTTCCTACTCACATGGCATAGTACACGCCTGTGAGAAGCTGCACCATGAACTCAGGATCCAGCACTATCCGGCCGCAGACTTCCTTCCACTGCTTCTCCTGCTGCCGAGGAAACCCACTCACACAAACCCTGGAAGACAGTCGTTGAGAATGGTTTCCTGGTTGGCTGATCATAGACTTAACTCATCACTCTTCAGCTATCGGTGCCTGATAAACGCCAGAGTCGTGAACTGTAGAACATGCCTCATTTTCAATTTTTTAAAGCATGCCTTTATTCATAAAGCATGTATTTCATGAAGTGACAAGTTTCTCCAAACAGCTAACAATCTCTCTCACAGATATCTTTGTACCTATTCTCAAACATATACATACATACATAGCTTTTATCCATCCAAAATTGTAGTGGAGAATTACTAGATAGCACATACATCTTAAAACAGACATAGAAGAATACTGTTGCTCATGAGACCACAATTATTTGATGTTTTACGCAACCACTATTAAATGTGCACAACTGTTATCTACTCATTTTCTTTGCTGTGTAGTCCAGCACTGGACTGGAGACTCTCATGGCAGTGGGGCTGTTCCTTCCACAATTGATCCACCATGAGTAACCTCAAAACATCAAGGTCTGTTCTCCACACCTCAGCAGCACCTGTTCCCGGGTACTGCACACCAAGGACTTCTGGTGCTGTGGGACAATGGTCTTTTATCCTGTCACTTGTATTATTTTTAATAAAATGCTGATTAGCCAGGAGCCAGGCAGGAAGAAGAGGTGGGGCAAGAGAACAGGAGAATTCTGGGAAGAGGGAAGCTCAGTCTCCAGTCGTGACCCAACCACAGAGGAAGCAAGATGTGACTGCCTCACCGAAAAAGGTACCAAGCCACGTGGCTAACATAGACAAGAATAATGGGCTAATATAAGTTATAAGAGTTAATAAGAAGCCTGAGCTAATAGGCCAATCAGTTTATAATTAATGTAGACCTCTGTGTGATTTCTTTGGGACTGAATGACAGCAGGGCAGGACAGAAACCTCAGTCAACATTTTGGTAGCTACTTGGCAGCATGAACTGCACTTTCCTTCTTTCCTTTTGAGACCCTGGCTGTCCTGGAACTCACAGAGATCCACCTGCCTCTGTCGCTGAGTGCTGGGATTAAAGACTGGGATTACTGCTCCTATAGCCAAGCTTGCCCTTGAATCTTCTACTTGCTGTTTATATATCAGTGTGTCCTTGTCCATTATGTTTAATTTTAAGATAACAGCTGATGCTAAATGAACTCTTTGGTCCTCTTTTAAGAAGGTGTAAGAGTGGTCATGATGCCAAATAGACTATGCTATCATCTCTGTAGGCAGTGATAACAAAGACCGTCGAAGCTCCTATTAGCCAAAATATCAAAACACCTGCCTTTTGTTTCACTGACTCATATAAACAGTGCTTCCAGGAGCAATCTGGTGTGCTGATAAATGACCCTAGACTTAGTGGACGGACCCGCCCCTTGTTCAGCTAGGCAACGTTCTATTGAGTGTTAAAATAATCTTTTTTATCATTTTAAAATGTGTATATGTGTGTGTAAATGTTGTCTGCACATGTATATCTGTGTGTCAGTGTTTTGTCTGCACGTGTGTATCTGTGTGTCAGTGTTTTGTCTGCACGTGTGTATCTGTGTGTCACTATTTTGTCTGCACGTGTGTATCTGTGTGTCAGTGTTTTGTCTGCACGTGTGTATCTGTGTGTCACTGTTTTGTCTGCACGTGTGTATCTGTGTGTAACTGTTTTGTCTGCACGTGTGTATCTGTGTGTAACTGTTTTATCTGCACGTGTGTATCTGTGTGTAACTGTTTTGTCTGCACGTGTGTATCTGTGTGTCACTGTTTTGTCTGCACGTGTGTATCTGTGTGTCACTGTTTTGTCTGCACGTGTGTATCTGTGTGTAACTGTTTTGTCTGCACGTGTGTATCTGTGTGTAACTGTTTTGTCTGCACGTGTGTATCTGTGAGTGTTTTGTCTGCACGTGTGTATCTGTGTGTAACTGTTTTGTCTGCACGTGTGTATCTGTGTGTAACTGTTTTGTCTGCATGTGTGTATCTGTGTTTTGTCTGCACGTGTGTATCTGTGTGTAACTGTTTTGTCTGCACGTGTGTATCTGTGTGTAACTGTTTTGTCTGCACGTGTGTATCTGTGTGTAACTGTTTTGTCTGCACGTGTGTATGTGCGTGTATGTCAGTGCAGGACCAGCGTTCTGAAGAGGACACGGGAACCTGTGGTCTGGATAAGCAGAGCTGCAGGCCACTGTGCAGATGAAGCCAGGGCTCTACCTACTGAGCAAGCCACCTCTCCAGACCCCTAAAATCATTCTCATTCCTGAGAACGTAAGCTCCGTGAATTTCATCTACTCTGTAGCAGACGTTAAACAGCCGGGCGGACAGGGTACCTCCCGAATGACCCTGTGACTATGATGACCGTGACCACTGCCCTTACCTGGAGCCCATCTGACACAGGGACTGGTAGGAGGAGGCCGGCATATACACAATGGCTGAGTTATAGCACAGCATGAGGAAGCTCAGGACCTCGAACCTAGAGCAACAACAACAACACACAATAGTAAATGATTTACTCACTAAATGGTTTTAACATCTTCATGATTTCTTCTTAATCAGGTTACTGTAGGAACCTCCTCTACAGTTTGTTTTATTCTTATTATGAACCATAGCCCTTGCTGTCACCAGTATTTTCTTTTTCTTTAGTGTTTTTTTTAATTTATTTACATTTTTTTTTTTTGTACATCAGTATTTTGCCTGCATGTATGTCTGTGTGAGGGTGTCAGATCCCCTGGAACAGGAGTTATAGACAGATGTGAGCTGCCATGTGGGTGTTGGGGATGAACCCCAGTCCTCTGGAAGAGCAGTCAGTGCTCTTACCCGCTGAGCAAGCTCTCCAGTCCTGCAGCACGTATCTGACTGGTTATACTAACCTTGTTTAATAGAGTTTGCTGAACTACTCCATAAGCAGAAACCATTTCCAGTAGAGGGGAGCGGGGAAGAATCTGGTTACGGATGACATGGAGACACCACAAGGGTGCTGACCGCCCGCTGGAGCCCCCGGGATGAGGAGGGTGTGGCGCTGTGTGAGGAAGAGCCAGCTTTCTCCATGGACAAGCGTTAGCTGTCCAATCCCAGTGGGCAGGGCTGGATATGTGCATATGCAAGCAAATACTCAGTAGATTACATATACACAGGCATATACACACATACATCCGTATGTATATACAAGTAACAATAATAACGAGAGATTAAGAACTTGGGAGGTGGGACACGGAAGAGCTGGGGAGATGGGGAGGAGTGGTGGAGCCTTAGTATTGATTTTCAGATTTTGTAATGTGTGCCTTCTTTGGTGGTAAGACCCAAGTCTATAGCAGAAACTCATTTATGTTTCACGTGTACCACGCACACACATGACATTCTGCTGCTTGTGCTTCACCTCTGCCCCGCCACACAGACTGTGTGCGGGTTGTCCGCCTGTGCCACTGTGCTGTGCCCACCAGGTTTCAGAACAGGGTTTCTCTATGGAACATCTCTAGCTGTCCTGGAACTAGCTCTTGTGCACCTCTACCACCCGGTGCTGTGAAGTTTTTATTTTTTTACATTTATTTATTACATGTTTTTAAAAACTTATTTTAGATTTATTTTGTGTGTGGAAATTGCCAGCATGTGTGCATGTGTACAAGCATGCCTGGTGCCCGTGGAAGCAAGAGGAAGATGTCAGATCCCCTGGAACCGAGTTGCAGATGGTTGTGAGCTACCATGTGGGTGGTGGGACTGAACCCAGGTCCTCCGGGAGAGCGGCCAGCTTGCCCCAGCGATCCCACCTGCCCCACTATGCAGTTTGACCATTACCGGTTCTGCGCAGTGAAGGTCTCTCTCTGAGGATGAAGGTCACTGTAAACAACCCTGATGAGATCATGCTGACACAACGCCCCTTCTGTTAGAGCCATGGATCCAATTGTTGAGGGCTACGAGAAATAAGGTGTAGCATGAGATAATGAAGTAAAAAACTTGTATCGTGTAATCGTATTTAATTCTGTTTAAATAAAATGAAGTTTGAAATAAGTTTTTTCTGCTCAATGACGCTTTATGTTTTCTTTTGGAATTATGTGAAGACAGAAAATTTGAAAGATATCACTGCACTTTCTGAAACATTATGGAGTTACTCTGCATTTAAGAACAAGAAAAGCTGCTAAAACACTTAGGTTTTACATTCATATTTGTTTTGTATTCCAGAACACACAATACAACTACCTATACAAAATAAACAATATTGAGACTATGATAAAAACCTCTTTAATATTCAATTTCTCACGTCGGACTTACTGTCACTACTATTCATTTTCTTTCATAACACAATACAAATAACTTAATTAAAATCTATTTCTCAGAAACATTATTATTCTATGTTAAAATGAATCTTGGTTGAATAGGAGATATACTATCTCTTTTTTGGTTTTTCAAGACAGGGTTTCTCTGTAGCTTTGGTCCTGTCCTGGAACTCACTTTGTAGACCAGGCTGGCCTCAAACTCACAGAGATCCGCCTGCCTCTGTCTCCTGAGTGCTGGGATTAAAGGTATGCGTGCGCCACCACCACCTGGCTGAGACAAACTCTTTCTAACACAATGCAAAGTCTCAGGGGAATTAATTTTAAAAATTAATAGCTTCATTGAGACACAAAATAGACAGGATAATGTGTGTTAAAAATAGAATATGATTTTTTTTTGGATAAACTTTTTAAATGCCCACAATCTGACACGTCAAATGCCACTGAAGATGGTAAATTTGATTCATCACACATTTCCTTATTGGATGTTACTAAAGAAAGCTGCTCGACATCAACATTTACCTATATAATCACGAGTGTGATCACAGTCTTCTCAGAATAAACATTTACCTATATAATCACGAGTGTGATCACAGTCTTCTCAGAATAAACATTTACCTATATAATCACGAGTGTGATCACAGTCTTCTCAGAATAAACATTTACCTATATAATCATGAGTGTGATCACAGTCTTCACAGAATAAACATTTACCTATATAATCACGAGTGTGATCAGTCTTCACAGAATAAACATTTACGTATATAATCATGAGTGTACCCATAGTCTTCTCAGAATAAACATTTACCTATATAATCACGAGTGTACCCATAGTCTTCTCAGAATAAACATTTACCTATATAATCACGAGTGTGATCACAGTCTTCACAGAATAAACATTTACCTATATAATCACGAGTGTGATCACAGTCTTCACAGAATAAACATTTACCTATATAATCACGAGTGTGATCACAGTCTTCTCAGGATAAACATTTACCTATATAATCACGAGTGTGATCACAGTCTTCACAGAATAAACATTTACCTATATAATCACGAGTGTGATCACAGTCTTCTCAGGATAAACATTTACCTATATAATCACGAGTGTGATCACAGTCTTCTCAGGATAAACATGAGCAAAGCAAATATGTTATCCATGAGCTAGAATGTGCATTAGAATCCTTTATACTAAAAAATAACGGAGTATCGACATCCTTCTGAGTAATTATTTTACTAAAGAAAAATAAAAATTAATCAATCTAACAAAGATCACCAGTAAACAATATGAAAAAAAAACAATTCTTCGAAAACTCATTTCAAAAACTGATTTAAAAAGATGAAAAAGAGTGGAGTGGTGGTGGCGCATGCCTTTAATCCCAGCACTCAGGAGGTAGGGGGTCTGGCGGATCTCTGTGAGTTCCAGGATAGCCAGGGCTGTTTCACAGAGAAACTCTGACTCAGAAAACAAAATGAAAAGCTGAAAATGACCCCGACGAGGGAAAACCCAGGAATAGACAAGAACTGGAGGAGATGTTTCCACTAAGCACTAACTCCCTGAACACAAGTTTGACACCACACAGAGCTACCCTAAAAAATGTGCTCCACGTGGGCTGGAGAGGTGGTCCAGTGGTTACAGCACTGACTGCTCTTCCAGAGGACCTGGGTTCAATTCCCAGAAACCACATGGCAGCTCACAACTGTTAGTAATTCCAAGATCTGACACCCTGACACAGACAGACACGCAGGCAAAACACCAATACACATAAAATGAAAATAAAAATTTACTCCGCTAAAATTAGTTAATTTATTTAATGTGAGTGTATGCACATATGGAAGACAGAGGCAATTTGTGAGTCAGTTCTCTCCTTAAACTGCAGAGTCCAGGGAACAAACTCAGCTGTCAGGTTTGGTGACTGGAACCTGCATCTGTCAATCATCTGTTGGCCCCTTACCTGCTTCCCTGCCTCCCTCTCTGCCTCCCTCCTTCCTTTTATTAAATGTGTATGAGCGTTTTGCCTGTATACAGGTCTGTGTGTCAGATGCATGCCTGGTACCCAAGGAGGCCAGAAGAGGGTGTCAGAGAACCTGGAACTGGACTTACAGGTGGTTGTGACTTACCATGTGGGTGCTGGGAATTGAACATGGGTCCTCTGGAGGAACAGTCAGTGTTCTTAACACTGAGCCATCTGAGCTCACAACCAAAGGAGAGGACTATGTATTAGGGACCTTGCATGGTGGTGTAAGCATTTCATTGGGAGACAGAAGCAGGTTTAGGAGTGCAAGGTCATCCTTGACAACCTGGTGAGCTTGGAGCCAGCCTGGGCTACGAAAGATCATGTTTCAAAAACAGAGACAAAACAAAAAAGTACTCACAATCTTTACCTCTGGCAAAAGCTAGTCTTTCCTCTCCCTCTCAACACAATGTGAAACACGCCAGGTTCCCAACACTACTTACTTCGTGGTATATCGAGGGCTTGGACAAGGAGGGGATGGTGAAAGACAGTACTTTATTATTTCCATCTTTATCAGCAATTTCCTACAGCAAAAGTGCAAAACAACGAAACGTTAAGTCCAGCAAAATAAATAATAGTTACTTTCTTAACTAACAGAATAGACTATTGGTAATTGCAGGGGAGTTTTAGAAACAATAGCACATGAAAACAGTATTACTCTATCACACCCTTTCAAATTTATTAGCAAACCGGTGTATGTGTGTCGGGAGCTGTTACCCACAGAGATACTGAGCACAAATTACATTACATAATATCCAACATGACAGCAAGGGCAAGAAGCGGGTGTACACAGAACAGGAAGGTCAAAAGTGACTAGATTCTAGAGGGCAAAATACTGATCAGAAATATGGGTCATTGAAACATAAATAAAACCGAGAGATGCACACTTACTGAAATAACACATTACTATTACATAACGAATTGTTTGCCGGCTTTACTGAGCTATAACTGACAGAATTTACATATATTTCTAGTGCATGTGACGTTTTGATACATTTACATTGTGAATGATTACCATCAGCAAACTTACTCAAATATCAGTGCAGCAGTTACCATTTTCATGGTGACAACATCTCAAGATTGAATACCGATTATAAGAAAATGATAGTAACTCAGAATGAACTACCAAATTGTGATGAGTTCCATGTTGACAATATTAGTGTAAATGGTTAAGAAATAAGACTTAGATTCAGATAATTTCTACTGAATTGTGCAAATTCTTCTGCGTTCTTGTTTGTTTGAGACAAGGTTTCATTCAGTAGCCTAGGGCGCCCTGGAACACAATACGTACTCCTGGCAGACTTCGAGTTTGCACTTCGGTTTACTGAGTAGTGAGGTCAGAAATATGTGCCGCTCTACCTGCTGCCCCCACCCAAAGGGTCTCACTGTACTACTACAGCCTGACTTGTTTCGTAGTTCAGACTGGCCTGGAAGCAGAATCTTGCCTTTGACTCCCAAGCTGGGATTAAGGTATGAGTCACCACGCCCATTCTTTTCTGTGATTTTAAAAGCTTTTCCAGACTGGGTTTCTCTGTGTAGTCCTGTCTGTCCTGGAACTCGCTCTGTAGACCATGCTGGGCCTTGAACTTACTGAGATCTGTCTGCCTCTGCCTCCAAAGAGCTAGAATAAAAGGACCACCACCACCTGGCTTTTTTTTTTTTTTTTTTTAAGAAAAAACACTTGTAGCCAGGCAAGTTGGTCTACAAAGGAAAAGCACAGGAACACAGATGTTCTTCCTCCCTCTAGTCCTCAGGTGTCAGTCCTTCTCTCCACACCAGCAGGAGGAGCTGCTGCTGCTTCACCTCATCCCACTGCCTTCTGTCTGCTCTAAGGATCACTCAGCCGGCATGGAACCCACACAGATGCTCCCATTGGACCCTATGGTAGAGGACAATCTAAGTCAGAGGACAGACAGACACGGTGCTGCAAACCTGTAGCCTGGGCTTAGGCTCACCAGAAGCTAACAGGTCAGATTCAGACACAAAAGCTTTGAAGCCAGACTAGAATACTTGAGATCCTGTCTCAAACAACAAAACCAAAACAAATCTCAAACAAAACAACAAAAAATCCCAATCGCTTGGGCATAGTGGTCCTACCCTTTGAACACCAGCACCTGACTGAGGCAGGGGAATCCCTATGAGTTTGAGACCATCCTGGTCTACATAGTAAATTCAAGGCCAGGCCCTGTCTCAAAAACAACTGGATTAGCTTTTCACTAACAAACAAACAAGACACCTTTAAGTTTTCTGAGGTCCCATTTAAAAACAGATCTACGACGAGATCCAGTCACACCGCTCTACCAGAGACATCTGCTCACCCACGCTCACTGCTGCTCTATTCATTCTGATGTGGGAGGCCAGCCCCACCCTTCCTGGGTGATTCACCCTGGGCAGTGGTCCTCACACTGTAAGGAAGTGGGCTGAGCAAGCCCTGAGGAGCAAACCAGTAAGCAGCACGCTCCACGGCTGCTTCATCAGTTCCAGCCTCCGGCTTCCTGCCCTGACTGCCCTGGATGATGGACCACAAGACACTGTCAGGTGAAACAGACCCTGCCCTCTTCAGCACAGCCACAGAAACCCTGACTAAGACAATTATTTCTTCCTACAATCTCACCTACTCTCAGTAGAAAGTGATCAAAAGTGTTCCTTTTCAGATACCATTTCCTAAGGAAAGCTGTAGTAACTTTGGTAATATTTAATTTCTCATACTCTTTTCTATACCCACTCTGCATTATCTACGGCTACGTCTTCTCAAGTGGAGAAGTTTCCCTACAGCAGGTAGCTCACTTCAGTATTCAACTGTTCCTTATGAAAAAGGGATTCATAAACACTGGTTCAAAAAATGCTTTGAAGTAAATCATCTGATCTAACAATAGTATCAATTATAACTTCATCAAATTTATAAAAAACATTTCTAACAAATGTTTATATTCAATGCAAAAATTATTCAACAGACACTTCAATTTGTTTTTCTCTAAACAATCTTCAAATATTTCAGAGGATTTCGACAATATTTCAAATATCCTAAACACCACTTTCAACTCACCAAATTATAAATTCCTAGGAGAAGAGCTTCAATGCAGCCATTACTCTGTCTGTCTCTGCTAACTGTAAGTCGCAAATAAACCCACATCAGCTCGGGCAGGAACTGCAGTGTGAACCTCTTGAGCCGGACTTCTGAGCTACGATAGAGCTCAAACAGCTGGTGGCAGACAGGCTCCAGGAGCTAAAGGGAAACAGAGAAGCATTATTTCCATGGCTTGAGCTGTAACTATGTTTCTTAAAAATGTACTTTTCTTTAGTATTTAGAAAATAAATTCTTCTTAAAATTAATTCCTCCATGTATGAGCTAATTCAAAATCGCTTTAATAGACTACATATTAAACGGCCAAACCTTGAACTAATTACTTTAGTACCAAATACTATCACTGTACTTTTGATTTACTAGGCTACTAAATTTATTAGCTAAGTAGTCTGTTTGCCAAATACTTTTATTTGGTGAGCTTCACTGTCTGTTCTTACCAAGCCCTTCTAGTCTATATTTTGTTTTTTACATTTATGTATGTAAGCATGTATGAGTGGGGTACTGTCATGCCATGGCACACGTATGGAAAACAACCCTGTGGGTCTAGTCCTCGCCTCCCGTCACGTGAGTTCCAGGATCCACCTCGGCTGCAAGTGCTTTTATCCAGAGTCATCTCACTGGCTCATCTTCCATTTTAGGAAATTTCTTCTTAATTAAAATAACTTGAAATTTCAAGTAAAGCCATGATTTAGGTTATATCTCACTCATTAGATTAGATTTTATAAACAATGATACGGGCATCTAAAATCCTAGCTAACATATTTTAAATACCTACGGGGAAGAAGAAAAGATTTGAGACCTCACTAATTATACTTATTGGGCAAAGGTCCTGCTGCACAAGCACAAGGACTGGAGTTCAGATGCCCAGCGCCGATATAAAAACTGAAGCTAGCCGGGCAGTGGTGGCGCACGCCTTTAATCCCAGCACTCGGGAGGCAGAGGCAGGCGGATCTCTGTGAGTTCGAGGCCAGCCTGGTCTACAAGAGCTAGTTCCAGGACAGGAACCAAAAGCTACAGAGAAACCCTGCCTCGGAAATACAAAAAAAAAAAAAAAACAAAAAAACAAAAAAACTGAAGCTAGCGTGGCATGGGGAGGGAGGTAAGCAGACTCCCCAGGGCTTACGGGCCACACAGCCCAGCTATGACAGCAAGCTCTAGATTCACTGAGAGGCCCTATCTCAGGAGACAGGGGGAGAGGGCTAGATGCCAGTGCTCGCTCGCTCACACACACACACGCACACACACACATGCACATACATGCATTCTAGATTCAGTGAGAGGCCCGACTTCAGAAGACAGGGGGAGAGTGCTAGTGGCCAGTGCTCACAATCTACTGCTGGTGTGCACACACGCACACACAAGCACAAACACACACACAGAGATAACACAGGCACACACACACAAACACACACGCAATTCTGAAAGGAAAAAAGTGCATATATAAATATGTTTTTCAATGCTAATTATTCTTGTATTACTACATGAAATGACTTGAGAGACCTCAAGATGGTAAAAACTAAATAAAATGAGCAATCCCACCCACTGCCAATTTAAAATGGTTCCACTCCTGCTAACCACAGACTGTACACACCTGGCTGACTTTTAACTACATACTGAAGACTGATAGAAACTAAACTTTTTTTTTAAGTTCTTCAAGACAGGGTTTCTCTGTGCAGCTCTGGCTGTCCTGGAACTCACTCTGTAGACCAGGCTGGCCTCAAACTTACAAAGATCCACCTGCCTCTGCCTCCCAAGTGCTGGGATTATGCAGAATATGGTGTCAAAGAAAATATAAAATGAACAGATTCAACTCAACGCCCATCAAAATCCCAGCAAAATTCTTCAAAGACCTCGAGAGAACTGTACTCAACTCCATATGGAAGAGCAAACATGCAGGATAGCCAAACAATCCTGTACAATAAAAGAACTTCTGGAAGCATCACTTCAAACTTTACTACAGAGCTACAGTACTGAAAACAGCCTGGTATTGGCATAAGAACAGACAGGAGGACCAATGGAACCAAATAGAAGACCCAGATTTCAATCCACACATCTTTGAACACCTGATTTTTGACAAAGAAGCAAAAAATATCAAATGGATAAAAGAAAGCATATTTAACAAGTGGTGCTGGCATAACTGGATATCAACATGTAGAAGAATGAAAACAGACCCATATCTATCACCATGCACAAAGCTCAAGTCCAAAAGGATCAGAGACCTCAATATAAAGCCAGCCACACTGAACCTCATAGAAGAGAAAGTGGGAAGGACACTTTGAATGCATTGACACAGGAGACCACTTCCTAAATATAACCCCAGTAGCACAAACACTGAGAGAAACAATATATGGTACCTCCTGAAACTGAGAAGCTTCTGTAAAGCAAAGTACATGGTCAACAAGACAAAACGACAGCCTACAGAATGGGAAAAGATCTTCACTAACCCCACATCAGACAGAGGTCTGCTCTCCAAAATATACAGAGAACTCAAGGAATTGGACACCAAAAGATCACATAATCAAAAAAAAAATGGTGTTCAGACCTAAACAGAGAACTCTCAACAGAGGAATCTAAAATGGCTCAAAGACACATAAGGAAATGTTCAACATCCTTAGTCATCAGAGAAATGCAAATCAAAACAACTCTGAGATTCCATCTTACACCTGAAAGAATGGCCAAGATCAAAAACACTGATGACAACTTATGCTGGAGAGGTTGTGGGGAAAGGGGAACACTTCTGCATTGCTGGTGTTGAGTGCAAGCTGGTACAGCCCCTTTGGATGTCAGTGTGGCGATTTATCAGAAAATTAGGAAACAACCTTCCTCAAGACCCAGTAATGCCACTTTTGGGTATATACCCAAAGGATGGTCAATTGTGCCACAAGGACTTGTGCTCAATTATGTTCATAGCAGCTTTGTTTGTCATAGCCAGAACCTGGAAACAACCTAAATGCCCCTCGACCGAAGAATGGATTAAAAAAAAATGTGGTACATTTACACAATGGAGTATACACAGCAGAAAAAAATAACGACATCCTGAATTTCGCAGGAAAATGGATGGAACTAGAAAACATTATTTTGAGTGAGATAACCCAGACACAGAAAGACAATCATCACATGTACTCACTCATAGGTGGTTTTAAAACATAAAGCAAAGAAAACCAGCCTACAAACCACAATCCCAGAGAACTTAGACAACAATGCGGACACTAAGAGAGACTTACATAGATCTAATCTACATGGGAAGTAGAAAGTAGAAAAAGTCAAGATATCCTGAGTAAATTGGGATCATGGGGACCTTGGGGGAGGGTTGAAGGAGGGAACAGATAAAAATGTACAGCTCAATAAATATCAAGTAAAAAAAAGAAAAAAAGATCGTTAGCCCGCCCCCCCCCCTAAAAAAAAAGAAAATATAAAATGAACAGAGGGGACTTAACAGAGTGGAAGACTCAAAATGAAAGAACCACCAGGGTGACTGGGGGGGGGGGTCCTGTTAAATTGAGAAAGAAAAAGCAGTACTGTTGGTGTACAGGTTAAGGGTTAAGTTATAATGGCCGGGCGCTGGTGGCGCACACCTGTAATCCCAGCACTCGGGAGGGACAGAGGCAGATGGATCTATGAGTTTGAGGCCAGCCTAGTCTACAGAGTGAGTTCCAGGACAGGCTCCAAACCTACAGAGAAACCCTGTCCTGAAAAACAAACAAAACAAAACAAATAAAAGTTAAGTTATAACATAGGTAGTCACAATATGCAAAATTAAACTCTAAAAGTTCATATCAACGACTTTTATTTATGTCTTTAAAGCAGCATTGCTTTTAAGATTGTCCTAAGTTCAGTTCCTATTAAATAGAGCATGGCCATTTTCTGAAATAACATCTCGGTAGCACATCTGACGATGCTTCAGGATACAATAAGACCAGGACCTAAGTCGCACCTGTCTATGACTACTGTGCACAACAGTTATGAGGTCCCTGGGTTTTCAGACGTCTGAATTAAAACCTTCTGATTTGGCAGTAATAAGGGTGGAACCCAGACCTGCCCCTGCAGGTTCATAATGACAACAAATGCCAAGTCTCCAGCCTGGATTTCTCCAGCTGAGGTTTCCATTTTGACCCATGACCTTGCCTCATGTGTTATTATAAAGCACAATAACATACAATAGTCTGAAAAATTTTAAAAACGTCTTACGTTTTTTTAAAAATGAGAACACTTTTCATATCTTTGAGTACTGAATCTAAAGATTTAGTACTAGAATCATTTTGCATTTAATTGTTTTCTGATCAATATTTACTTTTATTTACACTTAACCCCTGAACCACATCCCAAGCACACATTTACTACTTATTCATTACATACATGATAAACAGTTTATACGACCGCTGCCCATGAAGAGCTTACAATCTAAAGAGAAATGCATAAAACAAATAATTTTTAATAAGCAAAGCTTAAATGTTAGGCAGTGCAAGATGAGGGGCAGGGCGTACACATCATTATTTAGAAAATTTCAAACACTCCTGACTAAAGATGTGTGTGCCCGAGTGTGTATCCGACCAACGCACCGACACACACACAGCCCGCCTCTGAAGTTTTAACAGTTCAGTAATACATTGCAGGAGAAAAAGCAGCAGATGCAAGTCTGAGAGCCAGTCCAAACACAGGAGACGGGAAGGAGGAGGTCAGTAAGCAAGCTTTTAGTGAGAAGACAAAATAGGGATGCACTCTCAGTTAGGCTGCCGGTTAGAGACGGTTACCTGCCGGGACTTCTTCAGCTCGCTGCAGTGCACAGCAGAGGCACTCTGGGAGGCTGTATCTGGGAAGATAAGAAGCTACTTTCCTGTGTGCTCCTTTCATTTTCATGTTAAAGCATACATGAATCCAGTGGATAAATTACCTGTCACTGTGTGCATCTGGTCTAAGCTAATAGACAGACTCGGCTGCTGCACTTTCTACTGTCTACCACAGAGTGAGTCACAGTGAACTGTTATTCTAAGTTACTGATCTTCACAATTTAGGTCCCCAAAAGCACTTCCTCTGGTAACTTCCAGGAGAGCTTAATAAACAGCATAATTTTGTGTTATCGGTTCACAGCTGATCAGAATGCTTGTAAATATCTCTACAGTATTAAGAAATTAAAAGTAAATGATATTAAAATAAAGAAGGCTGAATCCGTATACCATTAAGATTTGTTTTCCAGAGAAGGAACACTCCAGAACACACACAAAAAACTATACATTAAATACACAATCATGGAGATGAGGGTGACTGCAGCTGAGAACCAACCAGGAAAAGAGACCAAGGCATCTTCAAATGTAAGAAGATGGGGCGGGGAAAGCCAAAGCAACTACCAGAGGGAGAGCGAAGAGCGGCTTTCCAGACCCACGGGGAGAGAGAAACTGGACAAAGCTTCACCTTACTATTTGGAGTTTACTGTTTCAAAGGCCTCCTACCTCATTGTTCGAGTCCTGAATGACTTTATAGAGCGCAGGGACAAGGGGCTTCTTCCGGTGTAGAGTCGCTGCATAACTGGTGATCTGAGTGTCAGGTAGTGCCTAAGATGAAACCAAGGAACAGCAACATGGATTTCACATTTAGGAAACACGTTTCTTTTACATGGGTGCTACTTGATAAAAGAAGAGACAAATAAGAAAATTTAAAGTAATATAATTAATATCAAGTAATTAACATACAAATAACTGTTTAGCCACAAAATGACTACAAGTCCCATATCTTCACTGTACCGTCATCGAGCCTAAAAGAGAGCAGGATACATTCCTTACTTGTACTCATACTTTTACAAAGCACACTTCATAAGTCTACATTACATAGTTTTCTACCGAAACTATTTGACTTTAAGTCATTGGAAATCAAAGCAGAAAACAAATATTATCATTAAAACTTGAAGACTTCAGTCATCTACTGGACATATTTTAATCACAACTATTTTTATTTCTATGTAATTCTTTTGACCTTATTCATATTAGTTATACTCGAAAAGAGCACCAATAAAGAAGCACAATTCCACACTCTGCAACTTCCACTTAGAAGCACATTGCAGGACCCTGATGGGCGGATCAGTGCCATTAACCCTGGACACAGTACCACTGGACACGGTACCCCTGGGACATGGTACCCCCGAACACGGTACCCTTAGACACGGTACCCTGGACACAGTACCCCCAGGACACAATACCCTGGACACGGTACCCCTGGACATGGTACCCTTAGACACGGTACCCTGGACACGGTACCCCCAGGACACAGTAACCTGGACACGGTACCCCTGGGACATGCTACCCCCAGGACATGGTACCCTTAGACATGGTACCCTTAGACATGGTACCCCTGGACATGGTACCCTTAGACATGGTACCCCTGGACATGGTACCCTTAGACATGGTACCCCTAGACACGGTACCCCTGGGCACGGTACCCCTGGACATGGTACCCCTGGACACGGTACCCCTGGACATGGTACCCTTAGACAGGGTACCCTGGACACGGTACTCCCAGGACACAGTACCCTGGACACGGTACCCTGGACACGGTACCCCTGGGACACGCTACCCCCGGGACATGGTACCCTTAGACATGGTACCCCTGGACATGGTACCCTTAGACATGGTACCCCTGGACACAGTACCCTGGACACAGTACTCCTGGACATGGTACCCTTAGACATGGTACCCCTGGACATGGTACCCTTAGACATGGTACCCCTGGACATGGTACCCTTAGACATGGTACCCTTAGACACGGTACCCCTGGACATGGTACCCTTAGACATGGTACCCTTAGACACGGTACCCCTGGACATGGTACCCTTAGACATGGTACCCCTGGACATGGTACCCTTAGACATGGTACCCTTAGACACGGTACCCCTGGACATGGTACCCCTGGACACGGTACCCTTAGACATGGTACCCCTGGACATGGTACCCTTAGACATGGTACCGCTGGACATGGTACCCTTAGACATGGTACCGCTGGACACGCTACCTTGAACTCTGACAGCCACTCTTCCACCACAGCTCGCTCGGACCCCAGCATCTTTCTCTAGTCTTCTGTTATCTGAAATGTAAGACAGGATTACCTACAGAGATTACCAAAGGTCTGTAATATATCCATCTCACTAACCAAGACACTCAGCTGTATTTCAGAGAGAGGTTTCTACTCGGTTTGGAGTGCAATTAAATTTTTTCAAAAATAAATCCTACTTTTAAATGATAGGACCAGAACCCATTGTCTTCCCGCCTTCACTCTCCACACTCCAACGTGGCAAAGGAGGTGTTCTTAAATCAGATATATCTACAATCTCAGTAATGAGAGATCGAGGCAGGAGGACTGCAAAGTGGAGGTCAGCTCGGGTTCTGAACAAGCCTGAGCTACAGGGCAAGACGCTGTATCAACAAAACAAACTGAAAACTGCAGTGGCCAAGTGAAATCCAATAACACCATGGAAGACAAACATACAGAGCAAGTTACACACAACAGAACCAATCTAGTAACAAAATATAAATATCAAGTCTAGAAAGAGCAAGGGTTGGGGCTGAAGAGATGGCTCAGAGGCTGAGAGCACTGGCTGCTCTTCCAGAGGTCCTGAGTTCAATTCCCAGCACCCATATAGAAGCTTACAACCATCTGTAATGAGATCTGGTGCCCTCTTCTGGCCTGCAGGCAAACACGCAGAGTACCACACACTAAATACACACACACATACATACATACATCTTAAAAAGAAAAGAAAAAGCAGCCAAGTGGTTGTGGCGCATGCCTTTAATCCCAGTACTTGGGAGGCAAAGGCAGGCGGATCTCTGTGAGTTCGAGGCCAGCCTGGTCTACAAGAGCTAGTTCTAGGACAGGCTCCAAAGCTACAGAGAAACCCTGTCTTGAAAAACAAACAAACAAACTGGAAAACTGATAACAATATATGCATTATGCAAAATAAATCAGATTATTAAATTTTCGAAGACAAAAAAATGCCTTATTAGCAAAATCAAATTGAATAATAGTCTGTAAATTATAATTCTAATTAAAGTTTACATTTTTTAAAAGTTTGGAAACAAGCATATGCTCAACTCTTAAGTGCTTGCCATTGAGGGTAGTCTAACATATTTAACTTGATAAAAATGAGACACGTTGAACTTTCAAATGAAAACGAAGCAAAACCCCAAAGCTTTCTTCACTCAAAAGGAAGAAGTAAGGAAAAATAGGACACTAAGAACAGACCCCAAGGATGTGGAGCTGTCTGTGAGAGCGCAGAGAAGCGCTTCTGTGTTTGCCACACCTCATGCCACTCAAAAGATTATTTTTATTTTTATTTTTTTTGGTTTCCTGTCCTGGAACTAGCTCTGTCTCGAACTCACAGAGAACCGCCTGCCTCTGCCTCGAGTGCTGGGGTTAAAGGCGTGCGCCACCACCGCCCAGCTCACTCAAAAGATTAATCAGAGCAACTTGTAGACGTGTGTGTGTGTGTGTGTGTGTGAGAGAGAGAGAGAGAGAGAGAGAGAAGAGAGAGAGAGGAGAGAGAGAGAAGAGAGAGAGAGAACCTTAACCACATTTTCCCCACACTGTTCACTGCTACTCCCCTAAATACAAGATCTCTGATTTAAGATTCCACAAGGACCTTAGAATATGTGTACGATGGAGCACTGCATCAAGTGCTGAAATAAAGAACAGGAAAAAAGAAAAAGAGTTGCCATGGTGATAGTGTGTCTTCTTAGCAATAAAACCCTACTTAAGACACTGGGTGCTAAGGACGTTGTGTATTACGTATTTGTGTTGTCAACTCGATTCACACAGGAGGGAACCTCAACTGAAGAAAAGCTTCTGACAAAATGGTCTGTGGGCTGTTGTCTGTGGGACATTTTCTTGACTGTTAATTGGTGGAGATTTCAGGCCCCTGTTGGAGGTAGGTACCATCCCTACTCAGGTGGGCCCTGCATGTGTAAGAAAAGTAGCTAGCTGTGAGAGACACTTCACACAGGCTAGGAAGCAGCTTCCTCTGTTGGTTTCTGCTTCAAGCTCCTGCCTTGAATTCCTACCTCGCTTCCCCCAATGATGATAAAGTTTAAGATGAAATAAAACCTTTCCTTCCCAGGTTGCTTTTAGTCATGGTGTTAATGAAAGCAACCCAAACCAAACTAGTCCAGCCTCACCGAGACCATGTTTTGATACAGACATATAAAAAAAGGGGGCAGAGGAAAGCAGAAGAGTAAATCAGATGCAAATATTTAAACATACATCCACGTGATGTGTCTCTGTATGGGCTATGTTCACGTGTGCACATGTACCCTAGGGGGTCAAGAGAGGGCGTCAGATCCCTGGAGCTGGAATTACAGGTGGCTGTGAGCACCAGATGTGGGAGCCAGGAACCAAACTCAGGCCTCCTGCAAGAGCGGTGTGCACACTTAACCACGGAGTCACCTCTCCAGCCCCTTGCACTGAATATAATTAAAATATGACTGACCATAAGTTGATAGCCATTTTGTTTAGTAAACAATACACAAAGTTCATTATATTATTCTATCTACTTTGTTACAACCTGGAATTTCTTACAATGAATAAAAACTAAAATACTGATAAATGGAAGCTACAAATATACAATTCTGATGTAAGAGATAGAAAACAAGGCTCTTGGGGCTGGAGAGATGGTTCAGAGGTTAAGAGCATTGCCTGCTCTTCCAAAGGTCCTGAGTTCAATTCCCGGCAACCACATGGTGGCTCACAACCATCTGTAATGAGGTCTGGTGCCCTCTTCTGGCCTGCAGACATACACACAGACAGAATATTGTATACATAATAAATAAATAAATATTTAAAAAAAAAGAAAACAAGGCTCTTACAGTTATTTTCTTACTTATTTTTGTGGATGGGGCTATGGATTGTACATTCAGAGATTGTTCTGAGATCTAAGCAAAACTACGAATCCCTGCTTCAGGAAAAAAGAACTAGGGCTCAGGACAGAGCTCCGTTGCTAGAGTGCTTGCCTAGCATGATCCAGCACAGACTGGTAAGAGACGTGTTCTGGCCTATACAACGTACATGTTTGGAAGAGTTACTTCTCTGTCACCTCAAACTCCTTGTTTGAGGACAATGAAAGTATCTATGATAAAAGGTTTTTTAGTTTTTACTTGTTTTTGAGACGTGGTCTCAACTGTGAAGCCTAGTTGGCCTGAAACTCTGTGTTGACTAGGTTGACCTTGAATGAGAAATCCTCCTGTTTTTACTTCTCCAGTGCTGGGATCAAAGGCATGTTGCCAGTATATTCAACTGTCAAGAGATTTTTTATTTTTAACATAATAAATAGCACACAAGGTCTTAGAACAGTGTTTGGCACATATCCTTATGTTAGCTGTTACAATTATTTAAGTTCTTGACAACTCAAGAAGCATTTTTATTTTGTGCATAATAATTATTGATTTATTATTAGAAATATTGTTGAATAAAATGCTAAGGATTAAAAGAAAATAAGAACTCTCAAGAGATTCAAGGGAATCAAAATTATAAATAAACAAGGCTACAGAATTACCAGTTTAACATGAGACAGTAATAAATGTTACTGCAAATTCTTAAGCTTGGTTAAAAAAATATTGGGGGCCAGGCATGGTGGCGCACAGCTTTAGGTCCAGGCATGGTGATGCACACCTTTAATCCCAGCATTCAAGAGGGAGAGGTAGGCAGCTCTCTGAGGTGAAGGCCAGCCTGGTCTACAGAGACAGTTCCAAGATAGACAGGCTACACAGAGAAACCCTGTACTGAACCCTCCCAAACTCCCCACAAAACAGGAAAAAAATTATGAAGATATTTCAAAGTATATGTCTAAATCTTAGATTAAGGCAGCTGTTATTAAATTCTCTAAGGCCAAACTCAAAACTGTACTATATGATATAGTAGCTCTAAGCTGAAAATGGCTATTTAAATTAATTCAAAATTTATTTTCCTACTTTCTGGGAAAGACAGAAATTAGACCTATTCTATGTTACAATAAAATGTGGGCTCAGGGAACTGGAGAGATGGCTCAGAAGTCACACGAGCACACCCCACTCTGGTAAAAGACTTGAGTTTGGTTCCTAGCACCCATGTCAAGTGGCTCATAACCACCTCTGACCCTAGCTCGAGAGGATCTGTCGCCTGTGGTCTCCTCAGGAACCTGCAGTACACAATTAAAAAGGATCTTCTTTAAAACATAGATCTAGTTATTTTACGAAGGAAGCTGAGACCAATTATCCTCCGGAATGACCTTTATTCAGAGAGAATTCTCATGACCACAGATCTCATGACCTTAACGTCAGGAGTAATTAGGAGAGGAGCATCAGAGACAAATGGCAGGGTCTTGGAGGAGAGGGAGGCCTCCTTTCAAACACGGGGGAGTGCCAGAGAGGTTTACGGTAAAGTGGGTAAAAGCATTTGCTGCTGAGCCTGAAGACCTGAGTTCAATCTTCAAAACCCGCATGGTGGAAGGAAGAGAACTGACTCCCTAAGGTTGTGTTATGACTGTCACATAAGTACATAATGTGCACCCTTTGCCCTGCCAGGAAATGAATTAATATATATTTTTAAAAGACATAGAAAAGAGCTTCATTAAGAAAAGTGAGAGGTGATAAATGTGGGGTGGCGATGTGGGGTTCCCCTCTGCATGCTGTGACTAGCATTGGTGAGTACAGAAACTGTCTTCAGCCTGTGATAGGACAGAATAGAGGCAGGTGGGAGAAAGAAGGAGGAGTCAGGAGATGTTGGGAACGAACAAGCCGGAACCTTGATGGTAAACCACAGGCATGTGGCAATACTCAGATTAATAGAAATGGGTTAAATTAAGATGTAAGAGCTAGCCAGTAAGAAGCTAGAGCTAATAAGCCAAGCAGTGATTTAATTAATAAAGGTTCTGTGTGGTTATTTCAGGGCTGAGCAGACAGGAACAAGCAAGCAGCCTTCCTACAACAGGGTAGGATGGGGTGGGGTGTGGATATGTAGGGGAGCTGAAGGAGAAAGACAGCCTTCAGACATATGCCCTGAACAATGGAGATTTCCTGACCTTTCTAGGGTTTTCAGGGATGATCAGAAGTTTTAGCATGTTTAGTCTGACAGACCTATGTGCTATAATGGTTGGGTACTGGGTGAATTTTCCTTGTAGCTTCAAGGGGGAGGGTGGCCTTACTTATCTCCTCCTCTGTTCGCCAAGACTTCATAGCAGGGGCCTGCCAGCTGCAAGGGGCCGAGGCCTGATTTCTAAGGGTCTGTGATCTGACAAATGTACCTTGGACAGTTCACTGTCTTTACTGATGACTTCACTTCATAAGACAACCTGTTGTGTACGCCATAAAAACAGTACTTCTGTGGTGCTAGAGAACCTAATGTTGGTTATCCCACCCTCCTGATGTGGATTCATTCAGATACAGAACTGCAACTCAGGACACCATCCCAGCCGAGCTCATTAGTCCTCATGGGAGGAGACAGTAAAGGAATACACACACAGCCAGAGTGCCGGTCCTCAACCAGGCTGAATTCCGAAACCTACGTGTCTGCTCCCCACAGCACCCACTCCTGAGTCTGCAGCATGTGACTGCTAGGTTCTGGGACGGCAAGCCTGTGTCTGTGCTGACTCACAGCTGGCAGGGGTGTAAGGTTGGTGGCACTGAGCCCCCTTGCCTGCAGTCACGCTGAAGACTTCGTAATGCTGGCTTTTCATCGGGATGCTCAGACTCCACGCAGCACAAGCACTGTCTTTCTGACTCTTCTTCCTTCTCCCTACTCTGAGCACTGTTAATACGAGGCTTTCCGAGTCGTCTTCTTCCTTCTCCCAACTCTGAACACTGTCAATACGAGGCTTTCCGAGTCGTCTTCTTCCTTCTCCCTACTCTGAACACTGTCAATACGAGGCTTTCCGAGTCGTCTTCTTCCTTCTCCCTACTCTGAACACTGTCAATACGAGGCTTTCCGAGTCGTCTTCTTCCTTCTCCCTACTCTGAGCACTGTTAATACGAGGCTCTCACTAACACATCTCTGCCAGCATTCCTGAATTCCAACTGTCTTCCCGGGTAGATTCATTCCCCGTTCTCTTCCTGACCTGACTTGGCATGAGTTTTCCATGAAAACTGTGGAATTGTTGAGGTGTGTGCAGGATCTTGGATTAAAGTAAAACAGGTTTGGGAATGAGTATTTATTTGGGTTCTCTCTTCTCTTCCATTCCCCTCTCTGTCTAGCTAAAAATGACCTTTGAACTCCGAATCTTCCCAAGTGGAATTACAGGCAAACAAAACAACAGTGGCTTTGATTTTATGTATTTTGCACGTCATTAATAAAACTGGAAAGGCAGATTATTTGCTCTAGCCACAGGCCGACTACTGAGAAGCTGCATGTGGTTATTTCCCCATATCATACAGAACAGAAAAAGAACACAGCCATGGTTACAAAAGTCGCTTCAGACAATAGTGATCCAGATGTACCCTGATAGCACAACTGTGCCCAATAAATTAACTAAATAGAAGTAAAATTCAGACAATACATTTGTTAAGTGCAATTGCTAAAATAATTCAAAAATTGAATTTAAAGGTAGTTAAGGTGTGATCATTTCAAGTAAAATTGTATAATAAATAATACTACCCACCAAAGATTACCAAAAATTCCTAACATGTTTAATCATATGGGAAATTTATTCTTCATTTTTAAAAGTCCAGGTCATAATTTTATCTGTCTTAGATCAGTTTTCTAAAGGAGGAGGTGGCACAGGGATGCGGCTGAGTTCAAGTTTAAAAGTCCAGGTCATAATTTTACCTTCTTAGATCAGTTTTCTAAAGGAGGAGGTGGCACAGGAATGCGGCTGAGCTCAAGCGTGGAATTCATTTGTTGAGAGTTAAATATTTTCCAACTCTATAAAAAAATAAAAAATTAAAATAGTAAGAGAATATTTTCAAGAACATTTCACAAATGTTTTAAAAGACACACTCAAAACAGTTTGTGTTTATGTGTCTGCTGAGCTGATGGTGCACGTGTACACATGCATGAGCCTGCGTGCCCCGCACATGACCGTGGGGAAGACACCGAGTCTATGCCTTGATTGCTCCCACCTTCCCCTCTCCACACAGCACTGAGTATGGAACTCTCCAGAGGCCCGCCTGCCAACAGACCAGCATGAGATACATCGTTCCCCATCAGCACGGAGATCACACACAGGCAGCACTGATCTCACACACATAACAGGCTTTTTACATCGAGCTCAGGTCCTTGACACCTGTGCAGTAAGCATGTTTGCCAGCTCACTGTAGCTCAGCTGACCCTAAAACACCCTACAATAGCTACCATACGCGTATACCTTTATCATATCCAAGAAAAAAATATTTTGGAGACAAAAAGTCTCAAATTTTAGCATCAAGTATTCCATTAATTACCTTTAAGATGTTGGGTAGGTTATTTAAATTGCTGGAGATTCACCTCAAGAGAAATCTAAAATCCTTACAGAAATATGGACACCACCCAGCCTCACCATGCCACCCATCCCCACTCCCAAACTAAATAAATAATAAACAGAAAACGGAGTCTACAAACAGCCTTGTTAACTGGCTTATAACAAGAATAAAACTGCAATGCAATTGGAAAAGAAGAGTCTTAAAAAGATGTTAGGTGACTAGGGGATCTCTATGGAAAACAATGTACCATGACCCTTAACCCCACGCTATTCACAAAAGTAAATTCCAGGGATCAGCAAGATGATTCTCTGGGTTAGGGCACTTGCTGCCGAGTCTGAGGGGCACTGAGGCAAGAAACAGGGCGAGTCGGGAACCTTACACAAAGGCTGAGGTTGGCACATCAAGAAACCGGCTGAAAGAGAGGGAGCTGGAAAAGCTCCCCAGCCAAGACTGCAGGGAAACAGCAAAGCGCGAACCAAACAAGCCTATGGGTGCTACGCAGATGGCGCACAAAGGGCACCGCCTTCCTTAGTACTGGCCTGCTGTCTTCTATTACTACACACACTAGCTGCCCAACTCCTCGTTCTAACACGGGAACCCAGGGAGCTCTGCCAACAACTGCATCACAGGTGATGGCAGTAAAGACAGCAGAGTGATGACCGACTTCAGAAAACCTGCCCGCCATCAAGCAATGAAGCGGACTAAAGCTCTCCACAAACTCTGGGGGTTAATCAGAAGTATAAAGCAAACCGGGAAGTGTGTACTCAAAAGAAGCCGCTGTGGAGATGGCTGAATGAATCGGGCACTTGCCACGCGAGCCCAAGGACCAGAGTTCAGAGTCAGGACCTCCACACTCAAGCAGAGCAGACAGCAGTGTGCTTATAATTTCAACACTCCTACAGAAAGACGGGCAGTAGGGACCAGAGTTCAGAGTCAGGACCTCCACTCCAGCAGAGTAGACAGTACTGTTTATCATTTCAACACTCCTACAGAAAGACGGGCGGTAGGGACAGGAAAATCCTAGGAAGCTCAAGGGCCTGAAGTAGAAACTGAACAAGAGACCCTGCTTTGAACAATGTGGAAGGTGAGGACCAGCAGTCTCACAAATCATACATTCTGTGCACACACATACCACATCCATATCCCCACACACGGGGCCGGGGTTAAGAACAGAGAGCTTTGTAGAGTTTTAATCTGCCCTATCCCCACGCTCCACAACAGCTCTGAGAGCAATCAGTGAAAACCGTAGGGACAGCAGCTGGAGGACGGGCAGGTTAAAGTGCCTTCAAGGCTTCACTCCCCGGGAAATGTAATTTCCTGGAAGATCCCACCCACAAAGCTCTATCACTGCTTGACACCAAACAAAAGTCACTCCCTAGAGGCAATTGTTGAAAACAAGGGACATTTTCTTTTCTCAAAAACATAGAAGTTCCTTGAGGTAACAGGACAACAAATGGAACAAATATTTGGGCAACAAAAACATGAAAAATCTGTAGATTTGATTGCATCTTAACCTCCAAAAATTCCCATCCTTACCTAGTTAACAGACCCAATTCAAAACAAGCTTTCCTAAGGTAAAATTACGTAAGCTAGCTGCCATTTTCCTCTTTGTGTTTCCCTTCCATTCGTACTGTAGGGTGATACATGTATAAAATTTCCCACCGTATCTGAGTGTACAGTCTGGGGCTGTTAACATGCATCCCTACGGTCGTACGATGGCTGAGTGACACTCCTCTGTTGTCTCTGCCCCAGTCATCCTATTGTAGTCTTGGTCTTGAGCACTTTCAGCGCCTCCTACAGGTAGTGTCAGGATTCTGTGACTAGCTAATGTCTCCAAGTATAACATCTCCAAACTCCATACCTGTTCAAGAACACTTCAGACTGTCCTTCCTTGTTAAGGCTAGACAATATTTCAGGGTACGCATAGGGCATTTTATGTTCTGCTAGTCAATTCATCTGTTAATGGGTCTTGGACCGCTTCCAAGTTTTAGGTATTGTGAATGATGTTGAAATGAACATGGGTATACATACATTTCTTCAAGACCCTGACCGTAATTCTTCTCAAACAATCTCAAAAAGAGAAAGAAGTAAACCTAATAGAGGAGACTAAGTGTACTTGAGGCTGAGACAGGAAGATGCCCAGTCTAAAAAAGTCAGTCTGGGGTACATCATGCGACCATTTCAAAAAAACAAATCAAACAAAAAGAATTGAGGGGGTGAAACAGGAGCAGGCATCTCAGCACCAACACATTTCTCCCCTTCTAACAACGATTACTATCAACTCTTAAATAAATAAGAAAAGTTTTAACGTACATTTTCTAACTTTAAATATAATTAAAAGTATATGAAGCATTTATGTTTAAAATCCATAACAACAAATTAAGAAAATAGCTAATCAAATCTGAAAATCCTCTTACAGTATCTTTTTTTTTTTTTTTTGATTTTTCGAGACAAGGTTTCTCCGTAGCTTTTGGTTCCTGTCCTGGAACTAGCTCTTGTAGACCAGGCTGGCCTCGAACTCACAGAGATCCACCTGCCTCTGCCTCCCGAGTGCTGGGATTAAAGGCGTGCGCCACCACCGCCCGGCTCTTACAGTATCTTTTAATGAATTTCTTTCCTACACTGAGGTCTTAGATTTATTATTTTTCTTTTTTAAGAGTATAAGCATTTTGTCCTTGTCTGTGTACAGTGCCAGCAGAGGCCAGAAGAAAGCAGTAGAGTCCCTTTGGAACTAGAGTTACAGACAGCTGTGAGCTGCCACGTGGGTGCTGGGAACTGAACCTGGGTCCTTTGGTCCTCATAGAGCATTTTCTTTTAAAGATTTGTTTATTTATTATGTATACAGCGTTCTGCCTACAGGCCAGAAGAGGGCACCAGATCTCATTACAGATGACTGCGAGCCACCATGTAGTTGCTGAGAATTGAACTCAGGACCTTCGGAAGAGCAGCTAGTGCTCTTAACCTCTGAGCCATCTCTCCATTGTAGGGCATTTTTTAGGTTAGTGATTGATGTGGGAGGGCCTGGCCCTCTGTGGGTGGTCCTGGGTTTTATACGCAGGCTAAGTAAGCTGCATGAAGTAAGCCAATGAATAGCACTGCTCCATGCCTCTGCATCAGCTCCTGCCTCCAGATTCCTGTCCTGCTTGAGTTCCTGTCCTGACGTCTTCAGTGATGAACAGTGATGTGGATGTGTGAGCCAAACAAACCCTTTCCTCCGCAAGCTGCTTTGTCATGGTGTCTCATCACAGCAACAGTAACCCTAAGACAGCCAGTATCGTACATGCTATAAAGTGTCAGCTAGTAAGAAATACGCCCTACCGTAATGTACAAATCTTTAAGGAGAAAATTTAGGCTGGGTATATATAAAACCTTAGAAGCTAGAGAAGTGGCTCACGGGTTGAGAGCACTGGCTGCTCTTCCAGAGGTCCTGAGTTCAATTCCCAGCAACCACATGATGGCTCACAACCATCTGTAATAAGATCTGGCGCCATCTTCTGGCCTGCAGCATACAGAATACTGTATACATAATAAATAAATCTAAAAAAAAAAACTAGCCAACATACTGGGGCTATTTCAGACATTTTACACAATTTACCTATATACAGTAATCCTATGTAACTGTTACCATCCCAATTTTACAGATGAGGAAACAGGCCCTGAGAGATTAAATCATTTCCCGAGGTCAAATAATCAGTAAGTAGTGAGATCAACTCTCTGTCAAGCTAGAATCTAAGAACTGTTTTTCCTCCCTAGTCAGGGTCTTGCAATACCTAGATTAGGCTGGCCTCAAACCTGCATGCCTGCTCCAACACTGCTTACAGTGCAGGCATACACTACCACGTGGGCAAGACTACCAAACTGAAGACCTCACCCTAGACACCACACACACTGACTATGCTCAGAACATCGTGTTTATTTCACCTGGTCAGCAAGGTCCTTAAGTAGAAGTCACATTACACCACATATTAGAACTGTATAACTTAGAGTTCTCTATATTAATGATACTCTTGGGGGTATACCAAAATACACCCTTCGAATGAACGGCTCAGCTAGCCCTTACCACTTGGAAAGAAGCAGTTCTGGCTAATGGAACTGCCAGCTTGACTGGACTTGGAATCACCATACAAATACCCCTGTGCATGTGTCTGAGGGCAATTCCCAGAAAGGGTTAGCTGAAGCAGAAAGACACTGATTTGGAAGGTGTCAAGTCACGAGTTAGGGTCCAGGACTGAGCGAAAGAGGGGAAATGAACTGACCACCGTTCGTCTCTCTTTACTCCTGAGAACAGTGTGAGCAGCTGCCCGACATTCCGGCCAGTACGATGGCAGGCATTCTGTCCCAATAAAGAAAGAATAAGACAGAACTATCTGACAGGCGTGCTTAAATCCTGAAATAACATAAAGCACATCAGTATGCTGCTTCGTCATATCCCCCAGTAACCCAGAAGGCTGCCAGTTTTAAATG